AAAGGTCTTTTTTTTCTAGAAATTTAGTTAAAACAAAGAACAGATTGAATTCAGTTTCGAAGAAATGAGTAAGAAATTTAATATGGTGATGACCGTACTATTGAATAGAGGCTAAAGAATAATAGCAGTCCGGCCCCTCAGGTATTTCCATATGAATGAACTAGCGTTGAGTGGTTGTAGTGGGTGTCCGTAAAGTGACATTTGTCAGTCACTAAAAGATGACAGACTGCAGACTGACTCACAGATGATTTAGTTACCTCTGCTGGATAGGCTCTGCTAAATAGATTCAGAAAAAGGGAGGGTAGGAAAGGGGAGACCCAGGAACCCCAACTCCGTCCGGTCGGTAATTCTGGCTCCAAGGCCCCCCGGAACGACCAAAAGGCGTCCTCGGCCCCTTCATTCTCTCCCGTTGGCTTGCACGGAGCGGAAAATGAAATGCGATCTTCATAACTCTAGCCGGTCAATTTAATTGTGTTTGAAGTCCTCCGATCATCTGAAATCATTCCGAGAAGACGGGTTTTTGATTTATTCAGTTTAAAAAGCTGGCCAGAGAAATTGTGTCATCCTTAGAGGGATCGCAGACCAAACAACACTTTTTTAAATCGAATAAATAATAAAGTCGTCGAGGATCTGTATGTCTATCCACGCGGTTATGTTCTGCCAGACTAGTTTTGACATCCGCCATCATCAGAGGAGGATGCTTGTATGTGTTTCATCGTGTGTCCTTTTGATAAGTTGTGATTAATTCAACGAAGATTATACAATAATTATTGTGTTTCGGCGTTTTTAAAGAAGGGGAACTGGTAATGCGTCAATGGTTGGTCTGTGCGTCTCCCAGTCTCATGTCATTTTTATGGGCTCTAATGGCTTTTTAAATCAAACACTGGAGAATATACGATATCGAATCCCGCCCTTGCTGAATTTCGTCTTTCCCATCTATTTCCTAATTTCAAGGGTAGCGTAACTTGGTCATCCTGAGCCGCCTAATCTCATCTGACAGCTAGCGTTTCGGCTTCTCGCCACTTCAGTGATAGGTTTGTGCGTTTTTTTATATACACTTAATTCCTTATTCCTGCGCGATGGTTGACTTCCACCCCGAAAGTTATTTGGTAAACCTTGAAAATGAAAAAAATAATTTTTGTGGTTTGAGACAGCTCTGAGGATGGCGAGACAGCGACCAAACTTCAAGTAATTACATACATAATTCCCCTGGCCAACTTTTTAAACGGAATAAATCAAAAATTAATCTTCTTGGATAGATCCTTAAGTCGTTCATCGAGATTTTGGTCCGCCAGATGAGGTTTAGCTCCGTCATCATCATTGAGAGATGCATGTACGTTTCATCGTGTGTTTTTTTGATCAGATGCAATGCTTTCTTTTGCCAATGAAGATTGTAAGAGAGGATTTTTTCGGCTTTTTAAGTGGGAACTCGTAATTCATCAATGGTTGTTCTGTGTGTCTCTCGTCTTCGTGTCCTTTTTATGGATTCTAATGGCTTCTTAGTTCAACCACTGGAGATTATAAGATCATTTAACCCCATTACCGAATTTCGTCGTTCTCACCTAGTTTCTATTCACTACTTTCGTGGTCCGCTTGACCAATTAATACATGACAATTAATTAAGGTTTTTAGATGAGATGAAAATAAGTTAATGGCACGAGAGGGATTCGAACCCACGACCTTCGGCTGCTCTACCACCCACCTCAACCCCACCTAGTTTCTAATTTCAAAGTGTGATTCCTTCATGATCACCCTGGTCCTCCTATTCTCGCTGTTTTAATATGTCAGAAGCTCTTCGCCGTAGTTTTCTTGCCATATTGAGAGTTAGGTCTGTCCAGCACGCCAACACAATGATTTGTTCTGGTATTTTAGCTATTTCGCCACTTTTAGTTGTATCTTCAGGTTTGTGCGTTATTTGGTACTTATTCAAAAGTGGGTGTTTCTGGTACGATGGCCGAAGTCTGTCATGGAAGTTATAGAGAAACCTGGAAAAGGACAAGTACGAGTGCTGTTTGGTCTTTATAAGAACAACTAGAAGAAAAATCTGTGCTTTATTTTTTTTTCTGGTAAATGGTGCTTTTGAATCATTCGAATGCCTTCGGTTTTCTTTTTCCCGTACTAGTTGTACCCTTGGAAGTAAGAAGACACATTAGAGATAATGTTTGTAAATGGAGGATCGTGCTTAACTCGAATTTGAGGTTTGGGGGTCGGATTATCCCCGATTTCAGAGAGTAATGGCACGTCCGGGCAGGGACAAGTGGAAGAGCAGGTGCAGATCTGCATTTGAATACCCGACACCCTACATCAGGCTAATCTGCAGTCACCTAACCCCTCTCTTTCATTATCCCTTGATGTTATCATTACCGCAACAGCGGATCGAATTATAATTACCGGATAAAACGGGGAGAGCGGGGAGGAAATGCACACATGCCTGCAAATGGACACAGGCCGAGTCAACAAGTGCGATTGTTCAAGTTTTTAAAGGGTCCCGAGAGCAATATGTGACATTTTCTACCCGGCGATATTGAAAGCCTTTATCCTGACACGGTTTCCTCTTACAAAAAACTATCCTTTCCCAAACCCTTCGTGAATATCAAATGAGGCATCAGACTGACTGAATTATATATATCAAAGTTCAAACAGAATGCAAGGATTACTTATATGATTTTTATCTTTTCTCTATTGACTACAGTCAATGTTTAAAAAGGATATCTCTTCGTTGCCTAAAATAGTTAATAATGCTTCTTCCCTGGTACATGGAAGAATCACGCCATTTTTATGCTATTTTGCTGGTTTTTGTAAATCTTATACCGAATTATGACATATATTCTGACTTATAAAATAGAATAAGCAGTAAAACGTGGATAATCCAACGAATAATCGTTCCATGTATATATATTGAACATTAAAATATGTAGTTACTGATCTGACATACATAATCAGTGAAAGAAAACTATAGGTTCGTCAACCTGCAAGATTTAAAAGATTTTAAAGAAGAAATCACCCAATTTTAATGCAAATATAGGCTAACATTTATTTTTATAAGTTTTGTTCCTGTCATTAATTAATAAAAAATTGAAGACCTCAAGAAGAATCGTCCCTTTCTGCTTCTTCTGCCAGTTTTATCAGGTTGTGGAAATTGTGGATAATTTTCAATTATCTCAGTGCGGTGACACTCATCAGAATGGTTTTACTAAATATATCACACACCTTATAAGTGGCAGGCAGAACAGTTTATGTGTTCGAGGGGTACAGTCATTCTAAGAGAGATTCGGAGCAGGTGTTCCCCAGGGACACGATCTGGGTCCTACAACATTACAATTCTAAATAAATGACAATAAAAAATCAAATATTCTTCGGGCTTAGCACTGTTTGCATTTGAGACTGTGGTACGAGTTCTTACTGAATTATTATCATATCTAAAGAATTAATGCCAACGGGGGAAGAGAGAGAGAGACAGAGAGAGAGAGAGAGAGAGAGAGAGAGAGAGAGAGAGAGAGAGAGAGAGAGAGAGNGAGAGGGAGGGAGGGAGAGGGAGGGAGAGGGAGAGAGAAAGAGGCCGAATAATATATGTAATAATATATATAACAGAAAAATTAGATTTTTTCCCCTAGGTGTAAACCCATACTAGACCCATTATATGAGAGTTGGTAACGACTTTGAGGTTATAACTTCCCATAGTCGACCAGAGTAAAATACCTTGGCCTTACATGGGCAACAATAAAATTTTGAGTAGAAAATGTTTTAAATACTTCAAAAAGTAAAGAAACAAACAGAAAAATATTGATTTTTCCCTCTAGATGTAAACCCATACTAGATGCATTCCGTGAACATTGGTTACAATTTTGATTTCATCCCACAGTTGACCATGGTTAGGTATGATGGACTTCACATGAACAACAACTAAACTTGGAGTAGAAAAATGTTTCAAATATTTCAAACAGTGGAGAAATAGACTTAATAACAGCAAAAGTGAAAGGTTCCCCCTTGGGTAGATACATACTAGATCCATTCCATGAGCATTGGTTATGACTGTGATGTCATCCCATGGTTGGACTTCACATGAACAATAAACTAAATTTTGAGTAGAAAAATGTTTCAAATATTTCAAAAAGTGATGAAAACAGCAAAAGTGAAAGGTTCCCCTAGGAGTAGATACATTCTAGATCTATGTGTGGGTTTATTTATTTAATTAGTGGACACAATACTATACATCAAAAAATAGAGAATCAAGCTGAATAACAGAAAAACCGAAGGTTTTTACCTAGTTATTCAGAAATTGTGAGACCGCATCTCACAATTTCTGAATAATTATCGATTAACGGTCACTAATCACCACACGTTTTTACCTAGGTGTACACCCATACTTAATCATTATGTGAGAGTTGTCATACCATAGTCGATCAAAGTTAAATACTTGGAATTCACAATGGACAATAAACTAAATTTTGAGTAGAAAAATGTTTCAAATATTTCAAAAAGTCCTCAACAAAATATGAAGTACAATAAAACTCATTTTTTCAACTATATGCAGGCCCATACTTATCTATGCATCGCCTATATGGTCAAATAGGTATCCATCTAATTATACTAAAATTCAAGTTGTCCAAAAAGAAGCTTTAAGTTGGTAAGAAATTTTTAGATCACAGTGGCTGAGTGGTTAGGACGTCTGACTCGTCTTTTCCAAACAAGCAGTCTTGGTTCAAATCCCAGCAAAGCCCCTGGCTTTTTAATTGAGAATAGTATGAAAGGAGAATTGTGAAGTGATTCCTTGTCTTCGACGTGTAGTTTATAGTCCTCTCATAAAACAAGAATTAGTATCCTTAAGTAGGAAGTGTTGCAAGTTAGACTAGAAATGACTACATAATACAAAGCATATATACAAAATTTATAGAAGTTTGTGTGCATTGCTGATAACAACATTTCAAAAGAAATGTCCTTTTTTAAATTAATTTTGTCTAAATAAATCACTGACTTTGTCGTGTTTTTATCTGTTTTAGCAAGAAGAGCGTCAAATATGAATTAATGAAGATAATGAAATGTTGTGTTGGTTGTTTTTCCTACCGGTGACATTGGTGTTGGGTCTGAGGGGACCACATCATCCTCAGGGACATGTTCATTACAAGCCGAAACAAGATGGGCCCAAACTGACACAAGACAGTCAACTTCTTCATGACGTTGAGTAAGCAACTTTCTACCCGTTAATTTTGTTATGTTACTTATATTGTTTTTAAACTTGAATCTTTAGACATATCCAAGACGATCTTAATAATGTAATTTCTGAGGAATATTTGAAGAAAATGACCCCGGAGGAGCTCGAGTTTCATTATTTCAAGTGAGACATCTCAAGCATTATTTTTATGTAGTTTATTGTTCCGAATCAATTTTACAGAATTCATGATTTTGATAACAACACAAAGCTCGATGGTCTTGAAATTTTACAAGCCATACGGCATACATTCGAACATTTAAAATTGGGAAACAACCTGGAAGAACAGAGCGAAAACAAAAAGTTAAATATTGAAACCGATTTTGGATATGTAGTAGGTAGGTTGATAAATCCAACTTGTATGTAGACTGTAGAGAACCCATTGCTAAACATGTTTATACTTTTAGAGATGATCGATCAAGTTCTAGCTGAAGACGATGTGGACAAAGATGGATATCTTAGCTACATGGAATATGTAATTGGACGGCAAAAAGATCAATCTAAAAAAAAGAAATTTATAAAGAATGAATGAAATTAAATTGTAGAAAGTTCGTTGCACAAAATAAACAACTAACAAAACAAATAAATAGTTTGTTAATTTTATTTATTCTTAATGCAGGTTGTTTTTGTGTTGTTTTACTGGTGGACAGAGAGTCAAAAAGTATGAGAGTCTCATCACATGCTCAAAATTTAACTTTTGTTCATTACTACAATTGAACAAAATTTGTCATGAGCACTTTCTGTTCAACAGTGATCAAGTTTTTTAGTTAATGAACTAATAATGTTTGAACAAGGCAAATTTTTATCATTCAAGTCAACATTTCTTTTCAATCCGAGACATTCTTTTCTATCTGAAACTACAACTAAAAAGTTGAACCAAACGTTCACAATAGATTTCATTCAACTTTAGTTGATCAATAAATAATGAATCGCGAGAATACTCCTCAACCCTCTGGGCCATCATGGTCGCATCCATTTCTTTATTAAAGTAAAATAATTACTGTGATAATGCTGTTAGGTGTTGCCAATGAGGGGTCAAACTGTTTATTTTCTACATATTATTCATACCCAGGACCACTAGACCCCTTCAATATAAAATAGAAAAGAAAATGTTCAGAAGCTTAATTTCTTTTTAAAACATAATAAGAGCAGAATAAATTGTATGATATGCCTGCCCAAAAATGGACTATCACTGACGAATAAAATTTTGTCCTCTTATTAGAAGGGTTCATTATGCAGAATTAATTTTTTTAATATCATAATCATACATATTAATAATTTGTATTACATGTATACAGAAATCTTATCAATAAATTTATTTATTACTAAAAAAATTAATTTGATTAATATTCTTTTTCTTATGGTACATAATTTCGACTCTATTTCTGACAGAATTTTTTTTCACGCTAATCTACAAATTGGTTTGTCACAATGACAATTTGAGAACTGATGAGGATTTTGGTTGACTCAATAACAAGATGTGAATGCTTTTCTTGGCTGGTTTCTCACCACGCAAGGAATCAACTTCTTTTCCAGAGGGAGTTCAGTAGATGTTAGTACCCAAGGAACCAGGAGTAACTGCAAGAAGAGAAGCAAAAAAATCCAGACAAAGAAAATAGTGGGTTAATCATTGTTACATAATCAGGAAACGAGAACTTTCTCACAACTACAGCTCCTTCCCTATAAAAGCTTCACTCTTTTTAATCTTACAATTAATTAAGGTTTTCAGTTGAGATAAAAAAGTCAATGGCACGAGCGGGATTCGAACCCACGATCTTTGGCTTGATACGCCGCTGCTCTACCACTTGAGCTATTGTGACCTCGATCCACTCGGACACTAACTTCCCCTTGCAAAATGCAAAATATAGGCTGGGGGTTCACGTAGCAGCCGAGAATATATTCAGACCACACGTTTTAGCATCCTAAAATCGAAAATATTAAAAAGAAAAGATAAAAGTAGCTTGTTGAACATCATCTATAACTATCCTCAAACGCCTGTTCAATTAGTTGAATCAACTAACTGCCCTGTCTGAAAAAATTTAACTGAATGAATTGTCCGCTTATAAGAGACTATTTCATTGAAAAAACTATAAATGTAGTGCCCGAGTCTGTTTTGGCAAGTTTTATTGTACTGGAGTTTGGACTGAAAATAAAATACAGGCTGAAAAGACAGCTTTACACAGACCATATTTTTTTTAAATTTAAATAAATTTTCAAGACTAAAAAAGTTTTACAATTTATTATGGGTAGGAGAAATCTTAACAAGGCTGCATAACAAATTATTTATTTATTTATTTTTTAACAAAGCCTTGTAATTGTATTTATTTTATGCTTGTTAAAATGTTTTTTACTTTCTCAATTAGATGAGACTGTCATGAACCCGGAATTAATTGCTTCAAAAAGTAAATAATAAACAAGTTAAAATTCCTGTGTATATTTTGAATTAAGAATTTATATAAGAAGTAAACAAAAGCATACAGGCTAAATCACAATAGACATTTCTATATAAAAATAATTAAACAACAATATAAATAATTAAACAATGGCTTTTTCCTTATGTCTGATAAAATATAAATTAACAAGAATTGCTCGGTTCTAATGCTAGCATTCCCATGGAATTATTTACAATATAAATAGAATAAATAAAAATATCAAATTTTATTTTAATGTACTTAGTAATATTAATGTGCGCATATCACTGAACAAAATAACAAGTAAGTTTATAAGTATATCGGCTTTTCCTCTTTAACCAAATCGATAAAAAGCGTTGATTCCAAATTTTAAGTGAGAGATTAGCCCTTTTAAATATTTTGTCCCTATTATTCTATTTTAATCACCGTTTTACATCCCATGTATAAATATTAATAATTTAACTGAAACGAGCAAGGAAAAAAAATATATAGAAACACTTACAAAAATATGTACAATAAAAAACTGTTTCTCATCCACACACAGGATCATGGAAGAAAGGCTAATTTCAAACTTAAACTAAAAACGAAAATAAATCTGTTATAGAATTAGTTAAGTGCAGTCGATGTGAGAAGGGCGACTCCCCTCTCGTAAAAACTGTGGGCGTCTTGTCCCGGAGCGATGTTCAAGTCGACGGTGAACAATAGTTCGCACCTCGTAGAATTCAGATACACAGGAAGGGATAATTTTCCCGCATTGCTATCACTTCCAGCTCTGAGAAAAAAATAAAATGATAATAACCCTTTAAGAAACTTTTTTGTTTTTTTAATTTACTTACCTCTGCCACCTAAGAAGAGTGGTAGGAAGGTCCATCATTATCGTTGAAGTTAAGAGTAGTTGGTTATTCCTACATTGTGCTCCTTGTAACTTCAAGCCTAAAAAAAATAAAAAATTATTTTGACTGCAAATAAAAATATTTTTTAAATTTTTTGCACACTATATTTTATACAGTAATGCCAGTGCTGTGCCCACAGGAAACCTGCCGTGAGAAGCCAACCAATGTTGTCACACAGTATGAGGAATTAAGGGGCAAGGAGGTCTCTAGACCATCGTTAATTAAGGCAGGTTTCGGGACCTGAGTGTGCAGTTAAGATGGACTGAAAGATTGGTGTGAACCTTTTGGAATCAAGAATGGATCAGTTCATTGACAAAAAGAATGTTAAAGTCGTTGTGGTTATTGAGCTTAATGACATAGTAAGTAGCTAATTTGTCTGAGGACTTTTGATTAAAAGCACTAAGCAAATCTCAGCAACAAAAAACAACTAATATATTGGGCCTAATGTTGGTTGCCAACACATTGGCCATCATAGGATCATCCTCATCAAACCAATGGGTTGGGGGCCAGGGATTCGGCCATGTGGAATCAGTTTGCACTAAAAACTAATAAAACTTGTGGACTTCATCAACACCACTTCCAGTTTTGTTTTCTTCTCTTTGTCTTTCACGATGAAAAGATGGCAATAAAAGTTCCATTTTCTTTTTTATATTGTTCACAATACTTCTAAAAGCTCACTTTCCCTCCAAGCGTCTAATCTTTCCAATTTGTTTTTAAAATTGCAGTTTTTAGCATCCCATGAACATTCCTGTTCACGATAAAATCCGATAAGTTTTGGTGCAGTCTCATTATTCCATGCCATATTCCAGCACTTTTCAGCATAAGAAGAATGAACCAATGAACGTTGAGCCGGCATCTACACTAGGCCAACCCAACGTAATCTTTTGAACCACCAGCAGTCCAAACCTGGACCAAGGCCAACCTCTTCATTTCATTGGCTGTGATTCTCCTCCCGTACACACTACGCAAATCTCAGCCAAAATGAAAAGCAACAAACTGCTTCATTGACCGTGATTTGCTTAGTATGTACCACTTTTACCAGAACGACACAATATCACTTTGTATGTCCAAAGTGGTCACAATGGCCTTACATAAGTAGTTTACTTGTTGATGACGATTTCGGTCTAGAAGTCTTCGAAGAACCGTCATTTTCAAAAAGTCCAAGTCTTCTGTTATGTTGTTGTCTCTTTAGTTTTATGTACGGATTTCATGTCAGTCTGCTATCTAAGTATGGTCATAAGTACTTGGTTGAATGTTAATCAGTATCTCTTTTTGCTACTGTGCAGTAGAGGGGAAGATGTGAATACATTTTTCTTCATTCAGTTTGTCCTCCCCTTTTTGCATTAGTCGTATTGGAATTGCATTGTAGGTAGTTTGGATAGAATTTGAGTTAAGAGGACAAAATTGCAGTGGGTGGTGATGATTGTATTAAGATGTAGGTAGGTTAGAATATATTTAATTAAAACAATTACCTATAACGGGGAAACTACATCTATCCATAGATGGAGTCGTTGCCTGATCCAAAATTGTAACTTCAAGAATAAGCTCCTCGAGCGACCAACTGTTGGCCTGGGCGATGCATTGCCTCGTTGCTGTCACGTATGCTTCAGGGTTCATCAATCCTCCCAACCAAACGGGCATATTCTATAACATTACTCGTCACAATCTGACTCCGCAACACATAGTATGAAATTTACCTTAATTTCCGATGGCCCTTTTTGAGATGCGAGTTGGGAGATTTGCTCCAGCTGTTTGACCCTTTGACTGAAATCCGTTACCCATTGAATGACGGTACATCCGCGCGGAACTGTGTACCGCCTCCATGAGCTTGGCAATATACCCCTCACGAGATCGTTGAGCATAGCTCGGTGATAGTTTGTCTGTTTCTTTTCACCCTGCAATATGTAAATATATATATCTTTTGTATCTTCTTTTTTGACATTTTAAACTATAAACTATACATGTGTGGATAAAAGATCAAAAATTCCAAGAGTGTACCAGATTAATTATAAAGTGATTTCTTTCTGATCTGTTTTAGGTACAATTTTTTTTTTTTTTTTTTTTCAATGATATTTCAACTACAAGGTTATATGAACCCTCAGGATAGGTGTTTTTAAACAAAAGCCCATTTGTAAGTATACCAGCTATGAATGCAGGGCTGCTGGATTTGAACTCAGGACCTTACCTTGATGAGCGACCTTACCATGTTAATGCCAAAACCGTTGTGGCAACCAATGCCCTTACATATTTTTTACAAGACATCTTTCACAATCCAGAATTACCCTGCTGTTTATATGGAGGTTTTTAGCTTTATTTTAATGGCAGAGAAATAGCCCATTGCACTTTAAAAGGGGCAGGAAAATTCAAGATTGCGACCACGGTCTCATGGTACATGATAAACAAAGTAGCTAATACTTTTCTAACCATCTCTGCTACTGTGGTCCCCCATTTAAATAAATTAATTTTAATTAATCTTGATGAAAATGTTATAACTAACCTGACAGATAGCAACTACATCCGCTAAATCATGAATAACATCTCTTAATAATTTAGCTCCAGAATTAACCTCCCTTTCAAAATATCTGTATAAAGGATCTTTGATATTTTCCACTGTCCTTTTTAAAGTCTGAAACCAAATTTACATTTTAATTGTGCACAACAGTTTAAATACAATGTGAAAGGAAAAAACCTACTGGTAGATTTGTTGGTAAAAGTTGAAGCCAAGTTGTCGCAGAATTGTAAAGGATTCTCATCCAGCCTGGTCTACCGTCTGTCGGCCTTGTAATGCTGCTGGGCGAGTCGTTCATGCTGTTCTTTGTAAGGCTGTTGACTTGAGCTGAATCGTCAGTGTAAGCTAGTTCATCCTCGTCCTCGAGCTGTTGCATTTTAAGCAGCTTTATGACCAAATCCGTCCCTCTGTTCGTTAAAAGGACTTTCTCGGCGTTGTTCGGCAGTCCGAGCCATGAAGGCGTCTGTCTGTCCGAGAGGGATTCAATCCAATGAAGGAAATGGTCTCTCCTCGTACCATCCGGCATCGTGATATGCCTGTGGCCACCAGGCGCACCTGCGACTCCGTCAACATTAGCCACCAATGCGAAATCAGATTCAAAGCTCTTTGGCGTGAATAATTTGGCTAAGAATGAGGAGAGCAGCCTCTGGTCAAAATCATTGTCAATCTTGCCTCCATAAATACACTGTGACAGAAGTGTGACTAAAGCGTCCCAAGGCACTTTCTCAGGGGCTAATTGTGTCCTTCCCTGTAAATAAAAATATTAATTTAAAATAATTCAATCAAAGTGAGTGATCCTGTCTAATTTCCTTCTTTTCGAGAGTAAAAAAGTAAAGTAATTCTCATCATACAGGAGAGCTTAACCAAAAAAGAAAATTTTCTGTTGGGTGTCATAGACAAGGAGTCAGACCACTTTACTATACTTGCTCCATATTATATACAATTAAAAAACCATGGGCCAAGCTGGGATTCGACCCCAGGACAGCTAGCACGGCAAATATGAGTCAGATGCCCTAACCACTCGGCCACCGCGGTCATCTACTTCTAGAGAATGAATAGTGTGTTTTCACAACCTTTCTATTGTTATAGAGTGTGAGTTTGTACGAATACACTACTGTAATTAGTGTTGTTTAAAGCAAAAAAAGAAATGACAGGTGCTAAATTAATAAGAATAGGAAAAAAATATTTAATTGTTTGATTACATAATATTTCTGTTTGCACAGGCAATCTGTGATTTTGAACAAGCAGGAACTGGATCACTAGACATCGCGACAAAACTAGGCTGGAAGCAACAGATCATGTTTTGTCTGGCAAAGTACAACTAAATGTAGTACAACTACATTACCAGATCGTACCAATTAAATATCCCGCAGTGCTACATCGCCTTATTAGTAACATTTACATTAAAGTGGAACTTACAGCTGATGTTGCATCAATCCAGGTGTCTAAAGTATCGCAAGCGACTCGTAGATCGGATTCATTAAATTCATAATGTTTTGCCCATCCGAGCGGTGAATACCGTAGCCTTTCTTGTACAATAGCATTGAACCAAGCGAGGAGGAAATATAATCTAGCCCTTTCACTCGGCTGTTTCATCATCCTCGATGCCGGAACCTAAAATACAATAAAAGATTGTTACTCATTTTACAAACTCCTTCATTATTTACGGTTTAAATTGAAATTATGTAAAATCATTTTCCTGAATGTTTGTATTAACAATCAAATATGACACTAACCGTACTAAAAGTTCTAAGAAGGTTGGCCCTGATTCCTGGCGGAGGTTCAAACACAAATATTCTCCCGGCTCTTAACAAGTTGACTGGAACTTTCGGGTTTATCTCCATCGTCAGGAACAGGCGGAAATTCGTGTGGGGAGATAGTGAATGAAGTTTTTTCTCTAGTTGTACGAGCCACTGAGGTGCTAGATGTACGTTCTTGAGGAGAACCCACCTGAAAAATAAATTCCCAATAAGAACAAAATTCGTGTACATGTGAATGATATAGGTTACCTTCCAGAACGGACAGCCATATTAATGACTGAATCGGCCTGGCTGAACCCTTCCGCAGAACCGATAGCGATGCTTGCAATTTGTTTGCCCAGTTCGGCCGCCATGTCGTCAACCCTGGAAGTCGCATCAAAGCCTGTGACGGAACACAACAGTGCAGGAACGTTGCAACTGAGCTCTTTCTCAGTAATATGACCCAAGTTCGGTTCTCTTTCAGCGGTTTGCATGAACCCTTCTCCTAATACAGTCGAGACAAAAATATGTCCCGCTGCCACGACTCTATCAGGCCTTACAGCCTTAAAAAAAGATAACATTAACAAACAGATCAAAAATTAAAAAGAACTTGTCATACCTGAATGAGTAGAAGTCTATTCATGGATGTTGCGATTGGAGACAATGGCTTGTCTTCATGCCACAACGTTGGCACACACATTTCAGGTGTGCTTTGCTGCGACCATGCCACAAATTCAGGCATTTCACGAACTTTCTTCAACAGCTCTTTAAATGGATGTAATCTAAAAAAAAGAATATCATACAGAACAATATTAAAATTATAAAAAGTTCATGACATACCTCGACGCCATGCGGATCATGGCTTCCATTTGCTCGGAAGACAATCCGTCAATGGGTTGTTCATTTGAAGCAATTACACCTTCTTTGGCACTCATGAAATAATGGAACTCATTGTCTAAAGGATCCTCAGAAGGAAGTCCTTTAAGATGTATTCTACAAAGTAATATGGCGAGTGTAAGCCTGTCGATGTGAAGCATTCCTCTTGCAACCCTTTCAAAACACACCTAGGGGGGAAAAATATTTTTGATAACAAATTTATAACAAAAAGTTTTGATATGAACAGAGAAATTTGGCAAATTACAGTCATTGCTTGGAGACAAAATGAAACTAATGCGTCCACGATTGTTATTATGTTTCAAATGGATGGTTGTAATAAAACGATTTGTTATTTAATTAAAAATGTTTTTATTACACTACAAAAATGCCTCCGGCAATGGACAATAAAAATAAGAAAAATATTAACATGTTGACTAAGGGGCCTGCCAGCCGATACCCCGTGTTGAATTAATTTAAAATTACAATGGCCAAGTCGAAACACTGTCAACGCATCAAGGAAGGAAGGATGACTCCCACAAGTGTACAAACTTAGTCAAACATGTTAAAAATGAAATTTATTTCCAAAACAATTAGTATGCAATAGCATATTATTTTTCCTAACACTTATGGCCATGTTGATCTTGGTTCAGTTGATTCAACAATTTGAAACTCACAAAAAGTCAAATTATCAAGAGGAAAGAAAAAAAATTGTTGTTGAAAAAATTTTTTTTAAAAATTAATTTATTTATTTAATTTATTTATTTATTTTTTTTTAGTAAGAGAGAAAAGAAATAGCCAAGGAAAAATCTCCACTGAGCTGGTACCTAGAGAATGGGTGGATTGTCCGAAGAGGAACTGTAACATTTTGTTCTGCATATTTTTGAATATTTGAAGCATAATGCAATTTTCCCAAGTTATTGCAATTGTGCATATATAAAACATACTAAATAAACGAAAAAGCACAATATTCAACCATAAAATTGAACATAGGCATTATTTAAAATATCATGAAGTGGTTTTTGTTTTAATGTGGCCTGGCATCCTTCATTTAAATAATTTTCCGAATTGACCAGCATTCAGAACATACTGTCAAAACAAACAAAACGAGAAAATTCGAAGAAACCTTAGGCTGTAAGGAAGTTAACATTATGTAGAAATTTAGAGGAATATAACAAATAAAAAGTGCAAATAAAGATGGGACATGGCTCCATTTTGATTAATAGCATGATTTTTCTCCTCTTGTTACGAAAATATTTTGTTACCAAATGTATCAAAATGCACAGAATTTTTTGATTTGCAGAAAGGATCTGCTGAGGAGTTTGTATTACCAAGAAATTCAAATTATCAAGTTTTATATTAACAAGTATCGACTGTATTAGCCAAATCATACCTCCATAATATAATGGCTCAAGTGGAAAATAAGATACAAATTTTTTTTTGCACTGGGGTGACCAGATTCGGCCGGAGATGAGGTTGCCCTCGGCAAGGTTGAGCGAAGCCAACAAGACGCTGAAGTTGCTCAGGTAGTCTTTAGAAGCCTAAGGACGCCCAGCAAAGGATCAGCGGGAACATTGGTGAGTAGTGGGGCCTGGTCGGACAGGCAAGGCTTGCCTTGAACATGTTAGAAAAACAAGGCAAAAAAGTCTTGATTGTTTTTGTTTTTTTAATTTTTTTATCTTGGGAACTTTTCTTTTTGGCGGAGAGTTCGCATGTGCAAAAGGAGAACCGAGCTGTGACAAGAGGAAAGGACCAAGACGAGGTTCAGACTTTACAGAGGACATTACTATCTAATTTTAATTTTAATTTTATTTTTATTTTGCCCCGAGGGTTCACTGTTTCTCCAAAAGAGGAAAACAGTGTTGTGCCTGATTATTGTTATTATTATTTAGTTTTATTTATTTATTTTTTATTTATTTATTTATTTTTTTTTTTTTTTTTTGAGAAAGAGAAAAGAAATGGCTGAGGAAAAATTTCCGTTAAGCTGGTACCTGGAGACTGGGTGGATTGTCTGAGGAGGAACTGATAACATTTTGTTCTGCATATTTTTGAATATTTGAAGTATAATGCAATTTTGAAAGAATTTTGATTACTTAAAAAAATAAACACCTATTTTGTGACTATGACCATAAGAGGAAAAAACCAAGAACTTAAAATTTTATTAATATTTCATGTTATTATTGGTCGAAGCGTTTATCAAGAGAAATCCTGTGTCCATAGTTGTAGCAATGTACTGACACACGTAGCAGTGAGTACTGCCTTTTGGTATTGAAACCGTGTCAGGTAATGGTAGAGAAGACCCTCCAAGTTGGTTTTGAAAACGTCTCATGTTGCATTGTATTCAGCCAACTCGACAAACGGTGTCTCTTTGAGCAGTTCATATCACCACTTTTGTTGGCTTTTTAGTATTTTTATTTTATTGAGTACCAAAACGCAAAAAATAATTATGCATAAAATTGATCAATGAGGTTGATAAGCCTACTCTTTTGTGGGACTTGAGAACTCCCAAATACATTGATTGAATGAAAATCACGGTGTATTTGTTTACCTAACAATACATTTTGAGAAATAAGAATAAATAGTAAAACATTGGGAGATCAGGGACAAGTCCGAAGGCCGATATATAATAAAAATGAAGAGAAAAATAAAATATATGGATACATAGGAAAGAGGACTTAATAGAAAGAGCAAGGGAATAGTAATAATTAAAGGGGTAACAATATAAACTTGCTTACCGAAAATAATTGTTTTGTTATGACAGCCAGTCTTGTACTGTGGTCCGTCAGGCCATCAAGATTAGGGTTACTAAATAAAACGGCATTGAAAATGTCTAAGAAGAATTTGAGAGAATATTGATACAAGAAATGGATTTGATTAAGGCTGTCCATGGTGAAGTACATATTGCTGCAGGCCTACAAAACAAAAACAACAAATTGTATTTTTTTTTTTTTTTAATATTGAATATTAACTCACCTGAGAAAGAGGTTTATATTGTTGGGAAACTGTCTCTATTTCGGCAATAACCCTATCAGTCTCTTCAACCTTCTTACTAATATCAGCAGCCTCTTCTTTAAGAGTTTCCAAGGTTGTGATAACAGAATCGTCGTCAAGGATTTTACCCTTGGCTTCGTTCAAAGCCTGCAAAAGCGATTTCTCTAGTTGTCTCAGTCTTAAATGGAATTCCCCTTGTAGTTTAAGCAAATCGGAGCGTTTCTCATCGATATCGGGCCTTTCTGCTTTCAGCACTTGGTTCAAGCATTGGCTCTGCAACGACGATCTTGTGACTGTGAAGTTGACGAATGTAACTCTCGAACAGATATCTGGCGGGAATTCGACAGTCGGGTCACGCGTTGACAAAAATATAACAAAAGACGGTGACAAATCTATGTCTTGATCGCCGAGCGTTATTAGGACACGGCCGCTCGTTCTTCGTACTTCTCTGTTCAACACCGGGTTCAATATTGGGTCATAATTTTCAACATCCTATTAAAAATAAAATTAGTACAAATATGACTTTAACTGAAATAAAATAAAATATTTACTTGAACAAGGAGTGGATTTCCGAATCGTAATGCACTTTCAAGATTCTTTCTGAAAGAATCGTCCAAGAAGCTCGTTTTTGTTATCTTGTCCCTGTATTCCTTGAGTATAAATTCTGTCGCTTGCCCTGAAGGATCAATGATCAACGGATATCTATTGAACCTCTGAAATTGGTAGGAAATTTTTTAACAACAATCGAATAAAAATTAGAAAAAAGTAATTTGACATGGGAAAAAATCCACCCAAATGTTTTACCTTAAGCATGATAGCATTTTCCGTGCAGAGGTCATCTGTCGGCAAAGCATTTTCCTGCCATCTCAGCCTTTCATCAGGATTAGATAAATATTCAGTAAGTGCGATTTCAGATCTAAATAATATTCCAGCATTCGTCAGGTGTTCTGTCCAAGTGCTGAGAAGATTATGACGATACTAAAACAAAAATTTAAAATACAAAAATATGTTTAGGAGAAAATAGAAAAAAATAAAAAATAAAGTGCTCACGTGTTGATCAAAATAACCGGCGTAAGCGAGATAAGCAGAGGAGAGGAGAACGTCGCCGATGATTGTGGCCATCTGAGACTTGAAGGTTTCGCTCGTCATCTCCCATCTCTCCCTTTCGATTCCTAGAGACTTGAGTAGAGCTATCGACCTGTCGACCTTGGCCTGAACGTTCTCAAGATCTTGCTTGATGGCAAGACCGTCTTGAATGAGTTGAGCATACTCTTCCTTGTACGCGGCAATGCTCTTTTCAAGCTGTTGGATGAGTTTCTGAGTCTCCTCGCCTTTTTTCTGGTTCTCGCCTGACTGATCCTCGAGCGATCTCAACTCCTCACGGAGTGGTTCAACTTTTTTCAACATATCCGCATAACTTATCTGCAAGTTTAATAAAAAATAATTATTTCTAATTCTTTTACACTATTAAAGTTGTTAATTAATTGATATTTACTTGAGCAACAGCCCATTTGACCATAGGTCCACAAGCCATCGAAGCTCTGTTGACTTTTTCAAAAGTATACTCGGGATTGCTAAGATACCGTGTGTGCATTTTCTCCCGAACTTCGTCACTAAATAAATCAAATAATTAAAGATCTTTTTCTAAAACTAAACATAAATTCAAAATACTAACGAAATATTTTCTGTGCTGAAATTATTAACGATGGAATTGATAAAATTGTCCCTCATTACGACAGTCCTGATGCTCTTCCAGTCAGTGGCATTTTCGCCAAGCAAGAGACAAATCGATTCGAGAGCAAGCTTGACAACGGCAGGAGGGTTAGCCATAGATCTAACTTCAACAAGCTGCTGTTTCTTGATTTCCTTCACAGCTAATGAAATAAAACATATTATTTCAAGACAAGTATTTCATTTAAAAAGAAAAAAAACACTAACCTTGCTGGGCATCAATAACAGCGGGTTCTACGAGAGCTAGGTCAGCCATAACCCCTTCTCGCTTCTGCGCAATGAGCAGCTTTTGCTTTTCTATCTGCGATTGAATTTCCTGCGACACGACTTTTTTCTTCTCTGCTTCTTGTTGGTCCTTTACCATTTGGCGCAGTTTAGCATTTGCCGCCTCGTTTTTCGCTTGTAATTCCTATATCAAACAGGTCTCATTAAGAAAAGAAGTTTTCTTATTTTGATTTAAACCTACCTGAGATTTGACGGCAAGGGACTTTTGCATTTCTTCTACCTGTTCGACGGTTTCGGCAATTTTACCTAAGCCGACATTCAAATGGACCTGTTGTTCTTCCAGCTCTGAGCATTTTTCTCGATAAAGTTTCACAAAATGATTGATAAAGTCCAAATAATGTCTGAAATTTAAAATTAAAAAAATGATTTTTGGATGTTTCAAGACATACAGACCCACCAATACTCATTTTGGTCTTTAAAAAGTTGTAGGGATTAATGACCAGGCCTACTACCTGTTGGGTGTTGCAGATCAGGGGTCAGAACCACTTTACGATATTTCTTAATTTAAATTTAAAGGCTGTGAGTTTTGCTGGGTTTCGAACCAGAACCACTAGTGTGGCAAAGTTGGACCCCCAAACCACTTGGCCACTATACTCTAACTTAAAAAAATTAGTACTACACCTAAATAAATTTAAATTTACCTAGGAGTAATCGCCATTGTCCTGGCACCTCTTTTAGCAAGACGTGCATTCGCTTTGTGCAATGTTTGGTGGACATAAACACACGCATTAATGACCGCTTCTCTGTACGTTGGAGTAGACGACAAACCAGAATAAACAACAGGGAAGAAATCTGGAGGTTTCCAATTAGCAGCACCATCAAGATCCAGTTGATTTGTAAACTCTCTACCAACCTGAAATCAACCCATGAAAATAATATTACAGCAAAATATCATTTAAAAAAGTATATTACTTGATAGAGTGCGCCTTCGGACCAGTCGCCAAACCAATTGAGTACACAACGGTTGAACAAAGCAGGACTAGTGGCAGCACGATCTTTAAGCCCTTTGGACGATGGATTCATGGTGAAAACGACATGAAGATTTCTCATGACTTGGCCGGTGAACCATTTATACAATTCCTCGTTTGAATCTAACATTAAGCCTTCTCTCTGAGCGCCTTCTTTGCACTGCGTCATCAAAGTGCTGTACTCGTCGCCTTCGAAGAGACCGGGGACTTCCCCGTTGGCCAGAAGTGTGTTCATTCTTTCTAAGAAGCCCGATTCGAGGACGTTGCTTTCGTCAAGAATGAAAGCGATCTTTTCATTCTTACATCCCGACCTTCTCAGAACCGACCTTAGATCTTCATCGAAATCTTCGCTCGTGTACTTGTTGTGAACTCGGATTTGAAAAACTGTCAGACCGTTCATAAACGCGACAAATCGTGATAGAGTTGTCTTTCCTGCTCCTGAAACGCCGATTAATAGCAGGTGACCCTGTGGTTGTCTGAAAATCCGATCGATCCTCAATACATGTTCTAACACTTCATCAAAAAGAACAAGCGGAACATCCAATTCTTCATCGTAAAAAACCTAGAAAGTAAATCATATTAAAAAATAAGAAATTCCTTATAAAATTAATAAATTACTTTAAGCCTGGCTTTAACATAATCGCGAAGTTCATCTCTATCGACAGGTACATAATCTTTGGATAGCCAGTTAGAGTAAAGGATCGGTCTGCCAAGGGCTTCTTTCTTATCGACAGAGGGAAAATGTTTTAAAGCCACTTTGTCTATGTTTTCATTCGTCCAAATCCTTTCATTAGCTTCAACCAATCTGTCTTGGAAAAGGCGAAGAGCTTCGTGTGCCCATAACCTCACAAGCCCTTCAGCATTTAAACTCTCAAGAGGCCTAAAAAAAAGTTTAAATGATTTTATTCCTTATAAGAAAAAAGATAAATGTTATTCAAATAAAAAAGAATTACCTCATAGCTTCACAAATACCTCTGACCCATCTGGTCATCTCACGAGGAGAATAGACATAATGCGGCTGCATGTCTTGTGTAAAATGCTCTTGCGAAACCAAATAAAACTCCACCATTGCATTTGTAAGCGGTTCCGCAAATCCTCTGAGCGACGGGATCAGCCTAAGCATCGCTCTACTGAATGTACCGTAAATCTGTTTGAGCGATGTTTCCCCTGGATAATCTACGTATATGACTGGGACATGTCTCAAGAACCGGTGGGAAAGCGGTTTCCTTCCGGGATCAGTTGGAGGATTGCAAGCGCCGACGAACTGAATCCTCTCTAGAGTCACCCATGCTTGATCAGATGTCCTGTAGAAACCTCGTTGTTCGACTAACTGCCTCAAAAATGAGATGACCCTTTGTGTTCCATAAGAATCCATGTCCGGAAGATTAATCTCATCGCAGAACAAGACCAGCCATTTCCCAAGCTATGATTTTTACCAAATTAATACCTTTCAATTCCATGGAATAATGAGTGTCATAAATTCATTTGATGTTATGAATTTGATTGAGACAAATGAATCACCTATAATTTTGACTTTATCTACTTTAATTTGAATTTAGAAATATAAAAATAAATAAATAGAAGAATGTGAAAAGATTCTAATTTTGCTGTTTTCTGTGGGGAGAAATCCCTTAAAATCTTATTACAGTGAAATCTCTCTAAAACGAGCACGCAAGAAATAAGTGTTCTTGTCCATTACTGATCTGTGCCTGTTCAGGAGGGGAAAAAATTGATGTTTGGTCTGTTTTCTAAACTTTTCATCCTCAAGATCGTTCTTAATTCATTCACTATGGCAATATACTTTTGGTCTAACATATCTTTACAAAACTCGAACATCAAAATCGCTCTTTTAATGTTATGTAAGGCGCATGAAGTGGGCTAACTTAAAATCCAGTTGAGATTTGGGAACTGAAGAGCTCATTTGGCAATAACAGGCCAAACAAAAAGGGTGGCATCCTCACCTCTGATTCCTCCATGAAAGCAAAGCAAAGGAAACAGAATTAAAGTCGTTTCCAGAAAAATAGAAAAAAGGCCGTCAGATGCCTGAACAATTTTCCTCAATGAAAAAGCTTTCGAAAAAATACTCTATTTAATTCCCAAAAATGTCCCCAATTCAAATGAAAACATAACACGAAGGAGAAATGGAACTTCCGCAAAAAAATCAACAAAGACCAAAGTAAAGCAGAATTTAACAAATATTTTTTCATACATATATTTTATTTAATATATTATTAATTTTATTTAATATATTTTTATTTTATATATATTTATTATATTTATATAGAGGGATTATTAATCTGATGGGAAATGACAGTAGTGTCTGCGACTGATATGGTAGGGATCCGTTATAGGAGTAGTAATGTGCAGAAATCCTTTTTTTTGCCGGAGACTCCAAAAACTGTCCGTTAACAGAGGTTGCTGAACAGGGTGTCCGTTAAGAGGGGTTTCACTGTATTTATTTTTATAGCACAAAACAAGTTAAAGCAAAATGAAATAAAGAGTTGCTTGCCAAAACAATATGTACTGAAACATGAATTAATTGGTTTTTCTTTTCAAGGTAATTTTTTTTAAATTTTAAATCAGTAAAATGGACACGATTTGTTGATATTATAATTATGTACTTACTTGAACTGGGGCAAGTATGACTCCATTCGGCGTCTTTCTGTACTCGCAGTAATGATCGAATGTCTTGAGCAACAATTCGGGCGTTGTCGCTGAAGAAAAGTTAAGCCCAACGACTTCCATGTCCGGCAAAGCTCTCAGGGCCGAGAAGAGAGTCATGGTCTTACCAGAACCGGGAGGGCCGCAAAGCACTAATCAAATTTCAAAATGTTAGTTTAAGGAATACGATGAAAATTTATTATTTGAAAAAGGGTTCCAACCTAAAGGCCTATGTTCTGCAAGCCATGTGTATAAAAGAGATTCGTGTCTTACAGTGTCTAATGTAGGAACGACTACATCAGGAGCGGCAACTTTATGAATTTCAACTTCAATCTGTGGAACTTTAGCAGACCAAGCACTCCATTCCCCATTAATGTTAACCTTAAAATGAAGAAATAAATATTGTTTTAATATTTTTGTTTAAAGGAATTAATGAACTGAATTACCTCAAAGTCGATAATTGGCGTATTTGGGATTTGTGGAGGCAGTGGTATTGTTGTAACCGACCTGATGAAATCTCCTAAATCGCTCCTTACTTTTAGTTTTGCATCGCCAGCGAAGCTCCATAGCAAGGAATAAACTAACACTTTCGGAATGTACCGATCTAGTTGTTCGGGAGGAAGGGGAAAGTCTGAATGCGTTTGGTTATACTGGATGACGCATCGGACACCGTAATTCAACATTGAGAATAAAGAGCCCAGAGCTCTGAGCCTTGTCAAATCCATGATGTGCTCTTGAATAATAGCGTACTCTAAGCATTTAACAACCAACCCTCCGGGGGCGAAATACGATTGAAGTATGTTTGCGATATCGTTTTGCACTTGCATCGAAGGTGAAACACCTTCTTCCTTCTCCGATTGAATCTTTTTTGGCGCAAAACCTAAAGAATCGTCGTCGGTCTCTTCCAATGGAATGTTCTTCAGTCGAAGAAGGTAATTTTCAAAGATCATTTCAGTCGAAAGGACATCTTCCGAGAACCATACCATGCCACACCTTGAAACTGTGGCAAGAGTAGCGTATTTTAAATCTTGAACCTAGTAAAACCAAAATAATTAAGATTACTATTTTACTATTATCTTATTATTAAGTATGTACATAAGTTTTCTTTTTTTTTTTTTTTTAATTTCGACTTTCACTCTTATAAAGGAGATCCTTTATTACCTGCTAGGCCCTGTTAGCTCTAAGATGGGAAATACTCTATTAAAAGGATTAAGAAAGTAAAGTTGATCTGTAAAGACAGTCTAGAATAAATTGCGACATGGAAGCAGATGAAATTTAGTTGAGACAATGCTTGCTATGTAAGTTCAATTTCAGGCCTAGAGAATGTGCCCAAAATTTATGACTGAAATAAACTGAACATGTCAACAGTGGTTGTTTTCATAATGAAAAGAAACAAATAAAAAAAAACACCCTTGTTGTGGAAGGCTTATAACCTTAGAAGCAACGACTTAAGTGGCATTGGAGGATGAGGACTTGAGCCGACATGGATTTAAAGGTGAGACGATGGAATTAAATCTAGCAGAGCTATCAGAGATTTCAGATAAATGCACAACTATAGAAAGAATCTGATCTCTGGATTATGTTAATGCATGGGTTCTTCATGATATCTTTCAGGAACAAGGAAGAATGCTTAGCTTGCATTCCAGAAGAGATTTTCCTTATTAGGTCTTGGGATGAGTAGGTCCTTTACAAAAATGTTAAACATCGGGTAGACATCTATCTAGTGGGATATTAATGGAATAATTTATTGGGAACTGTTACAACACGACCAAACCCTTAAAGCAGAAATATGCTGAGCCCAGCTAGGGCGGCAGGGCTAGTAACAACATCATGTTTGGGCAGAGGATGCCAGGCCTCACATAAACTCAACTATTGTTGGTACAAAATTAATGCACTTTTGAAAAAAAAAATGTATTTTCTCAGGTGCTTGTCATGTAAACAAAACTAAATCCTCAAATCTAAATTATGGAATATAATAATTAATTTTATTGTTATCTTTTATACAAAACATTTTAGTTTATATTAAATTTTATAAGAGTGAGGGCCTGAGGAATTAAATATGTCCAAACTAGATTTTCATCAAATTGATTTGTGTACATTTAAACTTGGGTGAAGTGTGGCTCAAATCGCATGTAACATCAATACAGGATTTCAATCTCGAAGATAGAGAAGGTCGTAGTAGGCCTTCCGTTGTGGACAATGATCAACTTAAAATGTTGATGAAGAAAATTCACATAAGACAAAATGGGAAATTGCGGAAGAGAAGCAGTCAACTGTTGCTCGCCATCTGGAGCAAATCGGTAAAGTAAAGAAGTTCGATAAGTAAGTACCGCTGGAACTAACCAAAGCCCAAAGAAACACGCACATTTCTTCTGTTGCCTCACCAAAATGATCACAATCAAATCATCACGTGCGATGAGGTCTGTGGTTGGACAAGGATGAAGCGCCAAAACACTTCCCGAAACCAAATCTGCACCCAAAAACGGTTATGGTGACTGTTTGGTGGTCTACCGTTGGCGTTATTCACAATAATATCCTGAATTATTTTCACTAGTTTCGTGGTCCGCTTGACCAAGTAATATCTTACAATTAATTTAGGTTTTTAGTTGAGATAAAAAAGTTAATGGCACGAGCGAGATTCAAACCCAAGATCTTCGGCTAGATAGCTTAAGTGGTAGAACAGCAGCGTATCTAGCCGAAGATCATGGGTTCTAATCCTGCTCGTGCCATTAATTTTTTATCTCAACTAAAAACCTTAATTAATCTTGAATTACGGGGAAGCTATCAAAGCAGAGAAATGTTGCCAAGAAATTCAGCCCAAAAAAAAAGCTGCAATCTCTTTATCCAACATTGGTAAACCAGAAGGGGCCAATTCTTCTTCACGACAATGCCAGGTCACATGCCGCAATGCCAACTTTGCAGAAACTTGAGGATTAAGGATATAAAACCTTACTGCCCCCTCTCAGACTTCCACTCTTTTTAGGCACTTTTTGAGGGATAAAATTTTTAGAGAACACAGTTAAGCCAAAAATGCCTTCCAAGACTGTATTGTGAGGCGAAATAAAGATTTTTATGTCAACAGAATAAGTGCTTATTACACGTCGACAAAGAGTGGATGGAAAATATTTTGAATAAATTTTCTTTATAAAATAAAAATAGTTTTGACTGTCTTTCAAAGCCTGCATTATTTTTGCACCAGCCCAATAAAATCACCAAGTTAGGCTGGCAACAGTTGCCCCCTTTCCATCATACTCTCCAGACTTGCCCTTCAGATTTTTATTTGCATGAATTTTTACTGACTAGACAACCAACTAAAAGGTAAGGAATTTTTGAACAAAAACAATGAAAATCGGACTTACAGATTTCTTCTCATCCAAGTTATCAGTTTTTATAAAAATAGGATATTTCTACTATCAGAACTTTGGCATATAGCATAGAAAACAAAGGAAATCATGTTTTAGATTAAAAATAAAATAAATTTGTATTTTGAAAGTCGGATTTTTTGGAAACAGTAAAAAAAAACTTATCCATATATCCAATACTGAGATCTTACTTACCTCAAACATAACTCTAACATTTGGTGGTAATGACAATCTTTCACCATTTGGAAGAGTAAGTAATTTGTTATCGTCGAGTACCGAATTGAGATTTTCAACCCATTCGGGATCTACATCACCATCGAAAATAATCCACTGTCTTTTGTTAATTTCTCCTCTTACGTTGTCTATGATTTTTCTGAAATGAAATAATAGATTTGTAATTAAAATTTATGGATAAGGCATACTTTTTTTTTTTTTTTTTTTTTTTGGTAAACCGTTAGGTCATAGCCAGAACACATTTTTCCTCTCTGCATTTATAATATTTCTGCATTTTCCACTTCACATTACTCTATGTATTCAATGCTTGGTTGCAAAGACCTGGGACACATCTGCACCTTTCTCATTCATTCACCAATAACTACTTTTAACATGCTAATAAATACTCATTCATCTCTTCCTATGCCATACTATATACAATTAAGAACAAATCAAGGGCCACTGGGGTAATGAATATTCCACAGATGACCACTCCTTTCATTCATACCATAAGACTAAGCCTAGAAACAGCCCATCGAGATTCTGAAATATTCTAACGAATGGTTTCTCTAATTCACACTAATTCCTGTACCTATTAACGTATCCTTGCATCCAGTATCAATCATGCTAATAAATACACTCATTTGTCGCATACTTGTTGCTTACCTTAAAATGTGTGTAAACAATCCATCAGTCCATTCTCTCGTATTCGGATCGAGCACGCCGTAAAGTGCTTCTTTGGACATCGCCTTTGGATCTATGACGTGCGACACGCCTTCAATCCCTTCATACCTCTCTAACGCCTTCAAGAGCACCCTCCACGCCGATGATTTGCCAGAGCCAGACGGGCCAACCATCATGAGCCCATGATTCAAATTTGAAATTTGGTACAGCTGAAGTACCTTTATTGAAAGAAAAATATATATATATACATATATATAAACAACCAATAACATTAACTAATAGTTAAAACAATTCAAACTTTGGGATGATTTTCTAATAATTTTAATAAATTATAATTACAGACACATAAACACTCTCAATACCTTTTCTATCCATGTTTCCCCACGATACTGCTTGCAATAGAATTTAACATATTTTTTAATAATGAATCACAAGATGACAGGCTACATTTGTTAACTTATTGAAGTTTAAGTTAAAAAGATTGCAACAAAATTATTATTAACTACAGTTAATATTATAGTTACCTTTTCCATCCAAGGGCCACCTTGTTCATCTCCTTCTCCACAAACTAGGTATTCTTCTTGACAAACTTTTCTTAATTCTTCTTTCAACTCTATAAATTAATAATAAATGATAAATATTTGTTCAAATAATGTTAAAATTAATTATTTACTTGTCATCTCGGCTCGGGTATATTGAACTTGAGGGAATACATCGTTTAACAATGAAAACAAGAGGGGGATGTCTTCTGCGACTAATTTTGGCACCATTGTTTCGCAAACAGATTGTATTAAAATCTATAAAATATGAGAAAAATGTTAAATTTTTTATCTTTCTAATGTAAATAAAAGAATTCAATACTTCTTGCTCGGGGAGATTTTCTGCGATAGATGTCTCGTCTAATCCAGTGTCACCAGCACCTTCTTTTCTCTCTTTAATCCTTTGAATGCGATCTCGTTTTACATTACCAGCCGACACAAGGACAGATTTAAGCGCCCTCAAGCCAAAATCATAATGAGATTGGTTTGATAATTGCTCATCACATAACCTGACGGATAAATTTACATTATTCGTTGTTAAAAAGAAAAACAAAACATCGTCTTACTTGAAAAATGGCACAATTTTAGATGCGAGCTTTTCGGCAGAGCGGAAGCCCTGTGAGAACAGCATCACCTCGGCAATAAGCTGCCTATCAGGCTTGGTCATCGCTAGTGATCTAAACAACTTCTTCAAGTTGTCCGGTAAATTGGAACGTCCAGCGTAACCAGGGTTCATCGTGATGAATATCGCCATGTCTGGAGATACTTTGACTTGTTTACCGACCAGTTCAACGTTCAATGCTGAAAATAAATAGGCAATTAGTATAAGTAAAACTGTATGTGATATGTCGGTGCTCTTTACTTGAGTCTTTCGAAGCAGAGTCCATCTGAGATTTAAGGGCTTCCTGGATGGTCTGAATTTGCTGTGAAACAGCAGAAAGCATCCTTTCTTCTAATCTATTGAATTCATCAAAACAGCCCCAAGCTCCAACCTGAATATAACAAAATTGAAATTAAGCTTGTGAGTAATTCAAACATCACTTTAAAAATCAAATTTTAAAATTTAAAGTTTATAATATTTGTGTATTTTTTTATTAGAATTGTTAAAGTATAATTCTTTCTTTGCTTTTAAGACCACATTTTTGGTTAAATTTTCCATTTGGTTGTGTTGAGAACAATCAGGATCAGTTATTAAAAACTGTACATAAACTAAAAAGACAAAAAAAAATTGAGAAACATGTAAAAGTTGGCTAGCAACTGTTAGGAAGCATGTATAGCCAAGATCTTTGAGCAAACTGACTCAGGCTTAGTACACATCGGACGATCGTAAATGGGCGGTTGTGGCAAAAAAAAAATGCTTGGACAAGAGCAATTTTATGATAGTAGTTGAAATAGTCGTTTGTCTGTGGTTTCTCTCTACTAGACAGCAACAAAAGGTCATAAAGGGTCGACAGGGTCAACTGACTTTATAAGCCTGAGCATTGCACATATTACAAAACAATTATCGAATATCGCTTCCGACCAAAAGATGTGTATTTTATCACTCTGGTCATTGTTTTTTCAAATACAAAATGAAGATATTTTGAGTAAAAAAATTTTCAATTAAATACAACTTTTTCTCCTTACATTTAATTATTCTGTTGCAAAATATATTATCCAAGGAATGTATTGTCAAATTTTGAACAGGACTGGTGCAAATGCTTTGAAATACGATGTATAATTCAAAATAAATCAGGCAGGGGGATAACGGGAACTGGTTTTAGCATCCAAAAAGCAGTTCCAAAAGGGTTAAACAATCTATTATGCAATACAGTAGCAATACGATACCTGACAGAGGCCGACGAAAATTCTTCCCATCGCTTGAAAGTCGAATGTTTCATCACAGTTGAAAACCAAGACAAATCTACCTAGTTGATGGCCCAACGCTTTCACAGATTCTGTCTTTCCCGTACCTGCCGGGCCGAATGGAGAACCACCAAGCCTTGACTCTAAAGCTTGGGTCATTGTTAAATAACACCTGTCGACATTAATTCACAATTGAGTTATTATTACAATTAATTCTTTTTAGAAAACTTACCTGTCAGTAAGGGGAGTTTGAACTAGCCTGTCTTGAACACCTAAGTATTCAAACCCATAGTGGAATTTAGCGTTAGCCATTTGTATGGAGAGCTGATTTAAAGCATCAGTCTGAGAGGCGTCAAGGTAGAACCTCATCTGTGAGAGCCATTCGAACGCTTTTGGTGATGTAACTTTGTATTGAATCAGATTCCTGGTAACTGTCCTTTTGTGAACAAACTCATTAATCTATAAACATTTTTTTTAAATTTAACTTAGTGCTTTAAAACAAATACTGTTTTTATTGAAGTTGTACAAACCAATGCTTCAAGTTTTCGCCTTCTTAGAGAAGGTTGTTTCTGTAAAACGCAGTCAGCAAGGACGGTCAGCGTTTTTTCCACTTGTTTTAAAACGTTCTCCAACCCTGTACCACCACCTGCGTTCAAAGCAACTTCGACATCTTCAGACCATAAAATCTGAGCGGCTAGAACGACAACTTGAGCTTGGTAGCCGTCGCACCATTCCATGAAAGTCGCCGGTTCAATTTCCTATAAACATGCAATCCATAAAATACATTTTATCATATTTGATCATAAGCTTATTACCTTGAAAGTTCTTATATGAGCAACAGCTTTTGAAAGGCACGAAGCGAGAGTCAATCGCATTTCTTTTTCAACGCAGGTTAACCATTCGTTGATCTTCGGATTGTCAACTGTTGAAACCGGATTATTGAAAATCACCTGAAATTATCAATCACAAAATAAAATAAAAAATGCAATTGTGGATGTGGTCTGCAAATCAGTAAACACATGTTGAACCGGCATTCGGTCTGTCTACACTTGCAGGTTTTGAGATCATTCAAATGCATTTTGGCTTTATGCCATCTCTGCACCGATAGTTCCTCACTGAACGTGGCACAAAGACAAAACACCTTTGAGCAAAATTAAGTGTAGATCCCAGTATGAAAAGGAAATATTTTCAGAAGCCCTCATTTTTTCTTAATTAAAACAATAAATTTACCTCCTCTCCCTCTCTAGATGCGATTCCTGTAATGACCGTATTGTCTTCATTTAATAAGATAGCAGCGATTCCAGCGAACATTTTTTTGAAATGTTTTTGCAGCCTTGGGATATTTTTTGAGTTTCCTATTATCTCCAGTAGATCTTCATCACCGACGAAGTAAAACCTTCAAATTGCCAATGTGAATTATTGTTACTCGTTTTGATCTAGACAAAATGTACAACTTACCTTGGGAAGGACATCCTTTCCCTTTCTAGGTACTCGCCCAATGCTTTCTGAATTTTCTCCAGGAGGTCTGCCAGACGTTCGAGCGACCTCTGGACACCCTGGATGTTCAAGACGTCCATTACCATTGGGGATTTTGCGACTTTCTTCATCAGTCCCAAAAAGTCAGCACTAAACGAAAAAAAAAATTTTATTCTAGTTTTTGGGAGAACTTTGCAGTATGACATATTTCTGCAGTAAAACATAAAAATAATTTAAGAAAATATTAAATTAGTTTAAAAATGAATGAATACTGATGGAAAAAGTAAAAACTTAATGACACTTAAGAAAATTGGGAACACTACAGTTTTCTTTTAATTGGTCTAAAAATGGAAAAAAAAATTTCCTCACAAAACTCCATTCACCATTTTTCCAAAATTATGGATGTAAGTGATGGTAAAACCCTTAATTAAAATTACTAATCCCACCTCCCCTATAGCGAGGTTACCCACTGGAATGATGCAGCATGAAGCGATCTTTTAATTATAATTATTTTATAGTTATTATATTTAATTTCTGAATTATATAGATGACATACGATAACAGGAAGCAAACAGGTCAGTGGTCGGTCAAGGACAAAGCGCCAAAACATTTTCTGAATCCAAATCTGCACCCAAAAAAGGTTATGATGACTATTCGGTGGTGTACGTGTACTGCTGGGATTGTTCACTATAATATCCTGAATTATGATGAAACTATCACATCGGAGAAATATTGTCAAGAAATTGACAAAATGCACAGGAAACTGGAACAACTTTGTCCAGCATTGGTAAACCAGAAGGGGCCAATTCTTCTTCACAATAATGCTAGGGCCACATATTGCAATGCCTACCCTGTAAAAACTTAAGTTCTTAGGATATGAAACCTTACCGCACCCTCCATATTCACCCGACCTATCACCTACAGACTTCCTCTTTTTTAGGCATTGAGGGATTAAATTTGTAGAGAACAAAGCGCAGCATAGCCGAAAACGCCTTGTGAGTCGAAATAAAGATTTTATGTCAGCGGAATAAAAGCGCTTATTACACATTGGCAATGTATAGATTGTGAAGGAAAATATTTTGAATAAATTTTCTTTATTTTATAAAAATTAAAAATAGTTTTGACTGCCTTTTTAAAACCTGCATTATTTTTGCACCAGCCTAATAGTTTTGTTATTCAAGAGAGCTTTAAGCCCCAGAATTAAGTTCAATGTTTTTATTATTTTTAATATAAAAAATTAATTAATTATGTCTGATGTTTCAAGCTGCAGTTTTGTAATTACCTGATATTATGGAATCTTGAGGTCTCAATAGGTAGAAGGGTTTTAATATCAGCACTTCCGGAGAAAATACCTTCTAGATAAACCCATCTTCTCTGCACGTCGATCCAAACATCAAAGAGGGCATTGATCCTGTTTAGTTTTTCCTCCCATGTTATCGCTTCTTCTTCAAATACCTTTAAAGGATTGGCTCGATTTAGTAAAAGTTAAATATGAAAATATTCTTTCAGTACCTTGTAATAAGGAGAGAGTTTCATAGCAGCAACAGAATTAATGTGTTCTTTCACTTTAGTAAATAAATCATCCCAGCCCCTAATCAAACGACACTTGTTCTGATAGTTGATCAAATCCAAAACATAACTCTGCCAAGATTCTCGAACCTACCAGAAATTATTAATTTATATTATTACATTAATATTATTTTCAAATATAAAAAATATTACTTGTCTTAAGAATTCCTCCAGTGCCATTTCACCTTGGGCAGTTAAAATTATGTCCTTAACAATATTTTCATTAGCTTGGAGATCGACATCCCAGACCTGGCCCAATGAAACTTCAGACAGGACCCAGTTTACTCTCAATTTTCTCATCAACTGTCTCCAGTGTCTCTCTTTCAAAGCGTCGCTCTTTAATTCAATTATGAGCATGTTCACCTTGGAATAGCCTTGAAGAAGTTTCTTAACATACTCGTAACTCGAGTACTGCCTGACTCTTGCCGGTAGTTCTTTGAGTTGTTGGCTCAAGGTGTCTAGCTGTTGTCTCAGTTTCCTAGGCTGTACTGAAAGCCAAGGTTTCTCCCTCATCTCATCGATCTGTGTCCAGATCCTTGAGAGCTCGGACCAAACTTCTCTCAAATCCTGCATTTCTTCAAACATGACGAGAACTCGTTCTTCCGAGCTCGAGCTCGCTCCGGTGTATTGCAATTCGAGGGCTTCTTTTGCCTTGGCCACGTTGTCCCTTTCTTCTTTAAGCCGTGAGAATTTCGTCTCGAACTCTTGCAGCTGAATGAGGGCTTCATCTGGGCGGAGTTTCCCTTCGATTGGTTTAGAGTGTTCCCAATCGGATAAAAGTTCGTTCGTTCTTCCTTCGACGGCTTTGTCCTCTGCGACCATCTTTTGCTGTAAACTTAAAACCTGTGCTTGTATGGAGAGATCCTTGCGTTTGATGATTTCATTGAAAGCGCTCCATTCACCCTCGACATTATCAACATACAGCCAATTGTTAGGAAATTGAAATCTATGCCGCTCGAGTATCCTCTGCCCTTCTCGATAAACTTCAACCTATCAATTTTAATTAATTTATAATAAATTTTACAATTTAAATAATAATAACAAAAACCTGTTTCTGCCACGTCTTCATGTTACGCTTTAATGACTGTACGTATGTAATGAAACAAACAGCATCAGAAGTAGAAGCAGCTTCTATCGATTGTTTTTCCAGTTCGCTTCTTGACTATAATGAAATAGTAAACATTAGATTATAGACTTCCACCATTAACTAATTAAATTATTAATGATAACTGATTTACACATGCATGAACAAACACCCATGTATACAGAATTACTTCTCGTACCCACTGGAATTCCTCGTTTTATTTAATTTACAATAAATTGAAGAAGAAGAAAGAAGAAGAAAAATAACTTTATTCTGGGACTGGTGTCCCCTAAGAATAATTTACATGAACTAAATAAAGGAAAACTGATGTATTGGATCTTCTTGAGGTCATTTTAATGACCTAAAATGACCTCAAGAAGATCCAATACATCAGTTTAAACTACGGAAGACGATCAATGTCAACTAGAATTCTTCTTCGAACTTAAATAAAGGAAGTTCTTGAAGTAAAAAAAAAAAAAAAAAAAAAAAAAAATCTTGCCACAATGTATATCAATAAGGCAGGACAGAAGAAAAAAATACGAAAATATTAAACAAAAATAACAAATGTTAACGTGAGGTCTCTGCTTGGAGGGAGAGGAGGTGATTGTACAGGTGGGATTTAAAGGAGGAAAAGGAGGCAGCGTGACGAATAGAAAGGGGAAGGGAGGTCCAGAGTTTAGGGGCTCGGATCAGAAAGGATCTTTCGAAGGTACGGGTCGTATGTTGCGGAAGGATAAGATCGATTGGGGATGAGCGGGTCTTACGAGTGAGATGTGAGGAGTTGAATCGGAGGGATTGGATGATGTATGGAGGCCGACAAGTGTGGATGGACTGGAAAAGAAAGCAACCTAGAAAATACTGTGTACGGAAGGAGGGGAATAGCTAGGAAAGTTGGGAATACAACCCCGACACCCGGGATCCCCGTGGGGTGCCGTTCACAAATCTTATGCAACCATTCATAATACGCTTCAATCGTGCGTTCTCCCCCTCCGAGAGACCACCGTATGCCAAACACCTATAATCGAAGAAGGGAAGTATAAGGGAAGATACAAGGAGTTTGCAGGTGGAGAAAGGTAAGAGAAGCAGGACCGACGAAACAGGCAGAGGGAGGCAATGGAATGGTGGGAAATTTTGGAAATGTGAGAACCTTGGTTGTGGAAGTGTGAAATTTGGTTAGGTTTTGGTCAAAGACTACTAGGTTTTTAACCGAAGAGCAGAAGGGGATGGGATGGTTATTTAGCATGAGAGGTGGGATGCTGGGGAGGGAATTGAGGAGTTGCCTGGACTCGATAATTATGGCAGTGGATTTGGACAGATTGAAGACTAGGGAATTTTTATGGGCCCATTCGTTGATGGAGTCTTTTTGGATGTTGAGAGTGGCCAAGTGAAGATCAGAAGGGTGGAAGGATATGTATATTTGGGAGTCATCGACATATAGGTGATAGTTACAGGACTGGATGGAGTCGGGCAGATCATTGATATAAATGGGAAAAAAAATTGCTGTCAGGCCTTGAGAATATCCCACCCCAGGTGTTGGCACTCGGGTTGGCACCTGTCTTATCGATCTATCCACAGATCACCGGCTATCCGTTATCTACACACATGTACCTGTTCATATAATATAACGATTTTTTTCGAAGTCCTGATGAAGGCGATATATTCTGCCGAAAGCTCGACAAGAAAATAAATGTTGTTTCTGTCTTCTTGGCCTCATCCCCAATCTACCTTTAGGAAAGTATATTCTATCCACAGAGTTTGGGCAACAGGGACTATTTTATTTGCATTTCAGCCGCTAACGCCATTGGACTCAAACCCACTGACACTCACTCACTCTTAAATGCATTCTTTTCTATTTACATCCTATACACTCAATAGTGCGGTTGAATATTTGATATTCCTCCATCACTCCTCTACTAAACTAATTGAGGATTGATGAAATACTCAATGGCCAACAGCCCTCTCAAACTATACATTTATGCTAATTCAGCTGCACACAAAGAAACATAAAACATCCTCCGAGGGCCACCCATCAATAGCACCCTTGATACACGAGAACATGTCTGTCAATCTGGCCCACTGACACTGCCTTTTAATTAATTAAGTTTAATCATGTTTTTTCGTGAATTTTTAATGTCAGAAGGCCTGAATTTCTGATGGTCAGATCGGTAGGTAGGGACGTTCTGGCTTTAAGCACCTCGTATGATTTTTCTTTACCCAATTAAATTATTAGCTATGAAAGATTTTATTATTTGTGATTCATACCTTGGAAATGAGTGCATGGAAAGTAGACATGTCTGATCCTAGAAGTGCTCCAAATTTAGCAAGAATGTCTTTTTCTAATGAATCATACTTGAGAGCAACTTTGCTCTGCACTTTGGCATAGTCTATGACTATAGGGCCAAACTCTCGTTTTGTTTCAGAAGTGTCAAATGTCATTCGAGATTTCCTGTTGAATTTTAACAATAAATACATTTTACAAAAACATTAAAGATTTTCAAGCATACTTGACATCGCTAAGACATCTCATCCATATGGTGATGTCCTCCTTAAGTCTGCTGTAAAGCATATCGGACTGCAAATCCCAAAGCGATTGATATCTTAGCCATTCCGTGACATAATTAAACACCTTAAAATAAAAATAAATAAATTATAATAATAAAATAGTACAAATGTTTTTATATAAAGATGTAAGTGGACATTACCTCTTTAACTTTATGATCAATTGAATCGTAAGCATGAAGCAGAGGTTGACAGCTTTGTGGAAGTTTTGTTAGAAGATCTCTGTATGTTTGTGACATCGACATATCCAAACCGACCTACGAAGATATTATTTTCCTTTACACTGTACACATTCTTTAAATATTCTTTTTAGACTTGTTACAATGCATCAAAATTAAAATAATTATGTATACTCTGCCTGAATAATTTAATATAATTTTTTTTTTTTGGTACATATACTTATTAATTTCAGTCAGAGTAAAGGACATTTGCTACAACTGCTACATATTCTTAGGGCTTATAAAACACTTCTTTGGGCTGATTTTTATAGATTTGTTATACAATTTTATTAAATTTCCTCAATAATTTAGATTTGATTCCTTAAAAATGTAGATAAAATATCTAGGCAGTGCCTATTGGAAAATTATCAGAAATACTATTTTTTATAGCTTCAATGCAAATTATTTGAACATATCTTGAGCCACAGGTCTGATTTGAGACCCAGGCCATTTCTGTTAGCTATTAATCTTCTCCCATTTTCATGGATTCCCACTTTGAAGCAGATTTTAGATCCGGAGTGAAACCAGCTTTCATGCTAAAATATTCTGAAACTTTCAGGGTTTTGAACAGTCAAATCTCCAAAAATTTAAGAATTGTTCTCTTCATTTAATTTGCAAGTAATTTAATTTTTAAATAAATTATATTACAATGATAAATAATGGTAAATAAATAAAAAAATTATTTCTATTTTTCAGGTTTTTTAATTTTTTTAAATTAGTTTTGCTAATTTTTTTAAAATGAAGTCATACTAGTAAGAGTTGTGAAATGAAGAAGGTAAAAACGATGTAAAAAGTTATCTTTCAAATCTTCCATTCCCTTCTCTTGGAGAGCTTCTTGTTCAATAGTTATTTCCAATGGGGCAAGAAGTTAATCACTTTAGTGAAATAATAATTTAATAATAAAATTATTATTTATTATTTGATATAAATTATTATTACACTGTTTAAATAGTTTGTACTAATTAGTTTGTAAAACAGTTGGAACTTAGTGTGTTTTAAGTTTTTTATGAAAATATATTTACAGTAAATAATTTTTTTAAAGAAATTTACTTCTCACATAATGACAAAATAACTGATTGTTTAAGTTGCTGCATTATAAAAGAAAATTAGAAAAGCAAAATAATAACCATTAGAAATGTAAAATCAAAACAGGTTTTATGAAAATTGGAAACAAGGGGCTGCAAGGGTTATATAACAGGGGCATCGTCTGAGGCAGTTATCTCATACGAGATCCACTCACAAATGATAATTTAGACAAAAGATAGAATTTAAAAAAATGTTTTTACAGTACTGTTTTTTACAGTTGTACAAGTAAAATAGAGTAGATTGTTAAATAAAGAGAAAAACGAACCTGATATCGTGAAGATTGCAATCTTGTCTGACAAGTCACCACTGCTTGCCAAGAAAAGAGCTGCTGCATTATCAAAAATCGAGCTTCCTCCAAACTCGGATAAAGGTACATAATTTGGTTTGTGATCCTGACTTCGTGAGTTAGCACGCCAACCGATGGATCACCACCTGGCGCGTGAATAGGTTTTGCAGGCGCATCGGTGTCCATTGAAAGATCAATGCCCATGGCTTTGCCCTCGAGTGCATCTGTCCATGCTTCAATTCCGGCTTGTAGCCGGTTGCTCAAATTTTTTTCAACCTTAAAACATTTATATAAAATTACAGTGTTCTTAAATGTAACCATGTGTATCTCTCACAGCTTGATCCAACCGCGACACCCAAATAACAAGATTGCTGTATTGCTTCAGGGATAAATCGTCAATGGCTCGTTGGATTTTGGAAAGGATATCCGAAAAAGTATTTGCGGAGTAAGGGCAAGTCTCTAAAGACCTGAAAATGTATTTATGTTTTTATAGAAAATCTGTTATAATTAAAACCAATGCGATTACTTACCTTACATCAACATCAAGTTGCTCTTCGACAACTAAAAGATCCTCTACCTTCTCTTGGAAAATACAGACTTGCTCAGCAAACCTATGAACGTACTGCTCAAGTTTGTAGCTTTCCCAGACCAGTTGTATACCCTAAGCATATTAAGTATATAAATAGGATAATAACAGGGATAGTAAATATAGTAACCTCAAGATTTACCTCAGCAATTAACTGTTGCATTTCTCTTCGTAAACCAGCAACAAGAGGGATAATACTCGCTTTATCTTCAAGCTAAAATGAAAACATTTATAAAATACCCAACCAAAAAAAATTAAAATATTAATTCTCGAATGTTTTATACAAATTTGATGGGTTTTCTTTTAACTATTTGTAGAAAAAACATATCATGCAATAATTACATATATGTATCTGCTTAAGAGCATGCAACCATTTTTTCCTCCAAAAATTGATGTTTTTCATATTTCATTAATACAAATAAACATACAATGTAAATAAATTACAAATTGTATATTCATTTCAGACAATGTAAACCAACAAAAACATCAATTATTTAAAACAATTAACACAATTTATCAATTATGATGTGGCATAGTAGGTTAGATAATTATGCATTGCAAGCAAATTTGTGTACTAAAAGGGTAATGGTTATTTTCAAGCACATTGTGCTTTTCTCTAATTCATGGCAAGGTAAAATTACAGTAAAAAATAAAAATTAAAAATTAAAATACCATCACTAATCAGTTATGAAGCATATTTTTCACATATTAACTGTTCATTCAGCAAGCTTGACAGTAGTATTTTTCAATTTACCCATTTGCTCAGCCTAATAAAGAATAAATAACAGTGAGATTTTTTTTTGGAGGGGGGGAGAAGTGCTTCCATTTAATACTGAATTTTTTTTTTTTAAATATCTGTAATTTATTAAGGAGAGTAATTCGACAAAAGAGAATCTCGGAAATTGTGCCCGTTGCTCCCTCCTGAGCCATCACACAATCTAGGAGTGAAGTGGTGGAGTTCAGCATCCTACCTGGCAAAATCCAATTATCTATACCAGGAAAAATTCTGGAAAATCTAATTAAAACTAAAAACTAATTATTTAGGACTGACCTATAGTAAGTATAATCTCATTTGAAATAAACCAGCAAACCACCAGACAAGGAAAAAGCTAAATATGAATAGAATTATGTTAATATCCAATGGGTGTTTTTCGAAGATGGATAAAAACACTTTACAATGAATTTTTCACAGCAGGTTTCTAAAGACGTATGTACTATAAAAATGTATAAAACATTTCTGTAAGAAAATACACAAAATAAGAAAATTCTATGTTAGAAATTAACCTTTTTTAAAGGAAATAAGAGTCCGATTTTAATGTTTAATTAATTTAATTTAAAACATTTGGCAATTTCTTTAAAACAAATTATCAACCACGAAAATCGGTCTCTCCTAGGCTATGGGAAATATGATGTTGGAGCTTGCTAAGAATGTCAGTCACGCGGAATGTCATGTTCTTAACAATTGGAAAATTTTATGGGTCAAAAAATCGATTAATTTAAAGCCAAACAAAAAATTAAATGTAAAGGTCTCTAGAGGTGCTTAAACAGAATTTTGTATTAGTTTTCCGGAAAAAAAATTATGACCTAGCTACTTTAAAACAAAAATTTAGAAATGTTTTGGTTATTGATAAACTTTGACAGCTTTTATTATATTTTTATTGCAATCAAAATGCTGTAAAATGATATATTCATAAATGATTTGAGAAAACTGAACGGCAAAATAAAAATATTAAAAAACAGTAAAATACAACTTTTAATTTATTTATATTTTTTTGTGAAACCAGGGCCTATTCACAAGAAGTGTCTGATATTTTGGAGTGTAGAATTACCAAAAGAGGTTTGGTCCAACTCCGTGACCCACCAACCTGGTTGCCCCCTTGTCTGTCTCAACATTGCCAAGGACTGTAACACTACTATTGACATGAAAAAGTTCTTGGCAATGTTGGGGCTGAATCAATCTTCAAAGGAATTTGAAACCATCTATTAAAAAATTAATTATGCCAATGTGTAGAGATATTTAAGATCGCGTTGCCCAATTATCATCTTGAAATAGATCAAAAGCTTGGCAGTAACAATTGAATTTGTTTTTCATCCTGACCACATCGAGAGGAGATCCAGATTATTTGTTATGCCTAAAGGTTACAAGCAGGCCCATGATTCTAAAGCAAAAAAGGAATTGTCCACTAATCAATGTGCCCTATATTAAGCACCAATAATCTAAGTTTAACCCAAGAACAAGTTATCAGATGATAACAGAGCTCCTGTGGAGACCCAGGGTTCTAGGATATAAATATGTAGAACATGTCACTAAAAATATACTAAGAGGTACAGGCCTTCACTCTTACTGACGACATGCTGATGGTTTCAAGAAAGTATAACTTTGGATAAAACCAGTTTTCTTTCATAAAAATGCAAAGTTGTATGCATCTCTAGAAGACGAAGACTCCCATTAATGCTGCGACTTTCTTTTAATCATGTTTTTTATTGCTTTTTTGTGTCTGATGGCCAGATCTCAGTAGTAAAATAATAGAGATAATCAGTATTATTATAAATTATTCAAGCAATAATAATGATTATAATTTTCACATTCAGTAGAATCACACTTAAAGAGAATATTTGTTACCTGAATGAAGGATACTTCTCAAAGTAAGAACACAATAACATACCATGGAAATTTCAGATTCAAGTTGCTGTGATTTTTTAAAAACAAAATTTGTTAATAATGTATTTGATACATTTCAAAATTACTTGGGCTCGCAAGCTATATAATTCAAGGAGCAAAATTGCCTTGAAATAAAAGCATTAAATGAAAGCACACTCGTAAGATTAATTTCAATAATATTTACTTAAAAGTACAATACTTACTTATAATATAAGAGTTAAGCTGAGCATATATCAGGTTAAATTAAAAAATTCATTAATATGAAAACAGGGAGAAAGATTGGTGGAAGACAAATCTGGGAGGAAAGACTGTACATGAAGATGAAGAGAATTTACAGATTTTGATATTAACAGACGACCTATTTTCGAGCCACATCAAACAGATCAATTACAGATACAGCGTCTAATTTAATTGTTAACAAATCCAGCTTTAACATATATAACATTCTTCTTGTCACAGTATAACACTAATGTACTACCTTTTGCGTCGAACTAGGGATTGTTGCTGTCCTGTTCACAAGCTGTGATCAAAAGTCACAGTTAATTTTCGGAAACAAAATATTAGAACAGAATTTTTGTTAACAAAAACAAAAATGAACACAAAGACAAATTCATAAGTATGTGTACACACTCACATAATTTATAAAATTCACAAATCCTATGAGATTGGAATATCAAAACCAATGTGGTTCAAAAAGTTTTATAATGGAAGCAAAATTTAATTCAATAATGCACAAAATAAACGCACAAACAAAACACGTTATATTTCAAGCCTGAGTTTTAATGTTTAGAAAATGTATGAGTCCACTCACACTCAGCCAAGAAATGAACAATGTATTCTAATATAAATAAAAGCATTTAATGTTTTAAACAAACAAAAAAATTCTGACATAACTACAAATAAATAACAATATATAATAAAAAGTTACCTTTTCTAGAGTTCTTTCATACGTCCGGACACTCTCAATTAGAGATACTGCGAATGGATAGAGTTGATTCGCTTGATGTGCTTTATTAACAATGGCAAGAGGCACCCTGAATCCCAACGCCTTCAGATTCCTTACTTCTTTATAGAGGGTAATTATCTCAGGATGGAAATTGACCTACAGTTTCCATCAGAATGGTTAGTTAATTGCACAAAATTTTATGGAAAACAGCCAAATACAGACTTTAAGTTTAAGGACATTGCCCCTTCCAGTCCTTGATCTTGTGCTTTCGATGGCGAAAATCCGACCAGATACACTCAGATTCCTCTGTTGGACAACTCTTGACCACTCGTCAAATATTTCCTGGGTGTTGAGCTTCAAACGGAAACTGTCACCATCAGCCTTCAATGTTTGTCCTTCGATATGATTTTCCCATCCTTTACCTATTAATAAAATCATTTTTATATTTTCTTTCGTTAAAATGTATTAATACTTTTTTTGTTGAACCGGCACACAGGCACTACTGGGTCTGTCCTTCACTCGCGGGTTTTACTAGTCTTTCTTCTGAGTTAGTTTGTACCGGAGAAAGTTGTGAGATTGTTTTGTCTATTATGGTGGCTGCGATGTGTCTTGTTCGCTCTTGTATGTCCGTGGGTAGTAGTCCAATGGCTGTTTCTGTGTCGATTATGGCTTGTGTTATATAACGTTCTGTGTTGGTGGATTTTATGTTGTGTTTCAGTCCTTTTTGTAATAGTTTTGTTTCATTGGTGTTGAATTTTGTTTGCGTGAGGTTTATGAAGGTGCTGGCTGTCGTGTGTTGGGTGTTGGTGGGTTTGTGTTTACTGAGGTTTGTTAGTTTCTTTTTTAATTTTGTGTATTTTTGTTGAGTTACTGTTTTTGAGTTGTCCTGGGTGGTTTCGATGAAGTCTGTTAGTGATTCTGGGGGGAGTAGGTTGCTAATAGTCAAGTGTAGGTCTAGGAGTTCTTTGTTGAGTCTGTCCTTTTTGATGTATAGGGAGCGTATTTCTGTTTTTATCCATGTTATTTGTGCTTTCTTGATGGCCGTTGTTGCGGCGACTGTGTCAGTTTGTAATTTAAGTTTAGCGTAAGTCGGGGTTATATTGTTAGTGAGGGATTGTTTGTTAAACCAAATGTTAGCAATGGTGTTGTGTAGTTTGTTAGTTTTGTGTACATACCTTTTAAGTAACGTAGCCTGACTGGCTGAGTTATAGTAGATGATGGAGTTCGCCAACTCGCAGACCAAACCCCATCATCTACTAATACTTTTTTTATTAATAACTTTAATTTATTTTTATTGTTGAATAAGTAAAATAATATATTTTGTAGACAATCTAGTGTCATTATTATTAATGTTTTCAATATTTTCTACTCGAGAGTGAAAAAACCTCAAAATAATATAGGAAGTAAATTAATTATTATAGGGGAGAAAAAATCAACATTCAAACATGAACAATCAACACCAAATACCCAAAACATCTTCAACTCTTCTTAAATAAGTAGTAAGCTGCCTATCAATTTGTTTGACCCAAATTATAGATCCGCTGACTGGTGCAATATCTCTAATTGTGCTCATTTTATTCCCTTTGCTCTGAGTGTATTGGATCTGTAATTTAAAAATTTTATAAATTAAACAAAAATAATAAATTTACAAAATATTTTATAAGATATGCTTATAGCTATCACGCACAATATAATCATACATTTACTTGTAATGTAGGTGATCTAACTTTTTTTGTGTGTTGAGAATACCCGTAATAAAAAATTTTAAATAAAAAATTAAATGTGTGTCTGGACAAAAACTTTTTTTGCCTTAACAACTCACTTTGAATTTTTCATGAAGAGATTCTATATCATCTTTGACTCTTTGGATTAGTTGTGTCTGGTATTCTCTTATAGCTCCCCTGATATGCTGTCTTACAAAAAGAGCATTAAATCTCGAGAAAATCCTAAAAACGAACAGAAGAAAAAATTAATTAATGGACAAAGCAAAGTTGAAATTTAATATTCAATGTACCTGAACATTTCATTCGCATTTTTGGCTTGCCCCAATTGGTCCCGCAAATGAGCAGTAATTCTTGTTTCGACTTTATCAATCCTTTCTTCATACCTAGCGACAGCAGCTTCCCAAGCCTCTCCTCCTTCTCTTGACATATCGAGACAATCGACTTCTTTTACATTTTCATACGCCAAATTGACTTCCTAAGAGTTAATTTTACAATTAATATTCTCATTTTTAAGTAAGAAAAGAATTGTTTTATGAGAATATTTAACCTCAATAGCAGTTACGCTGGAAGATTCGAGTGATAAGAGGCCTCCAACTTTTCCACTCCCTTCGTTAATACCGTTCGCCTCTTGAGCTTGAAGGGCAGCGGGTCTCAAGACCCTGTCAATAACCATTCTAAGCTGTTCATGTTGGTGTCTGAAATTTTTCATGTGTTCCATCCTTGTCTGTAATTTCTTGTGGGACGGTGCGACTCTCCACACTATTTTCATTTGCTCTTCTCTCTTCTTTTTCGCTATATCTCTCAGGAGGCCCTGAAGCTTATCATATTCATCATCCCAAGTTGTGAAAACATTGCTGCACTGTTGCATCACTTTTTCAAACTCGTCGAACGGGATATGCATCAAACGTCTTGTACTGAGTACTTTTAGCAATTGGGACGTCAAATCCCTTGAAATCGCCTCGACGAGCCTCAAACCTCTTGCCATCGGATATTTAGTGTTCCGAATTTTCCTCAAATGGGTAAAAATCTGTTGAACAGCATACCGTATTCTATCTAACTCAGTCGCAGATAACAGATCATTTATTGGGAAATCTTTCATGAGAGGATTATAGTCATTTACTGTACTTAAAGCTGTTTTTAAACCTGCAAAAAAGATTTAAAACACATTGTTATACAGAAATTTCAATTTTCCACTTTACTGTGCATATTTGACATTCTTTCAACTGTGCTATGTATGTAATAAATAATTTTTATTGATTTACAAAGTTATTTTTTAACTAGTCATAAACCCATTTAAGTTGACTAAAACAATTAAAATTAAATGTGAAAGATTATAAATTACCTGTATCACTATCAAAACTGACTGTAGCATGAAAACGCTTTCCATGTTTTAAAATTTCCAAAGTTAAAATTACATCAATGTTTTCTCGTTTCTCTTGAATTCTATGAAGAGCTCTTTCTAAATTTAACCAAAATGAAATTTCTTGAAGCGCTGTTCCAGATGCTGGGTCTCTATCTAATTTTGTTACCTATAATATTTAAAATGTTAAGTTAAAATATAAATAACTAAATATATTTAAAAAATTAATGTTTGCCTTTTGAATTTCTTTGATCCAGCGGTTCACGCCATTTTGTAACTGGTTGAGAAAACTGGAGTCATCGACTTTATCGCCAAAATCGGACACCTTTGGCTTTCTACCTTCTTCGTGGCACTTTTTTATCACAGATGCAACAATAGGATGCACAGCTAATGAGATTTCAGGTATGTCAATGTTCTGTTGAAGGTGCAACAGGCCCATTTCCAATTCGTCGATCTTCTTTTCGACTGACGGGACCATTTTGTCGCCGTCTCGATCCGCTCGGCCCGATTCTTTGATGTAACTTTTGAAAAAGGGCGACATCCCCTTGCTGACAATTGAGTGCAGGCTTTCGTAAGCAGATCCTTCGCACAAATCAATTCTGTGAAGCTGAGAATGAATTGGCTTATCAGCTTCCATAATTGGCCCAGTCTTGATGAACAGAAGACTGAAAATTAATACACAAGAATAATAATCTAATTTTTTTGTCTATTTTTATTTGTAATGTATATTTGGCTTTTAAAAAATTCAGAAAGCTTATTGTGTTTTTTTTCTAAATCTAGAAAGAGATCAAGTAATTTTTAATTTTTATGCCTCAACAAATATTATGTTATAGTTTCTTAAAACCAGGTTAGGACAGTTAATGTAAATAAAATATTTAACAGAAGCTGTAAATATTATTGTTTAGGTAAATTAAAAAACTCTTTTAGTTCCAGCAGGTTTTAAAGAACTTTTTGAATTTACCTGAACAATAATATATAATGAGGTTCCATCAAAAAGAGGTACAAACCTTAAAAGAAACAAAGAAGCTGTAAATGCGACAGATATAACAACTACAGACACATTAAGATTCCCAATAAATTTTTATCCTTAATCAATACAGGATTTTCAAATCCTCAAAGTTCTGGATATTGTGAGATGTTGTCTACGGAGCAATGAACCCGAAATTTGGTCATTACCAACCATTTTTGATCTGCTTATCCTCGCTGTTTGATCTGTCAAAGACACATTTCACCATTTCTCCAATGAAAGAGGGTAGGCTGACCAAAAGTGATTGGTAACAATCAAATTTCAGTATTTAAATGTTCTAGATGTAAAAAAAAAATACCTGGTAGTTTTGGAAGTGCCAAAATGAACTGAATTGGCAATTGTGATTGACACTTGATCCTTATCATCATCTCCATCTGCTCCTTGGTCTGTATCATCATCTAAAATATATAAACAATTATATTTTTAAATGTATATATGAACAATCCTACCATTTTTGGGCTGTTAGATAAGTCTATAGTCTATCTACACAAAACAATAATCGAAGCTGCAGCAATGACAGTTTCACTGTTGCCCATCACTATTGGTTGTACAGTGAGGGCTTGCTCAGCACTTGGCAAATACATATTCACTATTTCCACACAAACTGCTGGTTAATAATGTATTATGTATACATAATCCACATGTGTGTTACATAGGCAAGCTATTTGGTGAATGCCAAGATGAACGTCTCGAGGCTTGGCAAATGTTCAGCAGCAATCGGCAATCAGTGAATACCGTATATCTGGAGCCACCTTTATTGAAAAATTGTTGTAAGAATGTATTTATTAGCATAAATGTTTAGTGTCAGAATGCCAATACACCACCCTCTATTAGATTAGTGTGCATAGGTCAATGGAAGGATAGGTAAACTTGGAAGAACTAAATAGAAACTCTATCCACCTACTTGAGTTGTTATAGGAACTGATATATTAACCCATTCACGAAAGGATATCATCTTCTCCGTTTAAAAAAAAAAATAACTTAAATAGTACACTGCTTCTAGGAACTTGAATCTAAAAGTGAAGAGATTAGAGGGGGGATATCACGCTCTCAGCACCTCACTTAAGGAACAATGATCATACTCTGATGCTCATTGTCATGAATGGGTTAACAATGAGTGAGAGTATGGATTATATTTAGATTAAAAATTACATCTGTTTGGAATTGAAATTACCACGTGTGAAAGTACCAAGGTATAGACCAAGTGTGGTTGACACATGGACACTTACTTTTAAATCATTCTAAACCGGCACTGGGTCACTATTTAGAAGATGGCACAATGCCAAAACACTTCCTAATAGGTCAACAAACTGTGATGAAGAGACTTACAGCCAGTTCAGCATGGGTTCACTGACTTGCAGATTAACACCCAGCAACAAAACTGACTTTTAAAGTTTGCAAATGTGTATCGTGTACAGATAAAGGTCTCAATATGTCTCACATAATTTGATAAGTGTCATTACTTGGTTCTATATAGTGAGCTTACAGGAATGGCACGCGACGAGAATTCTGCTTGAGTACAGCAGCAAGTATCTCAATTCATTGTTTTAATTTTTGTTCTTCAGTATGTTATAACACTCTCTTTGTGTTGAATGTAAAATGTGTTGTACGAGTAACGAATATGTACTAAATGTGAGTAAGGTTAATCAATACCCTATGAACACTTAATGTATAGAAACACAAACTGATGGATGATAAAGTAATGGTAGAAAATGCTTAGGTTAAAAACTCCATGTGCTGTCAATACCCCTAGGATGGAGGTCATAACTTTGGTTGGCAGACCTAGATGACACCCCAGACTGTCAACAAGATTGATAAGTTGTCTTATATTAAGTGTTTAAGTCTTGTGTGAAGTTTTCTAATTTATTGTTAGTTAAATTAGCAAAAGGCAAGCAGAAAATCTTCAAGTCAGTCCACTGCTAACTGGTTTTGTTGGTTGGCATATGTCCGATAATCATTGATGGTCTTGTCCATATATATGGCTGACACATGGACACTTACTTTTAAAGTTTGCATGTGTACAGAGCAAGGTCTCGATTTGTCCCATATAATCTGAAAAATGTCATTCCTTAAATCTTGTCAAACTTAAGTCCTTCCTAAAATGTGTTGCATTGGACACGAATGTGCGCTACATGTGTGATAGGGTCAATCAATACTCTATGAACTGTCTTTATGTATAGAATCACAAACTATATACAACAGGATGATAAAGGAATGGTAGGAAATGTTAAGGTTAAAAATTCCAGGTGGTGGAGTCTGAAATGTCCACGCTATCAATACCCATAGGATGTAGGTCATAACTTTGGTTGGCAGACCTAGATGACACCCCAGACTGTCCGTGTACTTAGCTTCGGTTGGCAGACATACAGTATAAGCTCAGACTGCCGACAGGAAGTATGTGATTGCTAATTTGTCTTTAGATGTCTTATATCAATTCCTTAGCAGTCTTGTGTGGCTTTTTTCTTATCAGATGAATTAACAAATGTAAAATGTGAAGAAAGTGTCCAAGTCTACTGCTAACTGGATTCATTGGTTGGTATACGTCCGATAATTATTGGCAGTGTGGTCCATATATATGGCTGACATATGGACACTTTCTTTTAAAGTTTGCAAATCTGTATTGTGTGCAGAGAAAGGTATCAATCTGTCCCATATGATCTGAAAAGTGTCATTCCTTGGATCCATACAATAAACTTGTACAAATGGCACCCCATCTTTAAGTTTTGTTCTTCAGTATCTAATCATTGCTTTTCATGGTTAATGTAAAATGAGTTTTACTGGTTAGGAATGTGTGCCAAATGTGTGATAAGGTCAATCAACACTTTAGGAACTCTTTTTTCATATAGAAACACAAACAATATACTATAAATATATCGCCTATAACTATATCTATAAAAGTGTGCTGGAGTGTAAAATGACCATGTTGGCAATACTCCTAGGATGTAGGATGTAATTTGGTTGGCAGACCTAGGTATAACACCAGACGGCCAACAGGAATTACATGATTGCTAGTTTGTCATACATCAAATGTTTAAGTCTTGTGTGGTATTGTAAGTTTTTGTCAGTTGAATTTACAAAGGGCAAAATCTCTTAAGTCCACTGCTAACCGTATAGTCTGTTGGCAGAAGTGTGATAAGTATTGGACGTGCTGAAGAATGTAGGAGAACAAAATCTGAATACTAATTAGCTGCACCCTTCTCCCACATATGAAAGCACAGTTGGAATTGTTTTTTTCTCGTGAGAAAAAAGGGGACCGTGTGAATTTTTTTCGCTAAAGACAAACCGTAAAATCGCCGCCTACGGATTAGGAACGTGTTTCAGACAAGACAAGACATGAAGCAGCCGGCTTTTTTAAATAAATATTATTTGTATATATTAAAGATGCGTCCAATTGTTATTAGACGTCAGGTTCAAGGCGGTTAGAGGGAAATTGGGAAATGTACCTTTGGCCGAAGTTTTCTGAACGACGAGCGTAGGTATTTGGGCATCTCCTAAGAATTTCTTGACGCAGTCCAAATTGTCCACGTCTTGCAACGCCTGGTCGAGGGCCGAAGGAGAGTAAATCCCTCCTAAAAGATTCAATTTGATGTTTTCCTTCAGGTAGACGATAAATTCGGTCAGATCCGTTATCGAGACCGGCTGTTCCTCCGGTGGAGGGTCGCTCGAGTCCAACGAATCGCCCATCTTCAAGCCTATTTCTCCGAAAGAAAGACGACAAAACTCGAGCCAGAGTTAAACCATCCGGTCGATTTTTTCCCTTTTTTACTAAGAAAAACTGGAAAAAAATAGGAAAAGCCGATCTCGGAAACCTATGAGCCAGACGAGGAATGGCTGCAGTGTAGTTTGCCAGTGACTCACCCACACGATTACCAACTTAAATCTGACGGCACGACTTCGCTCTTTGCCTTTAAATAACATTAAATTAGATTTATTTTATAATAAAAAACAACTATTTTATCAAGCGTTAAGATATTTTATAATAAATAGTATAAATGATGTTTATGAGTTATCAGCGGCCCTTCCGCCAACATTAGAATCTGGCACGAGAGGCTTCCATAAGAACTATTTCATTTTACCCCTTTAGCTTTAAATTAAAACTACAAAACACAAAAATAGTCTCCTATATCATTTAAACCATTTAAAAATATTTTCATAAGTAAAATTATAGAAACTATGTTAAATCTAAGAAAAAAACTACTTTTTGTCTTTATTTATTTTTTCATAAAATAAACAATGAAAATATGAACACTGCAAGCCCAAATAACAATTTATTTACGAACTAAAGCATTTTGTCCTTTTAAAAATAATCTTTCGCAATTTTTCCTTAAAAATCTCCTGAGATCCTCACTTCATTCAGTTTGTTACTATTGTCAAACTAGACTTCTTTAAAATACGAGATTTACTCTTCGCCTCAAAATAACAACTTTAAAATAGATTTATTTTATAATCACAAAACATCTTTTTTATCAATCTTTACGACATTTTTTAATAAATAGGATAATTGATGTTTTATCACTTATCACCGGCCCTTCTGTCAATTTTCGAATCTGGCGCGGGAAGCTTCCATAAAAACTATTTTATTTTATCCATTTAGCTCTAAATTAAAACTAAAAACACTAAAATCTGTCTCCTATATCATTTAAAAATGTTTCCATAAATATAATTATACAAGCTATAAAAAAAAAAAAAAAAAAAAAAAAACATATTTTTGCCATTGTTTATTTTTTCGTCAAAGAAACAATGAAAATATAAATACTGTAAGCCCAAATAACAATTTATTTATGAACTAAAACATTTTGTCTTTTTAAAAATAATCTTTCGCAATTTTTCTTTAAAAATATCCTGAAATCCTCATTTCATTCAGTTTGTTACTATTGTCAAACCAAACATCTTTAAAATACGAGATTTTACTCTTCGCCTTGAAATAACAACATTAAAATAGATTTATTTTATAATTTAAAAAAAAACTTTTTTATCAATCGTTACGATGTTTTATAATAAATAGTATAATTGATGTTTTATCAGTTATCAGCGGCCCTCCCGTCAATTTTCGAATCTGGCGCGGGAGGCTTCCATAAGAACTATTTTATTGTTCCCATTTAGCCCTAAATTAAAACTAAAAAACACTAAAATCGGTCTCCTATATCATTTAAATCATTTTAAAATATTTTCATAAATAAAACAAATTAAAAATTTTTTGAAAAAAGTTAAAATGTTTGCTGATGTGATTGTAAAACCTATGTTAAATCTGAAAAAAAAATATTCTTAGCCTTTTGTTTAATTTTTCGTCCAAAAAACAACGAAAATATAAATACTGCATGCCTAAATAACGATTTATTTATGCAGTAAAACATTTTGACCATTTAAAAATAAAATTTCGCAATTTTTCTTGAAAAATTCCTGAAATCCTCACTTCATTCAGTTCTGTACTGATACCAAACTAGACATTTTTAAAATATGAAATTTTACCCTGTAAAACAATAAACAAATAATAATCAATTAACCCTTTCAATTAATCTATATTTTTTATATCTGTACCAATTTTGTATTTTTGTATAAAATGATCTAATTATGATGAATAGATTTCAAATTGAAAATTGCAATGGCACCCATTTCTAAATGTTTATATAAGGGACAATTATTCTTTTTTTTTTTCTTCTTCTTCTCCAAAAGTTAACCTCAATAAGTATCACAAGGAGAATTTTAATTTCTTTCTTTCTTCTCCTGCTTTCTTGAATGTCTTTGAAAAGCCCTTTTAACGAAGGCCCCACGTACAAAAGGGTCTACGATAAAAATGACTTGATCATACAAGCAATGTTGAACGCTGGTTTGGAAGAATTGATCACCAATGGCTTCTATATGGAAGAAGTCCGCGACGGAAACAGCAAAGTTAAAGGTGAAAAGATTAACGCAAAACCAAATGTTATTTATAAAGAAATCAAAGGGAGACCTCCTGTCAAGAAACCTGCGGAACTGGCCTGTCCTGCGGAGCCAAGGGAGACTTCCGATGAGACGAGAGAATTTAACAAAATACTTGCTGAACTTTATCAAATGGAAGAAGACCTCAAAATTAAAACAGAAAATATTTAAGCTGTATTAAGCAGAGTATGTAACAATAATGTAATAGTGTGATTAATTTTAAAATATAAATATAGTTTATAGTTTTTATAATATTTGTTCTTTATCTGACTACATAAAATTTTTATGTTCTCTTGTTACAATGCTCAATAAAGCCAGCCAGAAAGTCTGAAAATTTTAACAATTTTACACCAAAACTATTTAATATATAAAATCCATAAAAGTTATAATTTTGAAATAAATGATATATTCTGGCATTTTATTAGCAATTTTTTTAAGAAGTTAATTATTCAGGTAAAAAAAACAATCTGTGGTTGTACAGTCTGTAAATGTATGGTATTTAACTAAATATGGATTGGTTCTATTTTTTATACTGCTTCTAGCAACTGTGTTAAAATAGCATGGTGACAATTTATTATTCCTATATATATCTGGCAAGGCAAAAATATAAATTTGATATGCTCAAATAATTTCATTTGCTAATTGCTGACTTTTATAAGCCTAAATCTACATGTGACATGTATACGAGAACAGAGTTGGGCCTGTCATTCTCGCAGCTCGCTGGCAATTCCAGCTTATGCGTAATTTAAAATAAATTACCGGCAGGCACTGAGAATCACTAACCTTAGGAGTTGGCAATCAAAGTCAGACCTCAGTCCTATCTGATGGAGGTTGGGATCCAGGAGCTATCAACAGATAGGTCATTTCAGCCACTAAAGCAATCAATCTCCAAATCCAAACTCACACTCTCACTACCAAATACATTCTTTCCTATACCTTTACCATACCTTTCACTCAGTTAGGGTAGTATGTTTCTATGATGCAGTTGGCTCTTGACAAGTTGAAACGCAAGGAACTGCAAAAATAATTCGAATTATCAAGATGTTTGAATTATCAAGAGGAAAGAAAAAAATGATTAAGAATTGATATGCATTTTTCCATATTGCCCTGGCATCCTTTTTTAAATGATTTTCCAAATCAACCAGCGTTCAGAACATATTGACAAAACACTGACCACCGAACATAACAAACTGGAGAAAAGTCGAAGAAACTTTAGCTGTAAGAAAGTAAACTATATTTGGCAATTTAGAGGAATGATTAAAAGAAAAAGTTTGAATTATAAAGAGGGGAAGTGGCTCCATTTTGATTTATAGGTGCTCTTTCTCCCCTCTCATGAAAATTGTTTCTTAATACCAAAGTGACCCTCAGAGTTCATATTATCAAGAAATTCAAATTATCAAATTTTGAATTAACAAGAGTCAACTATATTATATAATTAATCTAATTGAGGGTTGATGGGGTATTCAATATTCCATTCACGCTAATAAATACATTCAGTCTCAATATACACAATGAAACATAAAATGAGATATATAGAAAGGCCTATATACAGTAAAATAATCCCGTTTCTTCTAAAAATCAAAACCGGGGACCCAAATTGCACAATTCTCATATCACCACTCATTCCTAAATGCTCTCTACATGCCAAGGAGTGGCAACACTTCACTTAATTGGGACACATTGAGCAATCTTTCTCTAAATGTCGATGCACGTTTTGTCCCAAAATTAACCGTCTGTGTAAACCTTGCATAGCCTATTCTTAATCAGGTGAGGATGACCCGCTTTTTCTTTGGCCAATGCATAAAGCAAGGTCAGAAAAAAAAAAAAAAAAAAAAAAAAAAAAAAGGATGACCCGCTTCTACAAACATGCTCTTGATATGTAAGAGATTTTCTGCCGATCCGGCCCACCAACACTGCCGCTTTCTTTTAATCTTAATGTTTGTTGCATTTTTAGCATAAGAGATAAACAGTGGTTAAGTCCCAGCCTTAGGCACCTTGTCCGCTAAAGAATTTCATTTATTTATGAGTATGTGTTTTTGTGTCTGTATAACACTCATTTGTTATTTTTGTTTATTTGGTCATAGGTAAACTACCAACAAAAATCTTTTTTTTTGTAAAGATTTAAGTTCGTAAATTTAGGTTTACTTTAGTTTCTAACTTAGCCTAAACTAAGTCAGTGGATCATAATAGCATACATTGTGTCATAAAAATAAACAATTGCTGGTTATTTTGGTATGGCCCCAGCATTCAGTTCAATTGTAAGAAGAGTTAGTCATGTTTCTGAAACAATTTAACAACTACATTATGAATATAAAGTTTTATTTTACACCTTCACAATCTACAACTAAAATAAATTATATTAATATAGTGACAGGAAGTTTTGATAAGAGAAAATAAATTTTTAAATTTTAATTTGTTCACAATGTTTTTTTATAAGCATACAAAATTATGGTTTAAAATTATTTACAGTTAAAAAAAAGCTATTTCTTAAACAAATAAAAAAATAATAATAATCATGCTGACTGGCATTCAAATTAAATAAACTAATTAAAGTATTTTTAATTTACTTATCATATACCTAAGCATGGACATAATAATGATAATTTATGTCAGTATGGGATGGCATAAACGTGTAGACATTTTGTGTAGGCAACTTGTGCTATATTAAGTGCTAACAGAAAAAAAATTAACAAAAGTACAATACATTTTTTTGAACTTAACCTATTACAGATAATAAATTTTATGTGTCTATTTCCCAAAAACAATTACTCATGCGACAATGTGAATAATTTTGGTTTCCACAATGATAAAATAATATAATTCATGATTGTACAATTTAATTGTGGTGTAAATATTCAATATGTTTAATCACAGGGCTAACCTAAATGTTAGCATATAGTACACAGGAATTCACAATAAATTTATGAAGAGTTACTATATTATTTAAATAAATCTGTTTGTTTTGTTTGTCTGTCTGGATAAATGATGAAAATCTCTGCATTGCACACTTAGGATAAAATGAGGATTGTGCAAGAAAGGCCTTTTTGGTTAGAATGCCAATTACATTTTTAGGTGCCAAGTTTTTTTTAAAAAAATTTCTATCTTGAGGTGTTTTTCAGAGTAGAATTGATTTTGTAATCTGATGTCACAATCCATTCTTGGGGAGAAGGCTTACTGTTTGCTCTAGTGTATCTGGTACTAATAATATCTGGTAATATTTTTTACTTGCTGTAATTTATTAATATACAGATTGGCATCAAAAATAAACTTTCAAAAGAAGAGAAATGGAGGTAAGAGGAAATGAAAAAAATTGCCTACCAGGGGAAACAAAGAATTCCATAGGCACAGGGAATACTGTGAAAATGTTGTGAGAAAGACATACTAGGTCCATCTATACTCGATGGATTTTGATATTACTCAAACGCATTTGAACTTTGTGCCATCTTCAGTGAGAAATTCACTATAGATGGATTCAGTGTGGTTCAACATGTGTTCACTATCAGACGCCCACCATCAACTTTAAGGAAGAATGTTTTCATAAATTTAAAACTTCAGATTAATGAAAAATTTTAATCAATTTTTAGATGGGAGCAGGAGTACAACAGGGCAGTGTGCTAAGCTCAATCCTGTACCTCATGTACAACTTCAGATATCCCCACTACCTCCTCCTAGCATCCTTTGCCAACAACATTGCTGTGTTGTCCTCTGATCCTGATCTTGCAATTGCTTGGAGAACTAAAAAGCCTAAATGGACACTAGCAATTTTTCCCTGTAATTTCAAACTTGTTTGTAGCTAATTAATGCTTTTGATAATAATTTTGTTTTGCTTTAGAAAAAACACTTAAGTTCTTAGAGAGATAACATTTCAACATCACAAAAGTTCATCCTTTATGCTAAACTTCGAAATATTCTGTTTTTCTATTCTACAAATAAATTTAATTAAAAATAATAACATGGGAGTGAAGTGATGATGGGCTAATTTTAGTAAAATAGGTTTAAGAACAAAATAACTCGGCCCTGTTGTCCAGTGAATTTTTTGAAAACTTTAGAATTCAACATTTGCATCAAAGGCCCTACTTGCATGGATCTCCTCATGACTAATACAACAATAAATTAATATAAATATTTGATTTTGTAAGTGAATTATCATGTTTATTTTAAAGTAAAAACTGTTAACTTCACTGGTATTTCAGATGTTTTTGATGACAATATGGATTAATTAGAAATGTTTCTTTTAAAAATAATCGAACAGTGAAGTATTTACATATTTCGGTTGTTATATCAAAGTTACAATTACTGCTATAGTATATAAGTGAAAAAATATTTTTTCTTTTGCCATGTGATGGCCACAAAGTTTTAAAATTGACTGTGTGGTTAGATTATGGAATGTTTCATTATTTTTTTCCATTTACACTTTGTTAAAGGCCCACTAAGAGAATATTTGTGCAGATATGTAGATTTTTTTAAACAAATCTTGTTGGGATTTTTGCGGCTATCACACCAAAGAAACAGGTAGAAGAAGACAAAAGACTTGGATCTGGACGAGTTTGTAGTTTTCCTTATGATTGTCTCTTCACTTTGCAGGATCGCATATTGATCATTGTGTCAGTAATTCTCTCTGTCTGTCTGTTCTCTCTCTCTCTCTCTCTCTCTCTCTCTCTCACTCTCTCACCCTCTCTCGCTCTCTCTTTTTTTCACTTTCCTCCTATTTCACACTCATTTACTCTCACTCCCTATGACATACAATTATCCTCATTTCCTTTATCTCTCACTCATAGAAATTTTTTTATCACTGTTTGACTCTCTCCCTACCACTCTCTCTCTCTCTCTCTCTCTCTCTCTCTCTCTCTCTCTCTCTCACTCTCCCATTTCTCTCATTCTTTCTCTCTCTCACTCACCTCCTTCTTGTATGTATAAACCAATTTCAAACAAATTGATTTTTAATTATTTTGTTTTAGTATTTTATTTTTTTGGTTTGAAAAAGTGTTTTATTCACCATTTAAAACGAATTATAAAGTTCAATAGGTTCCTTGTTTTGTATTAATCTTTAACTCTTTTAAATTAAATTTCTTTGTCTTGGCCTTTTTATCGATTCCACAAAAACCTATTTTATATTTAAAATATGTAATAATAGTGATACATTAAATATATAAAAATAAATTGGTTCGAATCTCTAATAGAAGAATTTAGGGTTGTCCTATAAAAACGACATATTTTGCAGCAAAATGTCTGGTAGAAAAGCTTAGGACTTATGGCAGACCACTCTAGCCTCTTTTATGTTTTCTGTCGCCTGCCCCTTCTGTGTGAAAGCCATGATTTTACTACTTTAAACAAGATTTGTTTGATTTTCTCGATTAATAGCTAATTATTTGGTGTGTACTTAAGAAAGAGTGTCTACCCCTTCATAAGCCAAGAAAAGATCCGAAAACGATCGAAGCAAAACCAAAATCACACTTCCATTTGTACGACAACATTTAAACGTCGGCAACGATGGCAGAGGCGTGTAAGAACAGGGTGCAGCGTACAGCATGGGGAATAGCTTGTTTGAAGCCCAGTCGAATTAAATTGTCAGCTACAATGGGAACACGGCGTTCCTGAGTCTATACGTCCAGTCGGTTAGAGGCTCGTTTCCATCGTGATCAGAGTCCTCGGCCTCTGATGCGTCCTGATGACCTGCGCTTCTGAAGAAGGCCTCGGCGTGAATCTGGAGCATATCTCCCCCCTGTCGGTCAACGATCGTCTCATACGGGTCAAGGCGGGGAAGGTGATCGCCTCCTCGTACGATGGGGGTTCGATACCCCGGAGAGGGTCGGCGGGCGACGTTTCCGCCAAGGGGCTCGGATAGAAAAGAGGCCTGGACGTGGAAGCTGCAGAAGGACGTCTGGAAACGCCGGACGCACGTCGATTCCCTTCCATCAGGACGGCTTCGCTATAGCTCGGGACGAGGGATGTGTTATCCCTGATTCCCCATTCGATATCTGCTGAGTCGACGGTGCTCTCACCTCGCGATACCGCGCAGTAGCTCGTAGGCGTCGATATCCCGCTCATCCCGGTCTCATAATTGACTCCAAATAGTTTCGTCACCTGCCAACAAGGAAAAGAACTTAATCTCAAGCAGTCTCCAGCGTTCAATAAAATTACTTCACCAAAATTAACTTATACCAAAAACCATCATGGACTCCTTTCAACCAAGGATTTTTTTTTTAAATCGTAAACTGTAATATCGAAATAGAAGAATCCAATGGTCAGGAGACGTTAAGGAAATCAATTGTCATTTTTTCTAACTTCAATATATTTCCGATACCTTGTAATGCAAATAGGCTGTGTTGTACTCCAGCATAAGTCTGAGGGGCCACGAGAGCAGGAGGAATGAGCATAGCCAGTAGACGGTTTGACCGGCATACCAAGGTATTTTGTCCGGGTTGGCAAGGGCGATGACATGTTCTCTGAACGCAGCGACGTTCGTCAAATCAAGGCCTTCTCGCATTTCCATGTAATCGTCGTAGCGCTCTTGTTCTGCAAAAAACCTTGCCCTTTGCTCTTCGAACTCAGCCGCTGCTTCTACATTGGCGAATGCGAAACCTGGTCAAAAATTAGCTATAAGTACACAAGCAAACACCATACATTGTTTCAATAAAAAATCAAATATTTATTTCAGAATCTTAGACCTCCAGAAGCTATGTAACTTTTGGCTCGGTATAGGACGAATTTACTTACAAAAGGTCATGTACTATTACTGTTTTTTAACCAGTTTTTAATAGAAAAGAGATCAGTGATGATGCTGCCAATTAGTAGTTAGGATATTTGTGGATAGAAATAAAGGAATAGAATAAAGCTTAAATGTTGTTTCGTCATAGGTACTTGTGAGATTGGGTGGTTGTAATATCTGCGGGTACAATATTGTAGAAGATAATACCGAGAAAACTCCCTTGGGATACACCTGCTTTTATAGGTCCAAGCTATGGGTATTCAGCATCTTGATTGTGAAAAACGGGACTAGGTAATGGGCTGAGGGGTATATCAGGGCAGTATGTTCGCCCTTGTCGAAATCCGTGGCAGTACCGATGAAAGCCACAGCACAAAATAATATTTGCTCTAAAGCATGGGAAATTTGATCAACAACGCGAAAATCCAGTAGTATAGTAGTTTTGGGACGGTCATGTTGTAAATTGGTGATGTTGTGCATGAGAATTCTATTTCTTCTTCTTTATCGCGCTGTTTGTAGATAGTAATAAATACATAAATCCTAATGGCAAAATCCTTTTTAATTCTAGTTGGTTTGTGGAAGGTCTAGTAATCGGAATTTATGACAACAGCTTGGTTTAAACAACTGGTTCGTTACGTTTGCACACACAATGGCAGTGTCATGTCATGTGATTTACATTTTACAGTGTTATTTACTCTTCTGGGCTGTTTCCAGAAGATAAGATAAGCAATTTTTTAAATTACGCCGATTTAGACAAATTGCATACGGATTTCCTCCACTGTATTTGTTCATACAAAATGTCACTGGTGGAGTTTTCGAAGGGACCCTTGCACCCAGTGCTCGGTCGTTCTGTATACACTTTTTGGAGAGGAAAAAATCCGACTGTATCAGAACGCATATTAAGCCCAGTCCTAAAGTTAGTTGAATTTGGATAATGGCCAAATTGAATAAATGGTTAACTTCATTTCTAAACATGTGTCCATTCATTTCAAGACAAGCACGTTAAGCGAAATCAAAATATTTTTTATTGGCAGTTGTCAAGTGCAAGGATGTCCGGGGTCGAGACGTACCTTATCGAAGTCATTGTCAGCAATGTCCAGGTTATAACCAAACAGTATGACAAAAAGCCGAGATTTGTGGTGAGTAGAGGGTACTGAATATGAAATGTATTTCTCTGATAATTTAACCAGAATTGCTATTTTATTTCTCATTGTCACCTTCTATTTTGGATAGAATAAATTATAGTTTAAATCGTGAATTTAGGATTACGATTATTTAGCAAACTACAAGCATGCAGATATTAAGATATGATGGCCATAGACCTGAACGCCTTGCATTGTCCTAGTGACCTCCATTACTGGTGATGATGTTGATCATCGATTCAATAAATATAAAGGAGTAGTTTTAAAAAATAAACTGTATATGAGTATGACATCAACCTGTAAAGCAATTTACTTGAGATTCGAAACAAATTGTTAAGATAAACAGAGTACATGACAGCAGTGCGAAAAGAGGGTGAGTAAAATTTAAATCTTCGATGTTAACAAATGCTGTTTTCAGGGGGTATCAGACGGTGGTGGTAAAGACTCGTTGGAGATGTCACCTCCACCTAAGTACGACCAGTCCGAAGTTGATCTGAACGAACCTATCGACCCAAATACTGGCGATGTGGTATTACGCCTTAAAGCGTTTAAGCTGCCTCCGATTGACGTTGTTGAAGATCGTTCCAAGGAAACCGATCTGGAAAGGAGAGAGAGGAAAGAGGAAAGTAGAAGACTAGGGATACAGGAGTCACGTCAGTTTTATTTTCGTTTAAATTTGAACACTTTGCCCGTGCAGTTAAATTTGTTTTTGAAATCGTAAAACTAACTTTTCGAGTTTTTTATTTGCTAAATATGTGCCCCCTTTATTTAAAATCCAACTTTATTTTGAACATTTCTGTTCACACACGTGGTAAGTAAGCCAAGGCTAACCTTAAAAAGAGTTTATAATATATTTAACATGGCAGTAAAGCCCCAGATGGAGCAAGTGTTTAGACGACAAAAAGCTTGACTTTAAACATGATTAACACGATTAGCACAGTTACCGTGAATACCCCTATTATATTATCTAGATTATTACTGTACCTTAATTATTTAATAGTAAATCATGTATCTACTTTTTTTTCAGAACTTGATAGAAATGAGAGTAATGCCTCAATTCTAACAATTGCAGAAAATTTTTTTCCCAACAATCCAACAATAAGAAAAAAATTTAAAAAAGGTGTTTGTTGTTTTGATCCTATAGTTATAAGAATGATCGAGGAAATAACATACCATTAAAAATTTTGTCTTAACTCTACAGGAAAGTCATTTTTATTTAACATGAATCATCAAAACTTGATAAGCCACATGCAGGAAAAGAACAGCTTAGTAGTGCACATGTACAGAGACAACGTTGATAGGACGTGCGTCGGCGTCGGAAATCTCCAAGTCCCACGGAGCTTTTTCGCTGCGGTTTGTAACGCCCATCAGTCTTCCGTATTGAGAAATTACATCGACTGCTACGGGCCTATTTTCGTGGACTCGAACCTCCATAAAAAGACGATGAAAAGACGAAGAATGCTCTTCAGATGTCCCTACCCGATGGAGGAAGACAATCCGTACAGCCCGGACAAGTTGAGCAAAATGGAACCTTACGTCAGATACAGTGACATTTACAAGATACCGCCAATGCCGAAGCCGTGTTCGTTCTGCGACGGGAACACCGGGTGTGGTTATAATCCGAACCCAACGCCGACGAGCTATCGTACGGCCAACAAAGAAGCCAAACCGAGATTTTTATCCAGCGGGCTTGATCCTGAGGAACTAATGGATCCATCTCCTGGAATGATCAACCCGGAAAAACTACCAACAACTGCCCAGTTAGAAGAACGTATAACATTTCTCACCGACGACGATAAAGAGAAGGCGTGTGCCACCGTTTTCATCAGATTGACATGCTTTGGAACAGCTCTAAATATGCCGTATAATAAGCATGAATGTGATAGCATAGCTATGCCGATACCCTACGAAGATGAGTGAATCTTCAGTGGCGACTGTCAATAAAAACTATCAAGAAATTTATGTAGTAATTTTTTTGTATTTAAGTAAACAGAATCGTTTAATGACTACAATCTCCTTTGAAACTGATTATTTAGACAATGAAATCATACGTTATAATCTTTTAAGTAAGGCATTAGTTGAGATAAAAAAGTCAGTGTCACAGCAAGATTCGAACCCACGACCTTCGGCTAAATACGTCGCTGCTCTACCACTTGAGCTATCATGACTTCGATCCACTCGGACACCACCTTCCCATCTCAATACTTTACTTAAATATTAATTAATTGAAAAGAATTTATTTGGTCAATCGGACCACGAAACCTAATCGATTTAATGCGTTATAATGTTATGGCTCTGAGTCAGGACAATCGGTTTCAAAAATGATAAAAATATGTTAATTTACTAACAATATGTTACCTACATTTATCCCTAAATTCACTAATTTCGTGGTCCGCTTGACCAATTAATATATTACAATTAATTAAGGTTTTTAGTTGAGATAAAAAAAGTCAATAGCACGAGCGGGATTCGAATTTCGGGAAAAATGGCAAAAAGGAGGGAAAATTCATAAAGGTGGGGTTGAGATGGGAAGTTAGTGTCCGAGTGGATCGAGGTCACGATAGCTCAATTGGTAGAGTAGCGGCGTATCTAGCCGAAGATCGTGGGTTCGAATCCCGCTCGTGCCATTGACTTTTTTATCTCAACTAAAATCCTTAATTAATTGTAATTTATCCCTAAATTGTACTTAACATCAACCCGACCTCGGGGATACATTCGCATCTAACCAAAGTCTTCGCCTGAATAAAAACCTGACTTGGCAAGCCCCCATCTCGAAATCGTCGAGTCAAGTCACTTCTCCAAAGACTTTTTACTAGATGAAATTGATTCCGTTAGTCATAAGATTGATCTACTTCACCTGATGTCAAATGTGGGGTTCGACCTCAAACTTACAAAATAAAACGATTCCAGACATTCAAAAACAGAATACTAAGTGTATATTCTGTACTGCAACGGAACCTTTAAGTTCAAGGTCAAGGTGGAGTATGATCGAGTCAAGTAATCTAACAGCTGTGCCCAGACTTTGTTGAGTGTTGTCGAACTCTTTTCATATCCTACACTTGCACCATTATTTGAGATGACTGTCGAACAGCAACTGAACTACAATTTCCTATGTTTTTTCTTACACAAACTGGTCCAAGGATTTGACCAATTGTGACCTAGCAAACCTGGATATCGCTGGGTTTGGATGAAGTTCAACCCCACGACATTCAACTACTTCTTGCTCAACTGCAAATGCGTGGCCATTCGTTATCTTGTTTCAGAACTAAAATAAATTCGACAAAAACAAAGATCCCTCAGGGATCCGTTCTAGGCCCTCTGTGTTGAAACATAGGTATGCGAGTATTTATGCACACATAACTAAATAAGGAGAAGCAGCATAAGCGACAAGTTTACAAAGCAAGAGTTAATCTATCCTTAGCAAAATCAGAGGAGCTCTTTTAAGGACGTGTGTGCTATAACTAACCCCAAGTCCTAGCTTCCGCTACATCCATCGACCTTGTAAGCAACATTATGGATATGAAAAGGAAAACTAATCCCAGACCTATCAAGGACAAAAGCCTATAAAGACAGCGTCTATCGATGCCCTTCAAGTTCTTCTTTGCATTCCATCAACCTTGTCCTTCAAAGCATGCGGTCCGCGAGCTAAAGGAACTGTGCTAACTCTAGAAGCATATGAAAGGGTCTGGTTGGGGAATGCACCAAAAAGGCAAGTTGTCCTCAAAAGTTGAATTGTCAAATCATGGCAGATAAAGTGGGATAACAGCATAAAAGAAAGGCTGACACATGGGGTCTTGCCCAGCCTAGAAAAAAGAGTCAAAGATAGAACCAAATGTTTAAATGACCAAATTTTGACGGAGCACGGATGTTTTAAGAAATACTTCCACCGGTTCAAAGGGCAAACAGTTCCTTGTATGCAGCCTGAAGGAGGTCAGGTTAAGTATCAGTTGTCTGGTCGGCCGGTATTGAGCCTTCCCTTGGTACAGCGAGTGGATGTATGCAAAAAAGTTTGGTGTCATCTTAAGTTGGGTTTCAGAAACTGTTCCTCACTGATGATGGCATAATGCCAAACCTCGAAAAAGTGAAAATTGATGGATTCAAAAAAGTGATTAGTTCACTATGTTTATAATTTATTTGTACATTATAGTACAGACAGTTTTATTTGTAAAAACTTTGTGTATTTGTAATTAGCTATTTTGCAAACTAAGATATTCAATGGGCATATAAAAGAATGAAAGAAGTTTCAGTTAAGACTGCTTGGTTATTTTTAAATGCATCATAAAACGTTTTCTGCAATCACCTTTTTTCTTTTTTTCTATTTTACACAAAACAGTCCATACGTCTGCCCACATGTTTAATTAAATTAACTAAAATTCTGAAAAGGCGAGAAAGCAGCAACAAAATTCCTATTATTCAAAATTTTTTTGTAGTCATCCAAGTTTAAATTTAAATCTTTTATTTATTTCTCTGTTATTCAAGTTTATATTTTCTTTTTTGTTTTTGCTTAGTTCGATCTTTAAAAAAAATTACAAAAATGGCCTCGAAAAAGACCGTGGAGGACGAAGAAGAGCAGCTTTACCTCTTGGAAGTCACGGTGAACCGCCTCAACGTCACGAAAGAAGGTATTATGGACTCGGTGAACGAGGCGGATTCCGGTATCACCGAGGATAAAGGGAAAAAGAAACGGCAAGAGAAAGGTCCGGTACGGGTCAAAGTGAAATTCTTCGATTTCCCAACTATAGAAATCGAAGAAGCGGAATTTAAAAGCAACGAACACAATTCGAAGGACGAAATGAGTCCCGCCGTTCAGAAGCCCGGAGAGGACACCGACAAATTTCTTGAGGATGGTACGTACTTTTGAATCGTGTAGATTTCTCAAATCAGCTGACAAACCATTCTGAAGCAACATAAACGTATTTTGTACGCGAGGTCTGATGACTACCTTTGCAAAAGTGTTTACATTAATAATGTTAAATAGATTCCTAGCTCAAAGTTTGACGTGAATATTTTTCTTTTTAGCCAAACATGAAGAAGAGCGGTGGAGAGCGAAGAATGCCGGCATGTCTGTGGAAATGTGGAGAGATGAGAGAGAAAGGGACAAGAAATTGGCGACGGAAATTGCAGGGACGCTCCCTCCTGGAAATCGGTTTACTAGTGGTACGACTTAAATTTTAACCCATTACTACAAATAGTTATAAACATCACAAGTATAAATTTAAAAAAAAGTTTTATTACAGGTAAATCGTGCTTATTTCCAATGATGCCTACCGATATGATTAAAACTATCCAACGGTATCCATTGGAGGTGCAAGTAATTCGCATGTCCGTCGATAAAAGTCCTTCTCATGTGATTGGACACACCAAAGTCGAATTGGGCGCTAATTTCAAAGAGGCTGTGACCCTTGCGACTATGCCTGTCGTACTTCCGGTTTCCGCCTATATCGAGGACAAATTCAGTCTGTTAAACGTTTTCGGCGACGACTCGGGAGAAGTGTGGCTTTTCATAAGACTCTCATGTTTCGGTGCGACTATTTTCACCCAGTTCAAGTACATTCAGGGAGAAAAAGGTGGTATCAAGTCTAAAATGACAGAAACTGGGAAAAATAAAAAGAGCCTGGCCGAGAAGAAGCGAAAGGAAGAAGAAGAAAGAAGAACGGTAGACCAGCAAAGGACGCCTTATATTTGCAGAGACGATAATTTGCCTGGAACTGGAGGGTGTTCTAAAGGAACCGACGACTTTTTCATTCCCGTTCAATGGCGTAACATCAACGAGCCAGAAGTGAATATTCAGCTTTGCTATCCTCCGGATTATCCTCAAGAGGTAGAATATCAAGATGGAGGTTATAAATGTGCCATGGCCAACAACGAAACATCGAATATGAACAGGATGTTTCCAGGTATGCAGCAAAAATATAACCAGCGGGGATTTGTAGACACTAAATGCCCGTGTCCAGGTGCAAAACCTCACGAAGAGACCATACTGAATTGCTGTTTCAACCCTCCGAGTAATAAAGGGAATAAGACCGCACCTGGTAAGGCCAACGCAAGCCCAAATCTCAAGTCGCTCGATACGACGTATTTGTCAGAAAACGTCGAAACAGTCGAAGAAATCACTGTAAACGACGCGACGTCCAAGGCGATTTCGGATCTAGTGGACTCGGATTGGGAACTTATGGTCAGCGGCCAAAGCGAGAGAAAAACTAAAAGACCTCAAGTCTATCCTAGGAAAATCAACTGCCCGCCTTTTCTGAAAGCTCCAAACCCCAAAGGATGCCCCGCGTCGGCTGACGGTAGGTGCAGATGTCCAAAAGACAGCCAACAGAAGAAACCTCGAACAACGGAATGTTCTGATAGACGTTGTAATCAGCGTTTGCAAACTTCAAGAAACCCAGGGTACCCCGGAGGGCAGGGTGGATGCCCTGTGACGAATTGTGGGAACCTTAACGAAACGGGAGCTATGCTGGCCGGTCTTCCTAGATTGTGCGACCCCATAATGCAGAACATAAATAACGTCATGCCCCCCAACGTAATTGTTCCTCAATCTTCCGGAGGGCCCAATGTCGTTTCTATTTGCACATGTCCGAAAGTACCGGATTTCATACCACCCGGAGAGATGAGAGGCCCTGCCGACGGTCTGAACATCCGTTGTGAATGTTCAAACATACTGACTTCAGTGCATCCTGTGAAAGTCCCATATACCTGTCCGGGTACGACTTACGAGTCGAATAAGCAAATGGATATGGCCAGAGGCCAAGTTGTACCTTGCCCGGTAAATATACCCGAACCTCCCCAAGAAGCCCAACAGACTCAGCAGGCGATGCCCATGCCTCCGACCTGCGTGTCCTCTCTACCCAGCTTGGTCCTGTCCGATGAGTCGACCTCCGATGACGATTTTCAGTACGTCGAGCAAAAGCGACATTTAAAAGCAAAAGGGGGTAAAAAGAAGAAAGAAAAAGAGTCTGATACCGAACCGCTCCCGTCTCCTAAAAAATCAAAGAAAAAATCCCCTTCTACCTCGGTATACGACAGTTCGGATCGCACCGATTTCGATTCCACGGCCCAAAAAATGTTGGAAGAGGAACTCGATTTCTATGAAAGTATGGTAAACGATGTGAAGAACAAAGCTAAAGGCGGAGGAGATACGAAATCCGTCAAAGGGAAAAAAGACGGAAACAGTAGTAGTTCGGTTAACAAGGACAAACCAAAAGCTGACGATGAGAAAAAAGACAATACCCTATATAGATACACTGCTGGAATGTATCCAGGTGTCCACATAGGCCACAAAGATTGCATTGTTCCATACAGGATGGTACCTAAAAACATGGGCTGGCTTTGGAATATTAAAAACGCCGCCGGAATTCTTAAGGTATAAACTAACTAAGAAATATTAGGTTTATCTCTCACACACACACACACACACACACACACACACACACACACACACACACACATACACCACCACCACCACCACACCACTCACCAAGTTCAAATCTAGTTTTTACGTTCTGACCTGACTACCGAAGGAGTGCTATATCCTCCAATTAATATTACTTTGTGTAGGTACTTATGATTAATGATGTTTTTATATCTCCGCCGTGATTTCTAACAGGTAGAAGTTATCTGCAACAATACAAACACGCAATACTATATTCAAAACTTCGTATATTTCCAGTAGCGTTTAGTAATTTTTCTTTTATCACAAGTTCCTTTTCTTCAATGCCACTTTATGGTCTTATATGCTAAATGGCCCTAAAACCTGATTGGCCCCCCCCAAACTCATTCATTCCGGCGATCAGGTATAGGTTATGCAACTAGATTTTCAAGTCATTAAATATCTTAAAGATTTGAAATATAAATTAGCGGATAAAAATAAAATCATTAATCTAAAGTTCAAATTTGAAAATATTCCAGGCTGGGCGCGGTTGGAGACCAGGTGCCATAGCAGAGAGTGTAGCTGAACTTATGGACGCTGCTAAAAGTACAACGCAAAAGTCGAAGAAGAAGTCCCGAAAACCGCCTCCAAGGAAGAAGAAAGAAGAGTCGGAACTGCACAAACAGCCGGGAAAGAAAACGGCCAAGATGTTGAAAGAGGAGAGGAAGGACAAGGATAACGGGGACAAATCCCCGGAGGATCTAAGACCAACGTTGCACGTCCACAAAAAGCACGGGCTTTATTATGTTTCCATGTTCCCTCCGAAGAAAGAAGACGAAGCCGAGCCTCAGCCGATTCAATTTAAAATCGATCCCAAACACCCCGACGGACCTGGAGGAGGCGATTCTTCCATGTTCGAGACTGAAGACACGAGCACGAACAGCGAAGACTCGTTCCAGCTCGAGTTCGTCGCTCCTCATACGCTGAAAGGAAGGATACCGCCCAAGACGAAACAAGACATGCAATGCCAAGTCTCTACTGAGCAAGTAATCAGTAAGTACACAACAGAACATAGCCAAATATCGTTTTTTGTAAGGTTTTAGTAGAAATGAAAGTCAGTGTTGCGAGCGGGATTCGAACCCACGACCTTCGGCTCAATACGCCGCTATTCTAACCATTTGAGCTATCGTGACTTGGAGTTGGTGACCAAGTGGACCGAAGTCGCGATAACTCAAGTGGTTAAAGCAGCGGCGTATGGGGCCGAAGGTCGTGGGTTCGAATCCCGCTCGTGGCACTAACTTTTTCAGTTAAACCAAAACCTTTCTGTAAAAGATTAATTAATTGAAAGTAGTAATGTGGTCAATAGACCACTACATACGGACAGCGAAATACTTTTGTTGTTTTACTATAACAACCCGATTTATTTTCAGTTCCACCGACGCCGAGTGTAAATTTGAAAACTCCAAAAGGCGGGAAAAAAGCAACAGGAAAAGGAAAAAAAGGAAAAGGGAAGAAAGGAGGGAAAGGAGGGAAAAAAGGAAAAGGAAAAAAAAGCAAAAAATAATCCAAATGAAAATAAATTTATTACTTCGAAACAAGGATAATATTCTTTACCTTTACTGAATCGAATTTTAGTTATCGAGCCGTTGGTGTGGTCTAAAACGAGACGTTTTGAAATGTCCCTTACACCGCAGTAAGCGAACATAAAGCTAGCTGCAGCTGCGTGAGAATTGACTCGTTCGTAGTATACCTGCGTGCTTGTGTAAGCATCCCCGTTCCGATACCTTGTCACCTGTCTTTTCCTTCTCACGTAATGATAACAAACCGCTTTCCACCTACAAAGAAAATATTTGATACAATACAGTTATTTATGGGGTTGTTCTAGAAGTAAAGGCGAACCTTTAAATCAATACTTACCTCATATTCTCTGTTCAAAATATTTTCTTATAAAACATTTACCCTGCCTTACAAGATGGTTAGATCCTAGTAAAATTACTTTATAACAAGATTACTGATTTTGTTTTCTGACTAGTTATAAAAACCAAACCCGTTGGCCAGGTATAACAAGCCTAGAATGCAAACATTGTTTCATAACAACCTGTACCTCAGGGCTTCAGTGCTTCTCAAATTATCATTTTCACTGATGCAGGAATAGTCGCAGCCAATTGATTTTGTCATCAAATCCAAAGAAATTTGGATGGAAAAAAAGAAGAATAAGAAAAGTACTAACGTACCAATTATCCCAATGAGCATGTGTCATCTAAAATTTAAATAGCTTCTTTTTAGATTTTCAGACATTTTTCTGAAATATCGCCAAGTGATTTCGAATCCGTGTTGCTTATAATCGGAAGAAAAATTCATTCAGACAATAAACGAGGTTTTATGTAGTCCACTTTTAACTACAGAAAATGTTACAACAAATGATTATGCTACACACTATACACAATATCCTCTTTTTTTTTGTGTGTGTGGTATTAGTGACCGTTAATCGATATTTATTTAGAAATCGTGAGATGCGGTCTGGTGTGATGTAGGTTTCAGAAAAACATTTTCTTTATCGTGCCAACGTTCCGATCTTTATTGAAATCATCTTCAGGGCCTGGGATTTACAAACATTGTTTATACATATATTACAATTACATTTTGGATGTGGAAAAGTGAATTTATACAATGCAAAATATATTTTTTTATATATTCAATCAAATATATTGTAAATCCCAGGCCCTGAAGATGATCTCAATAAAGATCGAAACGTTGGCACGATAAAGGAAATGTTTTTCTGAAACCTACATCACACCAGACTGCATCTCACGATTTCTAAATAAATATCCTTTTTGTTTGTTTACTATTTTTATAAACAAGTTATTCTAATTGTTTTATACATCAGTAATAGTAAGTAGTAGACGTAAGTCTAGTTACTTCACACAGACCTTAACCCATCATCAACTCTACTTCACTGCATCACACTAACCCGAATGCACATGTGTTCAGTTCCGAAGCGTAAACCATACCGTGATCACAGAACTGCAAAAGGTTCCACCATATCAAAAAAAGCATTTTGTTCAGGTTAAAGAAAATCGCAGAAGTTATACGATCCATTTGAACTATCTTCAAACTGGTTTATATGAACTATTTGCTTGTATCATTGAACCAGGAAGCAAGGAACTGAGCTACTTTTGACTTGCGTCATTTTAGAAAAAGTTATTTAGTCATTACCAATCATCTTGGCGAAATTCTGAAAAGGAACAGTCTACCATAGAGTTAATGCGCGACACTGTTCGTAAACATTGTGTGCAGTCCAGACTAGGCTTAACTTAACAAACTGACGGTAGCTTTCGAAGCGCATATCATAAAGCCAAGTACTATCTAAAGGTATAATGCAGAAAACCAGCCTAAAGACAATCGGAAAAGGTTTTGATTAAATGTCAGTCTAGTTTGTTCACTTTAAATGGGAAGCAGGGATCAGAAATTTTTGTTTGAATCAGTCCCGAAAAAGACTTGATGAAAGGTCATCTGGACAGTCCATGATCAAACCCAGCTAGTGTTGTACATTTGCTTGTTCTCTAACGATTTTGTTCGTAAACATTGTGTTCAGTCTGAACTCGGCTAGAATTTATGATAGCTTCCGAAGCTCAAATTGCACTACTACTAACTTATGTACGTAATAGCATATGCTGCAAAGGCGATGGGAGAAGGCCGACGCATGAAATTTCAGTCACTCAACGCCTACAAAACGCAGCAAGTGGTGTGTGAGTTATTTTCTTGTTCCCTTCAACAGGGGAAGCAGGAATCAGCAGCATTTTTGAATCAGTCCCGAAAAGGACATGATGAAAGGTCAGTCTATACAGTCCATGATCACACCCAGCTAGTGTTATTTGCTTGTTCTCTAATGATCTTGTTCGTAAACATTGTGTACAGTCTGAACTGGGCTAGAATTGATCCGAAGCACAAATCGCACTACTACTAACATGTACGTCATAGCATATGCTGCAAAGGTTTCATGATGGAAGAAAGCCGAAGCATGCAATTTCAGTGGACCCAACGTCTACATACCACACCTAGAGGTGTTGAGTAATTTGCTTGTCCTCTTAAAGACTTGTTCATAAATATTGTGTACAGTCTGAACTACACTTAACCTAGGATTGACGGTAACTTCCGAAATACAAATCGGATGTAGGAAGCTACAAACCTACCCAAAAAGGAATTGTCTAGATTAAAGAGAATGAAATGGAAGGTCAACCTAGGCCCTTCATCTTCACGCTGCATTTAGCCATGTTTTGAACTAATAATTGGCCAAAATGATTTATTTTTATTTAATCCACTGGTTTTTACCATAGCTTTCTGGGCATACACCAAATGGGTTTTGAAAAGACAATCGTTCCACAAACGTCAGCTGAGCTACATAGCTGTTTAAAACATCAGCCTAAGAGGAAAATTGTCATTAAGCTATGTAGTTTTACAGATGTTTAATGATATTTAAAGTAATCCTTTAGTGACCGATCTCATTAAATTTTGTATCCGTTTCTTAATAAAAAATAAAAAACATGGCCAAAGAAAAGAAAGCTAAGGAAATTATGATTCAGGGCGTTAACGTGGCGAGTTTGAACGAAGCCAACCTAAAAGAACTGTTCCAGAAAATGGACAACCAACTCAAAGATCTGAAAGACAATGAACTTATGGAAAGACTCGAAACTGATATGGTAAAGAAAGCGCTTCAAAGTACTGCTGAAAGGTTGAAAAAGATCGAGGTGGAGAATATGCTTCTCAAACAAGACTTAATGGAGCAAAAGTCTAAAGGTGGAAGGATAAAAGGTACGTCGTTCCAAGAAAGGAAAAAACCCCCGGGAGGATGTTTCAAGCTTATTGTCAACAACAGGATGATAGATCCTGAGAAAGAAACAGAAACGGAAACTGTAGAAGTTAAAACGCCTCCGGAGATTTCAGTCGTCCCGAGTAAACTTATAGCCCCGGAAGAAAGTGTCGAAGAGCAGGTTTCGGAAAGCGAAGCAGAAGAGTCGGTAGAAAGTGAAAACGAAATTAATGAAGAATTGTACAGCACAAATCAAACTACCATGGAAGATATTATCGAAGAAGAAGAGACGCCGAAGACCACGTCGTCCGAAAAGGTACAAAGGGTAAACAGTTTAACCAAAAAAGTTTGACTTCTTTCGGTGTGTTAATGTGCATCTTTCATTTCAGCCTCCCGTGTTGCTCAACAGGCGTGACAGATTGAAAGAAATGGGTGTCCAACTCAAATCTATTGGCATTGTAGTCGATCCAAACGACCCGTCTTTTTATAAATCTGTCAAAGAAGAGAAAATAAACGAAGTGACCCAATTAAAACAAGAAATCAAACTTTACGAGTACGAATTAGCGATGGTACGATAACCGTGTAATGTAAAAGGTATAAGAGCCGAGGTGAGACTAATCTTTTAAAACACTGTAGGCGTGTCAGGAGATAGAGAAAGTGTTCAAATCCCGGTTGTTATATTTCAACAGAATATGGTCGGATGAAATTAAAAGCAAGTTGTTACGAAGGATTAAAAAAGCAGAGGCGAAAAGAGACCAAACCAACAACATGATCCAGGAGAATGTGAGGTGGATGGAAAATAAAAGGGAACGCGATAGAAAAAAGCTGAGAGCGAAACTTATTAATCTAGATCAAACAAGAACGAAGGTGAGTTTGTAAGTATCTACCTATTTAAAATGGGAAATTGTGTCTGTGTGTGTTTTAAAGTTAAGGTTAAGATAAGTCTCTTTATGACCTTTACCGTGACCAAATCTATTGTACAATTAAATTCACTAATTTCGTGGTCCGCTTGACCAATTAAACATTACAATTAATTAAAAAATGGCAAAAGGAGGGAAAACTGGTGGGGTTGAGATGGGGGAGTTGATGTCCGAGTGGATCGAGGTCACGATAGCTCAGGTGGTAGAGCAGCGGCGTATCTAGCCGAAGGTCGTGGGTTCGAATCCCTCTCGTGCCATTAGCTTTTTTTCATCTCAACTAAAAACCTTAATTAATTACTATTGTACAATCTCCATCTCGAGCAATTCGTTAAGCTTTTTATTAGATGGCTGATTTGATAAGAGCTCCAGTGAAAATGTATCCTTCAGGACTTGGCTTTTTCTTTCGCAAGAGGATGCATAAGCAAAGGACACGTTCAGCTCTTTTCCTTATCTGCATAGGCTTGTTTCTGCTGCTCCAAATCTACACTTATGCTTCCGGAATCTGAGGGTCCAGTCATCACTCCAATCATAGACTTCTATTAAATTTATTGTCAGTTTAGTAGATTCTGCAATGGACCTAAGGAAATGTTGGATACCTCTGTCCTGAAATACAATCCCATTGAACTTAGATGGATCTACGTTTTTGGCAATTTGATAAAGGTTCAGGGTCTACACCCATGTTGAACGTTCCTTGGCAAATATATCGGCTTCCTAGTCGCTCCTCTGCCCTGCATGCCTGGGTACCCAAACAAGGATAATTTCGATGTTGTAAACAATGTCTGACAGAATGCAAATCCAGACAGCGCTGGTCTTTACTACAGATGAGTTTGCCTTTAATGCCTGACTATAAAACCTTTCCGCTTGAAAGACAGTGGCACATTGCCCAAGGCCCAACTTCGAGAGAGTTGCTGCTAAAGGGCATCGCAGATCCACTGGAATGACAGTTTTGGTGTCTGTCGATAGTTTTCATGATTCTACCATGTAGAGAGTCTAATTCCACCAAATCGAATTGAATAGAGAAGCTACGACCCTTGGTATAACCTTTGTTATACTGAACTATCTACCATACAGGTAACAAAATGCTGTGAAGTTGCCACATCTTAACCCTATCTTCTACCTTGATTATGCGTACCTCGGGAGAGAGTTCTTTTTTGGTGTATGTCGGGGTGATGAACCTGTACCTTGTTTCTGATCATTCTAGTCTGTCAACCTTTACTGTTTTTGTCTGCCCGAAATGTTTTGACATTTCAAAATTTTCAGTGTAGGGTATGTGCCAAGTTACAGTTTTGAAAGTAAAATAATTATTTTAAGACCTACCACTGAATATGGCGAAATGCTGAAACACATCTGATTTCCGAAAACAGCGAGGATGGCCAGACGAGAAAGATTAGAACGGCCAAACTTCTGACTGAGTTGTAACATTCCACTTGATTTCACAGAGATGATGAACCTATGAGTGTCCTTGGTTTATTTCCAAACTCAGTTCCTAACTCATACTCGATTTTAGATTCATCTGCATGCCTGATTAGTCAGCATAATCCAAGAGTTTTTCTAGTATTCGACTGTAAATTCATTTAAGGTAGAAATAAAAAATAGAATTTTATCACTTTTGTTTCCGAGTTTCAGATGATCGAAGACAGGTACAAACGCAAGGAGGAGTACATAAAAGACAAATTTCACATGGAAAAAATGATGGTTACAGAAAGCTATGACACGGTAATTAAGCAGCTCAAGGAAAACCACAACATCGTCTACGTGAACACGCAGCAATTCTTCAGGGACACCGCCGAGAATGATATTTTACTTATAATCTCTCTTAAAAATGAGTTGAAGACCCTTCAAGCGAACGTAAATATATTTGATCGAAAAAACCGGATATTTTATTCTTTGTTTTTCCAAAGTTAAACACGAACTATGTTTAGATGGATAAGATGGACGAAGAGATCGCACGGATGAAGAATGGGATAAAAAAGATCAAAGGGCCTTTGGAAGAGAGTGAAAAGGAGACCAGGTGGATGGAGACGTTTGTAGCCGCGATAGCGAAAGACACTAAAAGCATGGCTTGCCATGAGAAATACAACGAAGAACTTCAAAAGACAATCGACGAGATACAGAACGAATGCGTAGCTTTGGAAGAAGACATCAAATTGAAAGACAAAACGTACGAAGCCACGATTAAACTGAAAGACAACGTTGCCGAATGGAGTGCCAGGTACAAAGACTCCAACGCTTTCGTCAAGCTCATGAAAGACGCTTATAAGTTCGATGCTAAGAAAATAGAAAGAATGGAGAACACTCTCATATCGAAAGGGCTCATCCTTCCGAAGCACATACCACTCATTCGGAACCTCGTCCACAAAAAAGTGGAAGCGGCCAAAAAAATCCAGTTCGCACGTCAGAAAGAGGTGAAAGCTTTCAATGAACTGATCCACCAGTTGGAGATTAGATCAGCCAATCTTTTGGTGGATTCTTGGCCGAAAATCTACAGAATGGGCGGGGTACCTTACAGGAAAACCCCTGCCAATTTATTAGCGACCTACGATTCCTCGCAAAAGTTTAAAAAACGCCAATCTAATCAGTTCGGGGATTTCATGTCAGTCAAAAAGATATGAATTTTCCTATGTAAAAAAAATGTTATCAACAATTATTAAACAATTTTTAAATTGACCGGAACAACGTACAAAACAACCCTGTTATTTTCCACCAACATACTGTAACTAGAAAGAATATTGACAAAAACAAATACTAATCTATTAGTATCACGAATTAGGATTGAGAACAAATAGACCACCTCTAAAAACAAGAAACACATTAATAAATTTTATGCTGTAAAGGTCGAATAGTGGAATAAACATATACATTGTAATTATTGTATAGTTAATTAGTCATTCGAAAGGAAATCTTCCAAAGATGGTTGAAATATAATTTCAAGGATATGTTCACGAATTTCGGAGTAAAAATTAAACTGATCACTCTATTGGGTTTGTCTACTCTTTCGCAGGCTTACGCCATCATCAGTGAGGAACTTTCTGACCTAAATAGCAAAGACAGCCGAACAGGAATGATCTTAAACGAGTTAATCCCCCCGTAAGAGGAAATGTTACAATAGTTGATAGTTTCCATTTGAGGGGTTTTAGTCAGTCAAACGAGTTTCGCCATTTTGCCATCTTCAGTGGTAGGTCTGTCCGAATGATTATTTTATGCCCGCACTTGTAACTGCCACCTGGATCACAATAGCAAGGGTAAAAAGACCAGAATGATCGGAAATGCTAAAGGTTCAACACTCCGCAGACCCCAAGAAGAAATCTCACAAGTCGGTTAGAGATGTGGTAGTTCTACTACAATAATTCTGGTCTGGCGACTCTTGCTCATTTCGGCAGCGTGTGTTTCAACTAAAGTGTGTTTCAGTATCTCGTCATCTGCAGTGGTGGAGATGACTAAGTATTTATTTTACGTTCGCATCATGGTGCGCAAGATGTTGATATGTCAAAACGTTTCAGGTAGAACAAAAGAGCTAGGGTAGACAAACCGGAATGATTGGAAACGGCCAGAAGTAAATCACCACGTAGACCATAAAAAACTCACACCTACTCAGTAGTTTGGTTTTTTCATCCTAATTGTTTTGGTCAATTAAAAGTGTTTCGCCATTTTGCCATCTTCGGTTCTGGTTTTGACCAAATATTTTATGTTCGCACCTACAACTAGGAACCAACTGGGAACCAAAATTGCAATAGTAGACAGACCGGAATGATCGGAAACAACCAACTCGGCCAAATAGCTTCAATTCCATCACATCAGACGCCAAGAAGAATCTCACAACTTAATCCGTAATTTGGTCGCTTTTGATCATTCTGGTCGGGCTAACCATGCGGTTCTGGTCAGTCAGTCCTGTTTCCTCATCTCTACATTGTTATGTTTGGGTCAGTCTAAATATTAAAATACCAAGTCTAAAAAAAATAAGAAGGCTAGGAAATGGCCTAGAGATAGAACCACATCTATTTGCAAGCGATGTCACAGTGGACTCGGACTGTCATCCCTTACAAACCCGGCTTTAGATCATACAGGTTTTCGCTGTTTTGGTTGATGACGAGTTTCGACATTTCTCCATCAACTGAAGTGTGAACATAAAATAATTATATGGCAGTCCCACCACTAAAGATGGCTTAATGTTAAAACAGGTCTGTCTGGCCAAAACACCGAGGATGGGCAGACCAGAATGATTAGAGAAACCGGTAGGCACTAACTTCAGTGGCAGGTTTCTGTTAAAATACAGGTAAAATAAATATTCAGACCACACTGACGATAAAAAAAATGCCAAGTCTGACTGATCAAAACAGCGAGGATAGCCAGATAAGGATGGCCAAACCTCTAAGTTATGATATTTCTTCTTGAAGACTGCGGGATGATGGACCTGTAACTTGGTCGTTTGCGATCATTCTGGACCGTTTATCCTCCTTTCGTTCCGACTGTGGTGCTTTATTTCTTCTCAAATCACATGATCGCTTTATCAAATTGTAACACAATTTATCATAGTACATAATTAACAAATATGAGATATAAAAACGCTTACAGTTCAAAATATAAATAAATTCACGTAACAATAGACATAGTAGCAATTTATCTCTGAAACTCGACGAAGGAAATAAAATGAACTGGATTTTAATTGAACGTACCAAACAATGGGTTGAGCATCTCTCATCTGTTGTACTTTTTGAAGGACGGTGTCCACTCCTACCCTGTAGCCGAGTTCAATTCTCGCCGTACAATGCCAGCACTCGACGAGATAAACCAAATAAAGCATAGCCATAAAGGCAAGAGGGATGTAGATGTAGCCTTCGTCGCAAGGTGACATCTGCCTGCTGCTTTGTATCGGATACAAAGCGAAGTTTATCACGACCTGAAACAATAAAACAAAATAATTTGAAGCTGAGAATGGATTTTTATTTTAAAAATGTTGTTCAACGGAACGACCGAATCTTTCCAAAAAATAGTCTAAAAACTTGGCGCTTAACGCATAATCTTGCGAACATTAATGGTTAATTTATTTCATTTACAATTTAAAAAAATTACAAGCCAGCTTCTAATTGTAAAATATATAATTTGAGATCATATTTGAAACTTTAAGTATTCGCACTTTTGTTTAAAAAAAAAAAGTATTCACGCATCCGTGTCAACTGTGTTTTTGTTCCACTTTTCAAGATTTTCATCTGCTTGTGTGTAATTAATTAATGGACTCTTTAGAATAATTTAAGAAAATTCTTTTATTGAAAATCTTTGATAAAATTGTACCTTTTCGTTCTTCTCTCTTTTAATCTAACTTGTTTTTTTTCTTTTTGATGCACATGTGAACAATTCCATAACACTAACTAGCAGACCAAAGAAACACTTAATTCCCCCTTTCTCACTCCCTCTCTCTCTTTCTCTCCCTTTCTTTCTCTATCCCTCCCTTTCTCTCACCCTCTATCTCTCTCCCACTCCCTATCTCTCTTTATTTCTCACTCCCCTTTTCTCTTTCTATCACTCTCTCTCTATCTCATTTCCCTCCCTCGCCCTCCCTCCTCTTTCTCTCTCACCATCTCTCTCTTTCTCTCTCTCCCTCCCTCTCTCTCTATTTCTCTCTCTCCCTCACTCTATCTCTTACTCGCCTTCTTTCTCTCTCCCTCTCTCTATTTCTCTCCCTTCTCTTTTTCTCTCCCTCCTTCCCCCTCTCACACCCTCTTTCACCCTCCCTCTCTCTTTCTCTCTCCGCCTCGCTCTATCTCTTACTCCCCTTCTTTCTCTCTCCCTCTCTCTATCTCTCTCTCTTTCTCTCTCTCTCCCTCCCTCTCTCTTTCTCTCTTTCCCTCGTTCTATCTCTTACTCCCCTTCTTTCTCTCTCCCTCTCTCTATCTCTCTCCCTTCTCTCTTTCTCTCCCTCCTTCCACCTCTCTCTCCCTCTTTCACCCTCCCTCCTCTTTCTCTCTCTCAATCTCTCTCTCTCCCTCCCTCTCTCTCTCTTTCTCTCTCTCCCTCGCTCTATCTCTTACTCCCCTTTTTTCTTCATCTCTCTCTCTTTCCCTCTCTCTCCTTCCCTCTCTCTCTTTCTCTCTCTTCCTCGCTCTATCTCTTACTCCCCTTCTTTATCTCTCTCTTTCTCTCTCTCCCTTCTCTCCCTCCTTCCCCCTCTCTCTCCCTCTTTCGCCCTCCCTCTCTCTTTCTCTCTTTCCCTCGCTCTATCTCTTACTCCCCTTCTTTCTCTCTCCCTCTCTCTACCTCTCTCCCTTCTCTCTTTCTCTCCCTCCTTCCCCCTCTCTACCCCCTCTCTGTCCCTCTTTCGCCCTTCCTCTCTCTTTCTCTCTCCCTCTCTCTACCTCTCTCCCTTCTCTCTTTCTCTCCCTCCTTCCCCCTCTCTCTCCCTCCTTCCCCCTCTCTCTCCCTCTTTCGCCCTCCCTCTCTCTTTCTCTCTCTCCATCTCTCTCTCTCTTTCTCTCTCTCCCTCGCTCTATCTCTTACTCCCCTTCTTTCTCTCTACCTCTCTCCCTTCTCTCTTTCTCTCCCTCCTTCCCCCCTCTCTCACCCCCTCTCTGTCCCTCTTTCGCCCTTCCTCTCTCTTTCTCTCTCTCCATATCTCTCTCTCTCTCTCTCTCTCTCTCTCCCTCCTTCCCCCTCTCTCTCCCTCCTTCCCCCTCTCTCTCCCTCTTTCGCCTCTCTCTCTCTCTCTCTCTCTCTCTCTCTCTCTCGTATATCGTCTGCAGTGAAAGCCTTTATGTACACAGATGGTAACAAATCGGAAGTTGGTGTAGGATGTGCAGTCGGAAGCGAGAAAATGAAGTATACATACAGAAATATAAACTCGCTGACTGGTTCAGCAAACATCAGGCAGAAACATTGGAGTAGGCCATGGAAGAAGAATTATCCATAAAACCACAATTAAAAACGCTGCGAATTTGTACAGACAGCAAAGCGGTAATAGCACCGCGTCGTGATCGTCAAATCATGTGCTAGTTGTTGAGAAAAGCAAACCTTGAGTAAGGCCTAGAAGTTGAAAGATGGAAAATAAAACTACGTTGGGTAAAAGCTCATGCTGGCCAACAAAGTACTGAAGAAGCAGATCGATTCTCAAAAGAAGCGGCAGCAGATCCTTAAACTTGTGGAATTTGGGGGCAGTGCACCATCAGGAAGCCACACCAAAACATTGATTGGGGTCCTCGCCCTAGTCTTCACCCACACTCTCTCCTTCTCTTTCTCTCGTTTTCTCTCTAAGTCTTAAAATAACAGACTAGCACATAACCTTTCGACTTGAACACACTTGAAACGAGTGGCACAGCCAAATACCCTTATTAATATGTACTTACTTTCGTAACACGCGTAAAACGACACCACGTGACCGCTCCAAGGCAGCCAAGGATCAACGATGTCAGAATGAAACATTTCCAATTGTTTTCACGCTGTAGAGCTCCACAAAGGCTCTGCCCTACCGGATACAACTGAAACAGAAAATGAAAACTTATTTGTTCAAGTGAAACAAAAAATACACAGGTGAATTTTGTGATATCGCACAACCACAAGAAAAGTGGCACAACTTAACAAAATAAAAATCTACAGGAGATACAAATGGAAGTTTGGTTTTTTTTACTTATGTATTAAATACACGCCATTATAGTTGTTGGCAATAAAAACCGTCATGATCCATCAATATTGCCATTCGTTTCTCCACAACTTAAGCGAAAACACGAAACTTTAAAAATGCAGCTGTATTACCCCTAAAAAACTACGCATTTTTGAGTTGTGACACTTTTCTTGCATTTATTGGCTCTCAGTAATTTAAGTTTGTTTGCTTTAACAATAATAGTGGTCAATTAATGTCTGTATTAATTTTTTTGATAGTAACAGACAACATACCAACCTAACAAACAAGCATAATGGAGTAAGTTTTACAAAGATTATTTTTGAACCAAATTTGTTTTCCACCTGGAGTCAAAGCTAATTAGTTATTTAAAATACAAAATTAATCATTGAAATAAAAGTTTTAATGATTATTAAACATATTGTAAATAAAACATTAAAAAAATCTTTGAAACTATTAAATAAAGTAAAAGTTAAAAGACAACATTGTTAACAAATTATGAAAAAACAAAATTATAAGAATGTTATTAAAATAAATGAAACTAAAATAATTCACGAACGCTCTAGATCAAGGCATGGTCTTCAAGAAAAAAGCAAATTCAGTTGTTACTGCCAAGCTTTCGGCCTATTTTAAGGTCATCATCAGGGCGTATGTTAATTTCTCATTACGAAAAACATATTTGTACAATTGATGTAACAATTGTTTTTCACAATGTGAACATGTGACTCCGGTATAGCATAAAATCCTTCACTAAACAAGAAAAAAACTGACGTAACTCGAAAAGTGCCACTTGCCTGATAAATACTCACACCGATGCTTTAAAGCTCGATAATTAACTAAGATATGCCACTTTTCGTGAAAGGTGACGGTATGTTCCAATTCAAAAGTGGCACATAGTGCTGCCTAGCAGCTAAGAGTCCACATACATTTGTGTCATTTTTCCTGCATCACACACCCGAATACTTCACTTTTCTTGTGGGTGTGCAATATGTGGTTGAAGTCTCCGAGTCGATGAAACGGGAGAAAAACACTTCACGACATAAACTGATGGAAGAATAGCCGAGAGGGACAAACAATGTTAACAAACAAGACAACAAAAGAACAAAGATAACAAGGCCACATCCTTGCTTCTTTCTTATAAAAAGGACACGGCTAAGAAAAACATCCCAAACCCCCTCTTGGAAGTGGCGTCTAAAGACAAGTCCAGACTTTAAACAATGAACTTATTGAACTGTATCCTAAATAAAATGAAAACACCATTATGAAGAAAGATACTTAACTAAATTAGCCATTCTAGATTTTTTGACATGGGTATGATTTAGAGCAAAAAAATTGTGCAAAACTTCAGTTTCGAGTTGCTATGTTCCTCCGCTTTACGGAAAAAACATTGAATGCTGGATGTGTCACTTAACCCGTCTGTAAATACAAATACACTAATTTAAGTACAAATTTCTTCTTAGCAAGGCGCTAGATTAAAACCCCCGCACGACGGATTGGTCGCGCAGGTTTAACATTGCAAAGCGCCGTATTCGCTCCACGCTTTTTTGTGCTTTTTTTCTAATTACGTCGGTATCAAAGGCTGGATTCGAACACGGGACCTTTGCCTTACGGTCAACGCCTAAACCATTGCGGCGACTCTATTTTAGCGATTGGATCGTTATGAAGATTTTGAAGGTGCCTGTATTTCGTGACTTAACTAAATTAGCCGTTCTATATGTTTTTGATGTAGGTATGATTTAGTGCAAAAAAATGGCTGCTTGCTCCATCAGTGAATGTTCAATGTGAGGACTCGTCGACCAGTATAACTTAAGCCGGATAAGCCCATGCTTAAATAAAGAAATTCTATGCTCACTGGCTCTTTTTTGAAGATGAAAGCATTGTCGAAGTGATGCCTGGTGGAAACACCATATCGCACAAATGATGATTGTGAAGGCCCAACTTTATACTGTCACGAAGTTCATTCTTTACAGCCCATTGCTTTGCACAGTTTTTGCAATAAAACTTGGGCGATAGTTTTCAGCACTATTGAAGGCGTGACTGCGTACTTTTAGCTTGGTCAGTCCTGTCTGTCACCCGCCCATGGGACTTGTGCTGTACACGGTGGTGTCAGGCCCGTGGCCGTGTGTATGCCATTCCTGGAGTTTCAAATCCACAACTAGAACAGGTTTTGTACATAGGAACATCACACTGGTACAAACATCTCGATCGTGCTGGAATTCATAAAATACTTAACTATTAAATTTTTTGAACAAGCGAGATCACCATCGGCACATTCTACTGATAAAAAGTTGGACTACGCGCGCAGGAAAGTCAGGAACGCTTTCCCATAATTTGCCACGATAGCTGGGGCTTTTAATCTAATTATTCCTCTAAATATAAAAATAATGAAATAATACGGAAACACGTCAAAAGTTGAAGGTCATGACAGTCATTAGATTGCAATGGCATTGTAATGCTATCATAAATATATACGTATATGTAAATAAAATTTCAGTTATGTTTTGACAGTGCACAGCTAAATATAGACACGTGAGGGAAAATAAAAACAAACGGCTCACCTCTTCTTGATCGTCGTCGTCGAGAGCACTTCGGCTCATATCGCCCTGTCATCATCTCAGCCTGTTATCGGCCATCCTATTCCATTATCCTAATTAAACGTTTATGAAATTCTAAGTGATGAACTTTCTATCAAACCAATTACAATTTTAAAAAATTATTATTACACTCTTTTTAAATCTTCGTTTCTATATGTGTCATCGGAGGAACGCCGCACCACAGGATCACCGTGCACAGCTCATAACCAATAATATTTTCACTGTTCCCTCTGAAAACAACAAACATAAACATGTATTTGAACATTTATTTTGTGTAAAAAATTATTTTTAGTATAATTTTGATAATTGACATATTTATTCTTATTATAATCACGAACAGAATTTTTGTTCTAATATGAATGTTATAATAATTAGTCAGGGACAAGAAACGAAGATATTTTTCAAAATCAAGCCGTAAGATAATTCAAGACAATTGATCAAAAGAAAGAAATAACTAAGTCAGCTGTTGACTGGAAGGAGTGAGAATTACCCAGTGCTGATGTACGATACATCGATAATCGTGGACTTTAAAGTTCAAGTTAAACAAAAAGTTGAATCATAAAACCCAGACGTTTAACAAGAAAACCAAAACCACTGAAAGTCATGGCAAGAGAAACATTTCAGATCAACAGGTCTTGAAAGATAAAACGCTTATGAACGGATAACCGAAGACAAACAAAAGGGAAACACAAACAATCCAACAACAAAGATGAGCAGAGTCTTGGAAAAGGTTCGACTATTGGGACACTCAGGAAACAACATTATCATCGTTCTTCATGTAAGAACATAAAATACATTAAATTTAATTGGGTGGGTTAGATAGAAGGTCACGAGGCCATCGTCGTTTTAAACGGCGCGGAGTATTGTAAGGGAGAGACGTTGAGGAAAGAGTTAGGGCTAGTGGATTACGGTGGAAGGATAGTTTAGAGTGGAAAGTGAAGAAGCGTGTTCGGATAAGATCTTTATGATCGTTTGATTGGTGACATAGAAGGGAGCATTGAGGATACGGCGGATAACTTTAGATTGAAAAGATTGAATTCGTTGGATGTTGGATGATTTGGCCGAGCCCCGCAGCTCAACTCCGTTGGTTAAATAGGTCTGATGAGTGTTTAGTTTAGCGGTTAGTTTGTTATGTATTCCTAGAGTTGATTTTGGTCCAGGTGTCTGAGTAGTCCATATCTTTTGTTAAGTTCTTGCCGTTTTAATCTTGTACGTGGGTTCCATGTAAGTCTACTATCTAAGTAAAGCCCAAGCGGGCTTGGTACCAAGTAGCGGACTTGGTTCGATGGTGGTATTCTCTTGTAAATGTGTACTGGTGACAGGTAATAAAATGCATAAAGTAAAAGAGCCGAAAATGATAGAACTATAGGTCCATAGGTATACGAGTCCAAAACACGAGTAATCAAACTTGTCAGGAGAGTAAACCTCTGTCTTTCAAGTTTAAATACATGCTACGAACGCTTGGGCCTTAAAAAATGTTAAGAGAGGTTACTGTAGTGACCTACAACAGTTAACACAGTACTCGCTAGGTGCCAGTACCTGTTATGGAATGGTCTCGCCCTCCACTCTGCAACCAGAGTAGAGCCCTTTTGAATATAAGCAGGGGTACTTCCCCACTAACTTCAGACTCGTCAAAGATTCGTCTCCTCAACGAGGTCTCACCAATCGAGCAACGACAGCAGACGAGCTCTTACTAAACACCAATGGAGCACTGACTACGATAACGACGACAGCAAGGGAACTCGCAGCAGTAACCTAGATCTCGCCTTCTCAACACAGCCGACTTGGCTATACTGGCCAACTGCTGCATTCGGCTAACTGCTGCACTCGAGTCTCTTCAACCGCTGCAGAGTCAACCGACTCACTGCCCCGGACCTCAGCCAACAGTCCCTGCCTCGAATGATCTTCCACGACTCCTCAAAACAACACCGGGCCACCAAAAACTCCCTGTCACTAAAGTTACATCCTCAGATAAAGGATTATTAGGAAGGATCTATTAAGGAATATTAAAATATCTGATGGTTAAACAGCAATTAAAACATTAGCATATAAAAATATCACATCAAATTAGTTAATTTTTAAATAATAATAAAAAGCTGTAAATCAGATTTGTTTAGGTGGCTACAGAGCTTTTATCAATGCATCTATAGTAGGACATCTTTTGAACTATTATAATTCTTTAAATATTGGTTATATATATCTAGCTTCAGGCTTTTTTATAAGCCTCTGTAGTTTTGACACACTTCAAATATATTCGCTAAGTTGAGCTGGTCTTGTGCCTTAGAAAATCTTAAAAGAGGTTACACTGACTGAAAAATCTCATAAGATCGGATAGCCAAGCAGGTATTAAAGCATCAGTATATAAAGAAATCACATCAAAATCAGTAATTGAGTGCATTCAAATTTCCAAGACCTGGACAAACGCAACTACCTGATGATGGCTTGAGTACAGGACACAAGGGAATTAACGCCAGACACGGCCCGGGGAGGAACTGCAAGACCATATAACCTGAACCTATTCTTGAGATAAGAAAAACAAACACAGAATCTTCCATCGCAGAAAGGATCCAAAAAGGAGGTGCTAGATATAATAAGCTTATGTTAAAGCAATCCTCACCAAGACTAGCAAGCTCACTGCTACAGTTAGAGAAGGTTAAACTCAGAAGAGTGAAAAGATAATATATCGGTCACTGATAACACAGAAAACATCAACATAACATGAGTATATACAACGTTGTCCCAAGTTGTAGGTTATACAATGATGAGGAAGAAATTGCCGCCCATACCGTCTTCGAAAACAACAGTTCAATGGAGACATAACCTGGGATACAAAGAAAACCTAGGGAAAAGAACTGTAGCAACGACAGGCAATGACCTAGTACTTTTTAGGAGAAAGACTGAGTAGATGAATAGGAAAGTACTAAAAATCCAGGAGGTGCAGTGTTTCAGGAATAAAAAAACCACTGACTAGTATCCATCATCATAGGTGACAATGTGATAGTCGTTTTTACTAATTAATTTTAATGGTAGGTTTTGATCTGTCCTCCCATTTTTTAAATAATATTTTACTAAAGCAGGTCCTGAAAATATACCTGTTGTGGTTATTAGTTTATGTTATCTACCTCTTTCTCTCATTGGATTGTTTTTGCGAGTAATCTTTTTCCTTGTCTTATGCTTTTCATTAGCTTCCAGTATATGTTGAGCCCTTTAGAAATTTAATATTTGCAACGTCCGTTTCCAACTTCCGTTTTTTGAAAAGTCGAATCAATTCATTCAACGTTGTTGTTAGGAAAGTTTTTTTTAAATTTCCTTGTTCCCACCTTGAAAGCAACGTCGTCGCGATTTTCCCCATGGTCTCATTTTACACAGGTGAGCAGTCAAGGAGCGTTCGGGTGGTCAGGGTTGCGAAGAGGAAGTCGTGCCTCAGCGGACGGGCAGAGTGTTGCCTTGGAAACTTCGTGATTAGGGGATGGGTCGGTAAGAGGGTAAATAACTGTATTACTACATCAAAACCGACATCAAAACAAGATTTATAATCTGCCAGGGCCGAGTTGAAGGCCATGGTAGAAACAACAACACAAACTTTATTTTCTCCCTGGAAACATGGAACTAACATTTAAATTCACAATGTTGGAATATTCTAAGGAATTGTTCGCTGATCGATTTATCCCCATTAACATCACTTTTGATGTATGCTTGTTACGCTTGTTCACCTCAAATCAATTGATCAAATAAAACGATTCAGCATCTTGCGACCTATAATTATATAATATTATTACAAATATTAGTTGTTTTAGTCTACCAGACGAGCTTTTCACCTTCTTTGCAGATTGTGTACCTTTTACTTGTAACTAAATCGTCGAGTGAAACACCTACTTCAAAAGAAATCTCACGATATTTTAAATTTTCCTTATAAACCCATAAAAAGGGTCAAATTGTGGGACTTGTGGTTGAAGTCTGCGACCTGACTCAGTGACCAACCAAAACAAACAATTTATGTAATATAGAACGAACCTGTCACAAACTTATAACAGGAACTCGATTAAGAGAAATAACGGGCAGACCCAAAATTTAAGAATTTCGACGAAAGCGGAAACGTCCAAGCTACAAACATGATTAAGTTGACTACGAGCTTATAATGAAATCAAGCAATACAATTTAGCTTTAACAAGCATAGAGAAATTATTTTCGGAGTACTAAAATTCAGCAACACTAACATAAAGTAAGTACAGAGGAGGAAGGATTACTGGAAAAGGCACGGGACCAGGCAGAAGACGGTCTGAAAGAAATGGTGAAAAGGCTAGGAAAGAAAGCCAAAATCAAATTGAACGAGGATATGGTTTGAGCTGGATACAGAAATTATTTTGACCATTTCGCTACTGAGGATTGCAAGTACGTTGGGTTGAATTAATAAGGTTTAGGTTAGAATAGGTAGGGTTAGAAACAAGTTAAGTTAAGGATAGTGACTGATTTAAAATAAGTTATATTGGGTTAGAAAGGGATTAGGTTAAGGGCTAAGTTTGGGTTAGAGGCAGGTTTACATTAGGTTGGGTAGGGTTAGGGTTAGGATAAGATTAGGTTAAATTTGGGGACGTGTTATTTGAGTTGCATAATTTCCAGGCATACCATAGAAGCTCAAATACGAGGTCTATAAGAGAAATAAAATTGGAATCCGGAAACAAAAACAACCGAAGTTGAAAGTCTTCCATACAGAATTGAAGGTATAGAATTATCATCCAATAGACAAAAAATTATAAAAAAACCGCTATGGATTGGAAGGTAGAATAATATGACAAAAATGTAGCATAGAGTATGGATAAAACAAGCGTTAATAGAAACCGTTAAGTATTAAACACAGTGGAAGCTTAGCTTTAATCAATATTGCAGAAAACGACCATTCAGACACCATTAACTATTGAAAACTGTGGGTGGGCAGTGCTGTAGAATGATTTCGTTTTGGATTCAGATTATCTCTTGAACACACCTCTTTCCTGCAAACAAGTAGAATACACAACATGAATGAAACAAATCTCAAAATACCATTAACTTTTGCGAATAATACGAGAGGAACTTTCAACAGTTTAACTAGTAGATAGATGTGATAGAACACTCGGGAACATCAGTAGTTGGTTTTCCTTTTCTCTTTTTCTTATAAGAAATAAAATAGCATTTTTTAAATTTGTTTAAGTCGTGAAGAGCCGTCAAAAATTAGTTAATTTAGAAAAACACCGTTTTAATTTTTTGGCGATATTTCGACCTTTATTCGGTCATCTTCAGGGCATGAAGTGTGGTGCTATTTTTGAAGTGTCATTGGTTTTGTGATGTTCACGGCGCTTTGGTATGTTAAACCTGCGCGACCAATCCGTCGTGCGGGGTTTTAATCTAGCGCCTTGCTAAGAAGAAATTTGAACTTACAATTAGCGTTAGTTACGGACTGGTTAAAATACTTTATGAAGGGTTAGGGTTAGGATTAGGATAAGGGATAGGTCAGGTGACATATCCAGCATTCAATGTTTTTCCGTAAAACGAAGAACATAGCAACTGCGAAGCGCTGGAGTTTTGCAAATTTTTTTTGCACTAAATCATACCCATGGAAAAAAATATGGAATGGGTAATTTTTTTTTTTTTTGTGGATACAATGTTCAAATTCACAACACTTTCACACTTTATGCCCTGAAGATGACCCGAATTAAGATCGAAACTACGGCAAAAAAATGAAAAAGGCGTTTTTCTCAACTATCTTATTCTAGACCGCTCCTCACGACTTCAACAAATTATGAAATAACAGGTCACTGAGGAACGCGCATAGTATATTTTTGTTCATTTTTTGTATAAATAATCTCTCGGATTCAAGGCTCGTACGAATGAATGTATATATTAGCATGCATGCAGGTGTGAGGGGATCGAGGCCTGAATATCAAGTCCAATCGACCCTCGGGTTAAATGTATATTTTATACACGGGGTGATGGACGAATATCCAGTATACGCCGACACTGATAGACGTTTCCTTGGAATAGCAAGCGGGCTAGATATTTGTAATGAACTATTTGTTGATTGTGGTCGCTCAAAGCTCACATAACTTTGTTTTGTTATAATATAATTAGGTTTTTTCTCAATTAACAAATTGAATGTTTCGGATATTTTTTTAATATTAGGAAGTAGATTGGAGATGCGTCCACGCGTAAAACTCGTAATACACCAAGAATAATAAAATTGACAGATGATTTGTTTTAATTAGGTTTAAATTTTTTATGGGAACTTATAAAATTTGAATTAAATCGTGGATTAAAAAAAGAGTGTTTTTTTTAATCTTCAAGGGTTTTATTCGGGGTTCGATACTTGTATCGTTCAGGGTAACAAGTTTGTTACAAAATTAAATTGTCGTCCTTTACAAAGAGGCTACATCCCACCCCACAGGAATTGTTTTGTTTTATAATAAAAAAAGTTTAATTAAAACGTTAATCAAAGTTTGCATTGGTAAATTTTATTAGAATTTTAACATATTTTATCGAATTATTTATTTATTTACAATTACTCTGTTATAGCTAATTAAGGCTAGCTAGGTAATGCTAAAAAAAATAAGCTTTACAAATATAAGTAATTACATTATATTTAATGGTCTATTGACCAAATTACTTCTTTCAATTAATTAATCTTTTTACGTAAGGCTTTGGTTAAAATTAAACAGTTAGTGTTACGAGCGGGATTCGAACCTACGATTTTTGGCTCAATACGCCGCTGCTCTAACCACTTGAGCTATCGTGTCAATCGAATCCCGCTCGTGACACTAACTTTTTCATTTCAACCAAAACCTTACTAAAACATATTAATTAATCAAAATAAGTATTACATTGAAATATACGTAAAGTGAAATGTATATATTTAAAAACAAATTAGTTAAAGAACAAATATAATAATAAATAAGAAGAAGAACTTGTGGGAAGTCTCTTAATCATAACCCTTCTGTGCAAAACATAAAAATATCATTTATTTTGTTTTCAAATCAGCAAAACGAATCTAATAATAAATATTAAAGGGCATAAATACCCTCTACCTAAATCCTTTGTTCCTACCTAATCCTTTCCAAGGATCGGCCTACTCCGTCTACTGTCCTCTTAGAGAGGGAGTTCCTCAAGGCAGCGTACTTAGATCGATCCTTTATCTCCTTTGCACCGCAGGTATGCCAACTTCACTTTAATCTACACCCTTCAAAATGGCCTTAAAATCCCTCTCGTGCGAAAAGAAATCCCCAAAATTTTATCCTTTCCAAAAAAACTCTCGTCCCATGTCCAACGAGTGCCAATAATTTATTCACTTTCAACACACACTAGTGGTCAGAAAACGAAAGATCTATAAGTACTATATACAATAAAACAACCCTGTTTCCTCCAAAAATTGGAACAGGGGGGCCCAAATACACTCTGCCGAGCAGTAAATCGAGCACAATCTCATCCTACGCGCTCTATAGAGCCAGGGAATTGCATCCTTAGGTGGAACACATCGAGCAACCTTTCTCTATGCAGGGCACACACGCTTGTTTCGGCCCAAAAGCAAATGTCCGTGTGCCAACCTCGCACGGCCTATCCTTAATCGCTGAGGATGACCCTTCATTTACGAGTCAGATCCTCCGAGGTCCACTTATCGTGCTCTTGATACGCCAGGAGAGCTCTTCTACCAATCCAGGCCACTAATGCTTCACTTTTTTTAATGTTTTTCTATGCTTCTTTAGTATCAGAGGGCCGGATCGCGATGGTTAAGTTCAAGACATCTCTTCCTTAACCGGAGTGCTTTAGAGGTCCAAATCTGTTGCCGGACCAAAGTTTCAGAAGACTTATTTTTATGGCTCAACTTTAACAAAAAAACTCCGAAACCAGAAATATCACCCTTATTATTGAGAATCGAAGAGTAAAGAGAAATGTTTATTGCATTTTATGCTTAGAAACATCCTGTATATTAAACAATTATATTTTTAAAAAAAGATGAGGCCAATTAATTTTATTTATTTCACAAGTACAATAAAATTAGATATGTGCATTAAATTCGATCAGAACTAGATCGAACATGAACATGTGAATTGATGATCATATCAGTTTACTTTATTAATGAAAGTTTCCATGTCTGATTAAAGATAAGGAAAGCTCGATGAACACTGAGTGTTTTCTTGTCTAATTGGCCTCATCCTTGGTTTTTCAACATACAACTCAAATTCAAAGCTTATAAGTATTTATATAGGAGTTTATTTAATTTTATAGTTTATCATTGTAAAATTTTTATTAGATTTTCAACACGAGAAAAAAATCAATATTTACGAGCATTTTATTAAAATAACATTGGGTTCATTACAAGGATGTTTTGTTGTTAGCACATCGCGTAAAAAAAGGCAATTCTTTCATCTAAAACGATATCGAACTTAAAAATTATCAAATTGTTTCTAAATGGTAGATTCCAGTCGAATAAAATAGTTAAAAGTGGGCAAATAGTCACGTTACCATAAATGCGATATCCCTGAGTAGGAAAATACGTCAAGCGGTTGCCGAGGATTGACGTCGGCAACGACCCAACTACCCAAGTCGAGCTGTGCCGATAACTGAGTTGGCGACGAAGGGGTGAAAGACGTCGCCGGCCTACCCTACATCAGACCAATCCGATTGCGTTTCCCGTGACAACCCCACCCTCGAAAGATCCACGACCCACTTTATCCGTTCTGGACGAACACTTCAAACATACTCTCAGTCTTTTCCATTTAAGGTGTGATAGGATAATCGAAAATCGTCAGTTTTGTTGGATAAGGACATGGGGGTTGACGTGGATATGACCATCGTGGCCATCCATGTCCCAAGGAGGCATCTGTAAAGTGTAGGGTTGCCAGGGTTTGGGTTTGAGACTTCAGTTTTTCGAACCGAACTCCTGTTTACGGAAATAACGAGAAAAAAAAATTAAATAAAGATATTTGTTGACATCGATTTTACCCTCCCGCACAGACTACACCCAGCGCCCTGGTGGTCTCTAACCATTTTAGAATTCTTCAAAAATACATTTTGATCATAAAAAAACTAATTTTCTTTACTTTCAATGAAATTTCATATATTTTACGTTCATAAACGATATTATCCAAATATTCACATAAACATTACGAATTGTCGTTTACTTTCAATGAAATTTCATATATCAGATTATTATAAACATGGTCAAAAAAAATAGTAAACCGTACATAATTACTTTTTTGATCTTACACTAATGACTTCCTTAAACCCATAATATAATGTTCCCATCAGCAAAGCTTCTGGCACTTTTTATTGCCATTCTCCAAGGCAAAAATGCAGTGTTTAAAAATACCCCTAGGTGATCCATTAAAGGCTATCATAAAAGGTCTAGGGTTGATTTTAAAAAATCAACTTATACATGTTAACATGATCATTTTTAAAGTTAGTGGTGGGTCTGAGACTGGTCGAACTTGTAATTTGATCCTTAGGACTCTTTCAAATGAGGCCTTTTGGTTGATTTAACTAAGCTGCCTGGTTAAATCAATTAGTTGTCTGCAATGTGAACTTTTCTTGGCTGGTTTTACACCAGGCAACTTACATTAACTTCTGTCCCCAATGGGAGGTCAGTACGATGTTTCAACTGATCATCTTGATCAGTCTATCCTAGCTGGGTTGGTCCATTAAATGAATTTCTTAATTTTGACATCTTCAGTGTGTCTGCCTGGGACGTGGAGGCATTTAGTAATTCATCTATAAAGCTAGTAGAGCCATAAAAGAGTAAGATCTGAAGATGTTTAAATGACATGTCTGTCGGACTAACCGAGCAAGGATAGGCAGACTGGGATAATTGGCAAAGTTCAAATTACAGGTTCATCACCCTTGCAGACATGAAAAAATTTCATATGTTGAACTGAAAGACCTTACATTACTGGATCCTTCCCACTGATTTACATTTCACTCAATTGTTTCGCCTACATGCCACCATCACTGAAAAGCTACGATTATGTTCATTACAGAATAAATGCTGATTAATTAATAAGATGAAAATTGAAAATCTAATATAAGCATAAATAACTTGTAGTCAAAGTGGATGTTGGATTGAAGAAAAAAAGGTATTTCGGTTATTAAAGATGTTTATTATGAAATAAATGTGATCACCAAAGGTCAACTCTTCATCGAACAAAATCTAAAGAGAACGATACATTTTTGTCATCTGCAAATAAGAGGAACGTAACTTTAGTGAGATTTTATTAATGATAATATAAATATTAAAAAGGAGTGGTTCTAAATGAGATCCTTGTGGAACTCCTAAGTCCTAAGGCCAAAATTTCTTTCAATTTATAGTATTTCATTGTAACTATGTGATCTACTTGTAAGATTATCAAAAAACTGCAAAGTGAATAAATCAATAATAAAATTCAACCAGACCCAATGCTGAAGGTAGCGAAAACAGTTAATTCCCTGAATTTCCAGGCATCATCATGGAAGATGGTGAAATGCATCTGACAGACAAGCAGGCCAAAATGTTAGTAACAACCAGTTTTTTTCTAGCCGAGGGCAAGAACCTGCATATTGGTCGTTTTTCAATCATTCTAATTCGGAATCCTCACTTTTTGATTTTTGGCAACCAAAATTGAATAACTTTAGAGGAATAGTCATAGAAAAGACAGAATCAGATAGATGGACTTCTGCAAGAAAAAGAAAAAGATGAGAAGAAAAGACTAAACACCCACAATAAACCACACCCAAGTGCAATCAAACAAATCAAAATAAAATAAACTCTAAACAATATATTAAATAAACATTGCTTTTATGTGTAGGAATGTGTGCGAAATAATAACAAATCAAATCTTAATAGGTTTTATTTTAATAATAATAATAATAAAAACTCATAAAATTGAAAAAAAAAGTTTAGAATTTGTACTCAACAGATATTTTGCTACCATATAATTACATAAAATAAACAATAAAATAATATAAAAATTGTATTTCTAAAATGATTCTATACAAGTTGAATTTTTTTTTTCATGTTAAATTAATCATTACAATTCTCTGATCCTTTCTAACAATGATAATAACCATCAATTCCTCGATATCAGTCTAAACTCGGTCAAATCTAACTAAGACCTACCATAATTTCAACTATTAAAAAAAAAAAGTCTATTTAATACAAAAAATCAGAACCATTCAACTTTTTAACTACAACATATTACTACATGAATTATAAATAAATACAAAGCGTAACAAATGTGAATCAATCACAAAAACCAGTATAAAGACTGGGAATTTAACTGCAATGATAATGACAAAGACAATTTTTTTTTTTAAGCAAACTGATTCATAAAAATCCATTAGTACTAATGAAACCAAAATTTGTATAAATTTATTTTTTAAAATTTCAATAAAACATTAATTTAAGGCACTATTTAAAGGTAACAGTTAGTCAACCACAAAAAAAGGATTTGAGCGCAAACGTAAGGTAACAATTCATTTCAAGTACTTTCAATAAAATATTTTTTGACAACTAAGCCTTTCCAATCATAGATTCGAGTTGTGCAACACAAGGGATTATTTCTTCGCTGTCTTTTATGAATCCTATGAGCCTGAAAATACATTTAAAAAATACATAATTACTGAGAAAATTCAAGAAGTTATTATTATTTATAAGTAAAGTAGAGTACTTTAAATGAATCCTTTCCGCCTCTTCCTTCGGAATGTGAATTAGTTTTTTCAAAGCTGTCATGCACTGGGCAGCGAGGAATTTAAAACACTGTTTCCTCGCGACATTGTGAGGTGGATTTTCCCAAAGTGGAGTAAGAGCGGTTTGCTCCCATCCTAAAATTACAAAAGCGATGACAGCCTCCCATTGTTGGCTAGCTGTGAGAACCTTTCCCGCTTCCAAAATGGCTTTCTGTAATTTTAAATCAGATTGCGTATAAATCATTACGACGTGTTTAAAATAAATGAATACCTTAAAAGTGAGAACATGTGTTGACGCCCTGTTGTAAGCCGGTGAGTCCGTTTTTGACGTAAGTCTTGAATTTGGCAAGCATTTGTATATATTTTTTCTAAGTTCATGGAGCTTATCCGACAATGGTTTTAAATCTGGTGCAGGAAGTTTTGATTTTATTTCCTATTGTGTTTAAACATAAAAATAAAATAAAATAAATCTTATTACCCTTGGAGAAAAAATAAGTACTATACCTCTTCCAAATCTGGATGTCTTGAAATTATACCACTTATAACATTAATCAACTGTTCTTGTGATAGCGCTTTTAAAGTGATTTCCACAGGACCTTGGACCGGGGGTAGCTCGATTTTCATTTTTTTTACACTCGGTGATGCCACATGCTATAAATATTATAATTTACATTTGCATAAGTTTTTTAATGGCTATAATCACTCACGATTTTTTTTTCTGGAGAGCAACTCACATCCAACGGGTCGCTCATCAGAAGGCGCTTCCTAGGTGTGCTTCTAAGAACGATCGTGCTCTTTCCATTCGGTGAAAACTGAACACCAGGTTTAATCGGCGTCCGTTCCTTTCTGTTCGGAGAATCGCCTGTCCTTCTAATGCCCGGAGGGGTGGATACGTCGGGCGGTGACCATGGAGGCATCCTTCTTCTTCCCCTCGCTTGGATCACAAGCTCATCAGGTGAAGGAGCGGGTGAAATATACGAATTTGGCAGTATGATTTGATTGATATCAACATTAAGATTAGTCATGATGTTATTGGTGTTTACAGGATGAAGTCGAGCTTTACAAAAATAAAAAAAATAAAAACATTAAAATTAGCATATTAAATATAACAGCAGCCAAAAATAAATTTTTAATTTACCTAAACTTGAAAAATGTTTACATACGGATGTTTAACAATAATCACTTAGCTTAATCATTAATATCGTATATATAATAATATGCAGTGGCTCAAAAAGTAGACCTTTAATTATTGTTCTCAATCAAATTTAATAATTTTATTTTAATGACACTTTAATAAAACTGATGAGTTGAAGAATAAACTTGCAAATTAAAATATACAAAAAGTAAAGACAATCAAGTTGAGTAGTGGCTGAGTTTAATATTTACAAACAAAATAAGCTAATCCTACTATAAAAACAGTGTGATTTGATTAATTGAAATTGTTGAAATGTTCCATCGTGAAATAAACATCAAGAAGAAATCTCAGAAATTGTACTGAAAGAGTGTATAATGTAAAATGGCTTGTAGATATAAAGAGCAGTACATGTTTAATAAAAATCCAATTGTTTTATTTAAGGAATGATTGCATACTGGATTTTGGTATGGTCCAGGTGAAAAAACAAATTTAATTGTTATCTGCCAAGCTTTTGACCTATTTTTTTAAAATATATATCTGTTGTAATTAATGGTTCTTTTTTCTAAACTACTAATATCGAGGTTTTTCTGTTAACATTTGAGAAAGCTTTAGTTTTGTACTTTTAAAACTGTAAGTAGTATTATATACACACAGCTATATTAGCCTTAAAAAAAATTAAATTGCCTTTACATTTTGAGCCACTGCATGCACGATACATTTATAGTAGTAACCAATATTTACAGCACACCAACATCCTTTTCCTTTTCTTCTTTAAACCAGGAAGTTTTTTTTTCTTTTTAGCCAAACCTACACTTCAAAGTCTATACACAAGAGGGAGGTAAAAAATTATGTTATCGCACTTGAATGCTTGATCCTTCATTAAGGAAGAATGAAGTTGTCTTGATATTTCCTGGTGTTAAAATCAAGTTTGTGTTTGATTCAGAACTGTTCTTTTTCCTTTTAAGCCAAAACTACACTTCAAAATCTGAACAAAAGGGGGAGGCCAAAAATTATGTTATCACATTTAAATCATTATAGAAGAATGTACGAGCCTGAAATAGTTCTAAAAATTATGAAAAAAAATTTATTGTCATTCCACTAGTGCAACTCCTTTTTTTGACAATCACAAAATACATAAATAAATAATACAAAACAAAAAATAAATGACAAAAGTTTTTTTAACCTAAACTACCCTTCAAAAATTCGTACTGTAGGGGGAGGCCAAAAATTAAATGATCTCATTTAAACACTTGATATTTCCTCGTGTTAAAAAAAGTCTGTTTGATCCAGGAGGCCAATAGCATCTAATTAAACAAATTTTTAAAAAATTATTTGGAAATCATGAAATGCGGTCTGGTGTGACAGGTTTTAGAAACATTTTCTTTAACATGCTAACGTTTTGATCTTTAATGATATTCTTCAGAGAAAAAATGTTTGTTTTCCGTGTAGATGTGTCATTCTTGCGTGTCGTGTTGAAAGTCGATCTCAACAAGGATCGAAACATTGACACAATAAAAAAAATGTTTTTCTAAAACCTGCGTCATACCAGACTGCATTTCACGATTTCCAAATGATCAACAATCATTAACTAACGGACACTAAACACCACACGTTATTTGGTATGAGCATTATCAAAAAAATACTTGCATTTTTTTAAATATACACCAGTTGTAATTAATTCTTTTCTGAATTACTAATATCGATATTTTGCTCTTAAAATGTGTTTATATTTGAGAAAGCTCTAATTTTGTTTTTCTTAATTTTGTGGCAAGATTGAAACCTAAGAAAAAGGAAAGCTAAATTGCCTTTATATTTTTAGTCACTGCATCAGTGATAAATTTACCAAAGTAACTGATAATTACAGCGCAGCAACATTCAGAAATCTTTCAAGAATCTTTTTTTTCCCTTTTATTTTAAAAACCAGGAACAGTGGTTTTTTCCATTTTAGCCAGCTATACTTCAAAATCTGTACGAAAGAGGGAGGCAAAAAATATGTTATTTCTTAATTTATTTCAAATATATGAACATGTAAGGGGGCTTAAAGCCCTATTTGTACCTTTAAAATAAATAAATTTGAATCATTACAGAAGAATGAATGAGTCTGACATTGTTCTAAAATGAGGTAAAAAAATTCTTTTCATTCAACTAACAACTCCTTTTTTGTCACCATCAAAATACATAAATAAAACATACAAAAAATAAATAAATGAAAATACGTTTCGGTTGAAAAAGTTTTTTGTTTTGTAATTTTGTATGTATATAACACACGTTATTATGTTTTTCTAAACTATTAATATCGTTTTTTTTTATGTATTCCTTTTGAGAGAGCTTTATCTTCTTTTTTTGTGGCAATATTGAAACCTAAAAAAAGGAAACTAAATTACCTTTATATTTTGAGCCAATGCATGGATGATTCATTTACTATAGTAACCCATAATTACAGTACAACAACATTCAGAAATCTTTCAAGAATTTTTTCTTTCTTTTATTTTAAAAATCAGAAACTGGGGGGTGTCGGTGGCCGCAAGGTTTAGTCGTTGACACGGCCCTCATCACTGTAAGGTAAAGGTCCCGGGTTCGAATCCAGCGGCCCTGCATTTGAACCCGACATACTTATAAATGGGCTTTTTTCAAAAACACTGGCACCCTGAGAGTTCATATGACCTCTGCTGTTGCGAACCCTCATAAAAAAAAAAAAAAAACAGGAACTGTGTTTTTTTCCTTTTTAGTCAAAACTATACTTCTAAATCTGCACGAAAAGATGAGGCAAACTATTGTCATCGCATTAACTTAATTTATTTATAGGTGAACATGTAAGGGGCATAAAGCCCTATTTGTAACTTTAAAATAAATAAATTTGAATCATTACAGAAGATTGAAGGAGTCTATGATATTCTAAAATGATGAAACAAAAATTCTTTTCATTCAACTAGTGCAACTACTTTTGTCACACTCAAAATATATAAATAATTCTTTTTTTAAACCTTCAAAATTTGTACTGTAGGGGGAGGCCAAAAATTAATTAATGATTAATAATTTAAACATTTGATCTTTCCTGGTGTTGAAAACAAGTTTGTGTTTGATCCAAACGACTAATAGCATCTGATTATACAATTATTCTTTAATTATTTGGTATGAGCATTATCCAAAAAATGCTTGCAATTTTTGAAATCACTACTTATATTAATGGTCTTTTTCCAAAATATTAATATCAATGTTTTTCTCTTAAAAGTGTTTCATTTGGGAAAGCTCTAGTTTTGTTTTGTTTTTAATTTTGTGGCAAGATTGAACCTAAAAACCTTTATATTTTTAGCCACTGCATGGATGATACATTTATGCACCGATAATTGCAGTACAGCACCATTCAGGAATCATTTTTTCGTTTTATTTTAAAAACCAGGAACTGAGTTTTTTACTTTTTAGCCAAAAATACACTTCAAAATCTGTAAAAGGGGAAGACAAAATATTGTTCTTCCATTAACCTAATTTATTTCTAATATATTAACACGTAAGGGGGCTTAAGGCCATATTTGTACCTTTAAAATAAATAAAATCGTTATGGAAGAATGAAGGAGACTGAGATTGTTCTAAAATGATGGAAAAAAATATATTTTCATTCAAGTAGTGCAACTTGTTATTGTCGCAATTAAAATACATGATTTTTTTTTTTTTTTGATTAATTGAAAAAAAGTTTGTCTGGCTTACCATTAAGTCTGTTTTCAGAGACAGACAGGGCACCCATCCTCGCTGGTATTTCCACCAGGGCTGAACGCGTCGTCCTTCTCAGAGGGGGTTCCGGTGGCGGAGTTTCCATTTTACACTCAAAACAGGAAGCAAATATGTAAAAACGAATCTAAGTTGGAAGGAAAAGAGATTAAAAAACAAAAAAGCGCGAGAAACGAGGCGGGAGAAGGAAAAAAGGCGCCGGAGGCTCCCTTTACCCTTAAACATATCAAACGACCCCATATAACTTATAGCATATCCTGACTGATTAAATAAAGTCGAAATATGATCTGTTTCGTACTTAAATAAATAAATAAATGGAAACTAATCATGTCACAAAAGGACGCTCACGGCGGTTAGCTCTCTTGCCAATCACTGTTAAATTGAATTAAATTATTTAATTATAATTATAAACTCACCTTTTAGTTTTATCGTATAATAATCTGACGTCCCAAGTTTAAAGGGAGGCTTGGGCTGAACACTTTTTTTTAAAGCACTCGAAGCACCCCGGCCACATCGAGTGCGAGGCAGCTGCAAAGTCCGTTCCTCGTCGTGGTTCGTGGATTTAGGCGGGTTTTCGCTCCAACAGGTGGTGCGGATATCAACAAAAGGGGGCCGGGCATGCGCGTTCGGGTCAACACGTCAACGACGACCGATAACCGACGGCTCGCCGCCTTGGTTGACTACCGGCCTTTTCTTTCTTTTTTTAACACTTTATGCCTGTTTGTCTGCCTTTTTTTCCTTTCTTCTGCCGGGCATTGTCTCTTTCTTCCTGTTTTTTCGGTATTTATGTCTGCCAGTGGGTCAGTTTTTCTTCCGGCCTTTTGGTCTTTCTTCCGGGTTTTCGAACTCTCCGTCTGATTAGGCTGAATCTTTCTCTTGAGTTTTATGATTAACGATCATTGAGTTGTCTCTTAGTCTTTCCTTAACTATGTCTGCCTTTTGGTTTGTCAGTTTTTTCTACCAATATTAAGATCTATGTAAGTCGGTCTTTAGGACTGCTTTTTTTTTAGGTCTATAGGTCATGGAGGTCCATAGGTCATAAGGTCTGTCTGACTTTGTTAGGTTTATTCCTATCTACCATTTGTTATAGACAATTTAAATAGTGCAGTGTCCAAGAGGTGGCATCTGAAAATATTGGGAAGGGTAGAAGAAATCCTAGGTTCTTGCAAGAAAAGTAGGAAACTGCTGTACATTATGTTGATGTTGGTTACTAAGAAGGTTTTTCTTTTTGTTCTACAAGCTCTACAGCTTTCTGGCGTATACTTTCCTAGTAGCTTAGTTCAGTTCAATCAATTTGATCCTTCTCTTCAGGTCATTGTTTTTAAGCAGGTTGTTGCTTTTCTTTTTTTAAACCTAGGCTATGTCTCCATAGAATGGTTACTTTGCAAGTAAAGTAGGGAACTGCTGTATATTATGATACTGTTGGTTACTAGGAAGGTTTTTTCTCCAAGCTATGCGGCCTCCTGGCTTATTATACTTTCCTAGTTCCTTAGTTCAGTTAAATCGATTTGATCCTTCTCTTCAGGTTATTGTCTGTCATTGCAATTCCTTTCCCTGTTTTTTTTTTCTCTTTTTTATATACATCCCAGGTTATGTCTACATTGAAAGGTTGCTTTGCATTCGAAGACAATATAGGTGGTCTTTCTTCCTCATTACATAACCTATTTGAATATTGGGGGTCATTAAATTTTGGGCACTCATAGGTTATTTTTATTATTTTGGCAGCTGCATTTGTTGATAATATTCTTAAGGGTTTCTGGTCAAATACCTGGATATAGTTTGCATAATTTGTCAAAGCAATACAAATAGTTTGCATTGTTCACACAAGTGGCAATCCCTTTCAATATTTCTAGCTTCATAATTTAAAAAAGTCCTTTTTGTTCTTTTTAGATCTTTCTTTTACATTTTCGAACTCTCCGTCTGATGAGGCTGAATCTTTCCCTTCAGGCTTTAGGACTGCCGATCATCATACATTGAGCTGTTTACCTTTCCTTAACTGTGTCTGCCTTTTGATTTGTCACTCGTTTGTTCTTCCACTATTTCAATCGATGTGAGTTGGTTTTTTATAGATGCATAAGCCATGTGGTCCATAAGATAGCCTTTAGATCTGTCTGTCTGTCTTTGTGTTGTCTTTTTGTTGTGTTCATTTTTATCTTCCAATTATTGCAGACAATTTGTATAGTGTGTAGGTACTGTATCCAGCCTCCCCAAGAGGAGACATTGAAAATATCAGGAGTAAAGTGGGAAACTACTGTATATTATGATGATGATGATGGTTACTAGGAAGGGGGTATTTTGTTCTCCAGCCTTCTCGCATACTATACTTTAATAGTTCCTTAGTTCATTTCATTTGAGCCTTCTCATTAGGTCATTGACGTCTGCTACAGTTCCTTTCCTTGTTTTTTTATCAATTTTAAAAAAAATTTTCCAGTTTTTTTTAATAACAAGTATATGTTCTTTCAGACCCTCCTCTGGCCAGTATTTTTGCTTTTTCATTACAAAAAATTCTGTTGTGTCCTGATGCCCAAGATATCAGGTTGTACTTCTCCAAGTTTTGGAGATTTTGGTTGCATTCACTGATTAATTTTAAAATAATTTTTTGGCAAGAAACTTTATTTGCCTCTTAGCTACCTGATCTTATGAGGATTTTTTTTGTTAATATAATCTTTTTTAAGATTTTCTAAGGTGGGGCTTCCCAAACCGTGGTTCGTCGACCGTAACTAGGGGGTCTGCAGCAACTTTGAGAAAAAGTAAAAATTACAAAAATAAACAGAGAATGAATAAATACAATTTTTAAAAAATAATAACAATGTGTACCGAAAACAAAAAAGTTTTTCTTTTATAGCAGCAGTCATGGTGTTCTTCTCAGCTATGAAACAAATGCCAGGCCTTGTTTAACAAAGTTTTGGTTGGGTGTGTTCAAATTATTAATTATATCATATTATGAACATTGAAGTCAAGACTTTTTACATTTTTTTTTATTTATTATTTTTATATTTTTACTATGTGTTGATGTTGGAAGCCTTTATCATTCCTAGCTTCATCATACAGACGTTAGGTGGTTGTCAAGTGCAAAAGCACTTTCACGATTACAGACTTTTGGATGGACCACAATTTCTAATTGGCCAACATTGTCAATGATGAGAAATGGCAATGTATACTGTCGTATTTATAAGATATTTTCATTAAAATGAATGAGATGAGTCTTTCTTTGCATGGGAAGAGTATCAAATTTTTTGACGTCTTAAAAAAAATCCAGTTTTGAGTTAAATCTGTTGAAAAGGAAGAGGTGGAGTGTTTTCCTGTGTTAAATGATAAAAAAAAAAAAAAATAAAATAAAATAAACGAGAGTTTGCAAAAGGTACATTGATTGATGAAATTTACAAACACCTTCATAGTTGGGAGATATCCTTTCAACACTACTTAGCTCGAGATACAATGCTGCAAGACTATGAATGGCTGGTCAACCCGTTTTCATTTTCAACAAAGCCAACCAGTCTATCTTCAACTGAATATAAATGTTTGATAGACATTACTTCAGACTCCACCTTAAAATCTATTTTCCGATAGTTACCCCCATTTTGACTCCGTCTGGAAAACAAAAAATTTCAACCCCTTGTTGAAAAAGAAAAACGTGTTCTTCTTCCATTTGCCAAAACTTACCCATGCAGATCCGGATTTTCTATCTCTACAGCCACCGAAGCTGTCTACATACTGAACCTGACATTCGTCTCAAGCTATCAAAAATTAAGCCCAACATATCCAAATTGTGCAGGCTAAAACAACCTCATTCTTCTCATTAATTCATTAATCACTAATGTCCAAATTATTACTTGAAAATTGGCTCGAGTTGTACGTATCTATTGATTCCGTTCTATCTAATTTGATTTTTGTGTTCTGATTTTGTAAATAAACCTTTTCATGTAAGGTATCGATTGAAATGAAAAAGTTAGTGACACAAGTGGTAATCAAACCCACAACATTCGGCTCAACACGCCGCTGCTCTAACCACTTGAGCTATCGTGACACGAGTCAAAGGTCCCGGGTTCGAATCCCGCTCGTGACACTAACTTTTTCATTTCAACCAATAACTTTCATAAAAATATTTATTAATTGAAAAAAGTTATTTGATCAATTGGACCATGATATATAATGGATTTGTAAATAAAGTTAAGTATATCAATCTAATGTTTGTTTTCATAGTGATATCCCTCTCCATCCATCAAGAATGAACTGATTAATGCTAATTTATAAAATGTTAATTTACTACATATATTATAAGTATCTAATTTTAAATACTTAAATGCGAGGGGGTTCACCCTGGATTTTGTTTGTGAAAGTGGTCCGCTGGCTAAAAAGGTTGAGAAGGCCTGTTCTAAAAGACAATGTTGATGGCACGTCAGTGCATAATATATGCTGTGATGTTTTAAAAGATGTTTTCCACTCATGAGAAAAAAAAAGCTCAATCTAGCAAATATTGAGGCTTGTCAAAGGTATGGAGACTCATAAAAAGCCTGGAGCTGTTTAGCTATGTATAATCAACATTTTAAGGAGCCTAATAGTTCAAAATAAGTCCTACAATGTATGTGTTGATAAAGGCTTTTTAGCCACTTTAATAAATCTTATTTTCTGCTTTACAGATTGACCGAATTAGTTTGTAAAACTTGGAATTCGCTCCTTTTCTCCACGAACACCCCTGCCTCTAAAATCGGTCTCTGAGTTGAGATTCGTTTTGAAATATTTCCCTCAGCGTTTTATTTGTTTAATATATAAAACTTATTATTTGTTTTTAAACAATTTTGTCCGTCGGTCGGCATCATTGAAGGCGATAAATCGTACAAAACATCCTATACGCCAATATTTGTCAAATGCAATAACAAAAAATCACCATTCCCGTGAGCCATGAATGACCCGTCCTGACCCAGGGGAAAATCGGACGATTTAATTTCTTTCTACTTTTCACCTCGCTGGAGGAATTTAATGAGTTTTACGCACATTTTCTCGATGATTGACGGTTTCTTTTATTAATTATATCCGTTCGAAATTGTCTGCGGACGAGGTGAGCTCTGAAATCCATGTTCTTGTAAATTACTTGTCCACTATTGATAATAACAGTCAATTTGAGCTGAGAGGCCTTAGTCTTGTGTTGTTTGATAGTTTTCATGTCAGTGATTTTTAAAGACTGAATTAAATTTAAAAAAAAATAGTTGATTTATGCTGCTTTTAATACACTTGATGTTAATCAGTCCTGGATTTCAGGCACTGCCCTCTTATCAAAAAACAAGTTTGCCATTTTCACTCTGAACCTTTTTTTAAAATGTATATCATTGATATCTCATTTTCTGATAGAACTATGCTGACTAATGGCCGATGGGCGCTCGGTAATATTCTGCAATTTCACTTTAATGCTTTCTCAGTCATTTAACACAAAAGAACTAGTTCCAAATTGTCTAACTCAAGGAGAAGATTGGGTGGTATTCTAACATGCTCTCTATATAGAGCCAAATAATGACAATAGTTCAAAAGGAAGGTTCTAATTATAAATGGTTTTGCAGTAGATTGGGTTTCTAGCTGTAATTGCCCAAGAGTTACTGCCTAGATCTCTGATCGAATAGTTTCAGTCAGAAAACTGAATTGCTGCAAAACCAGTCCCAGAACTGTTCAACTATTGAATTGATGTATTCATTCTATTATAACCAATTTTTAATAATAATACACTTCAATAACATGGGAAACAAATTACTTTGCATAACAACATATTTTCTCTGATTTGATCTTTACCGCACATCTTGGTCTGACCACTTTTCACCAGCCAATCCAGTGAGGATAAGCAGACCAAGTAAGGATCAAATTACAGGTTCTTCACCCTGAGGACACTAGGAAGTGTCACACACTAGGTCTAGGAGATCTCACTCAGTATATGTCCTCATGGGTTGAAAAGGGGATGAACCTGTTACTTGGTAATTTATGAACATTCCAGTCTGTCTAAATGCACTTTTTTTTATCTGTCAGGCCAAAATGAGAGGAAATTACTAAATTACAGGTTCATCTCCTTGCAGACACTAAGAGATCTCACTCAGTGTATGCCCTCCTAGGTTTGAAAGGTGATAAACCTGTTTTTGGTAATTTCTGACCATTCCAGTCTTTCAACTGTTTTGGTCTGTCAGGCCAAATTGATAGGAAATGCCCAAATTATAGGATCATCACTTTGCAGCCAGTAAGAGATCTCACTCAGTTTATGTCCTTCTGGGGTTTGAAAGGGGATGAACCTGTTATTTGGTAATTTTCGATCATTCCAGTCTGTCTAAATGCACTTTTTTTGGTCTGTCAGGCCAAAATGAGAGGAAATGACAAAATTATAGGTTTATCACCCTGCAGACACCATGTGATCACTCACAACATATTTCCTGTTGAAGTTTGCAAGCAGATCAACATGTAGTTTGATTATTTTCTATTATTCTAGTCTGCCTAACTTTGCAGTTTTGATCTGTCAGATTCAATTGGATTAGATTCAATTGGAAATGACCAAATTACATGTTCATCACCCATAGACACAAAAAGATTTTTTAAATATATTTCCTCTCGGGTTTGCTGTGGGATGAATCTTCCGGTAATTTCTGATCATTCTAGGCTACCTATTTTTACTGTTTTTGGTCTGTCAGATCAGATTGATTGGATATGATCAAGTTACAGGTTCATTACCCATAAACACAGAGATTTTTTTAATATATTTCCTCTCAAGTTTGACATCGGATGAATCTTTCGCTAATTTCCAATCATTCTAATTTATCTATCTTTACTTTTTTTGGCCTGTCAGATCAGATCGATTGGAAATGACCAAATTACAGGTCCCTATCCCAGGAGGAAATCTCAAGACACTGATGCTCGAACCAAATTCTCATATCAAGGGGCATGCCAACATGTTCTCTATATAGAGCTAAGGAATGTCACCTTCAAGTTGAGCAGTATTCCTCTTTACATCATGGAGAATTAAAAATGCAATGTGGTTTGGACGTATCTGATCTGGTGTATAAATCCTGGTATTTTTGGCCTGTCAATCACGTTTCAGCATTTCATTTTAATTCTACTTTGAATAACACAAAATAAAAATTTTGACAAACCATGTTGGATAATTGTATCTGACAGAGTAAAATAGCGTAGAATACAGGTTTATCACCCCTCAGACACAAAGATAGCTTGTACAGCATATTTCCTCTTGTGGTTTGTAAGGGGAGGAATTTAATTTAGCCATTTCCTATCATTTTAGTTGGCCTATCTTTGTTTTTTGTATTTTCAGGCCACAATGATCAGAAACGACCAAATTACAGGTTCGTCACCCCACAGACAGACACCAAGAGAACATGTACATTATATTTCCTTAGGCGAAATCACAGGTTCATCGCCTTGTGGACACCAAATCTCACACAATATATTTCTCTTTATGATGTTTATAGATCGACCTGCAGATAATCAATGTAGAGTTCAATATCTTCTTTAAGGTCTTTACTAGGTGAAATTTCTCTTTATGTTTATGACTGGAACAACCTGTAGTTTGGTAATTTCTGATCATCCTAGTCTTCTTATCTTTGCTTTCTTCACCAATCAGTTAAAATGATTGGAAACGATCAGAATGTTCGGGTATCGACAAGCATAAAAATTGTTTTATTTGGGAGGTGTTTTTAAATTCTCTTGTATTTTCAATATAAAATTCAATATAACAGCAAGTTTCATTCTTCTGCCATATATTCTAGGCTATAGAAGTACTAATATTTGGTATTATATAATATGTTTTAAGTCTAATAAACGCTGCAGTAATGTGATGGAGAGAGTTTTAAAACCTTTCTGCAGTGATAATGTAAGAATGAGTATGGAACAAGATCCTCCCACTCCTCTTCTATCGGCTGTACAGAAAAGACCAGGCCCAACAAGAAGAAGGACCAGATCGACTGGAAGCCTTCGAGAACTTTCTTGTAAGAGTGATAATTATGTATTTGTACATACATTGTAACTGTCATATGGCGAAATAATTTCTACAAATATTTTTATTATTTTTAATAGCGTATTCCTGGAGCAACAAACACAGTGGAGATTCAAGCAGTAGTGTCGGAGAGTGGGATTTTTCAAGAGAAATAGGAATGTCAAGCCTTCACCAGGTAGCGAATTTTTTTCTTTCTTAATTTGCATTGAATTTATGTTATTTTTGTACCGTAGAGTGACAGTGATGATGTTAGTGGAATCCAGGGGAAAAGTACATTTTACAATCTGCAAAGCCACCACAGGCTTCCCTACCTTTTCCCTAATATTGAATCGGATTCTGTCAACGAAAACTTCTCCCCCGTAAGGCCAACTACGAGGAGGTAAGTTAAATATTTGCCAGATTTTTTTCTCTCGTCAGTTTACAAAATGCATTAATGCAATAAACAAAAACTGAAATGTTTACAGATTTAAACATTCAAAATGCAAGTTAGTTGAATGAATGAAGTGGTTCTAAATTATTTTTTCATTTTTATTTTTTTGTTTTTAAATATAATTATTGTTTTGTAGTTGAGCATGCTCAAGAAAAAATGTACTACTCGCAGGATAGAAAAATTAAAAAATAAAAACAAAAAAAAACTGTAAATAATAATTTTGAAGATGAGTGGATTTTAAGAAAAATCTTAGCTTGAAATAAGTTGTAATTATTTACTTTTACGATATTTCTTTTCATTACATTTTTGTTTGTAAGTACCTTCTGCGTCAAGCTTAATTAAATTTTTTAGTTTTTTTTTCGAGTGTTATGTGATTATTGGCAGTTGGAAACAAATAAATTCACTTTAATATACTTCTGAAAACATAACAAAAAATCTTTAAAGACTAGAAAAGGTATTTAAATTAAATTATTTATGTTGGATTATCTTAATAAGGATGATATGGAATTGTTTGTACTTTATCAGATTATTTTGTTAAATGCTGATAACAAATTGAATATTTATGTTTGCAGTCTATGATGACTATTTCCACTTAAAACACTGTGTACAACAACAGATCAAAAAATAAAAAAAATAAAAAAATCAGCCTCATATTATGATGAATGAATGTCAATCGTGTGTGTACTAATGTGTTTTTAACCTTACCCTATTCCCTCCCGTTTCTTTTTATTATTCCTTGTACTAACTGTAAATGGACCTGTGTGGTGTGACTGTTTGTGGTTGAAGCAGGCCGAGGGGTTTATTCAAAGTGTTGCGCAGGAAGAGAAAGCTAAAGAGGATGGCAATGGAGATGTCTACAGCCTCAACCTCGTCTCGTGCTGCCAATGCATATTCATCGATCGGAAAGAAAAAGAGGATATTGCGCCACACTCCTAACTGTGAGAACAAGTAAGCCTTTTAATCTATTTATTTTTAATTATTTTATTTACTCAATATGAATTTGTAGATTTTGTGTGGGGCTAAATATCGGGAAAAGGAAACGGAGCACGAGGAGCATAACTGATCCGCCTCAAAGAACTGTTCTTGCACTACATCGACTTAGTCTAAGAGATGACACACAGCATCCTCATAGCAGCTCGTCCTTGTCTAGTTCAGAAAGCGATACTGGAATCTATACAAATGACGAAGGAAGAGAAGGTAAAATTATTTGTTAAACTTGAAGAAAATCCGTGTGTAATTCTTTTCTGTAGGCGATGATGAACAAAGTGATTGGGTTGGCGAGGCGAGAGGTGTTTGGGACGATTCGGACAGAGGGGAAGGAATGGACGACGATCAACCTTTTAGCCTGCCGATTGTAAGAACCTCAAATATTTTATTGGGAAAAAATTGGTTTCAAAACGACCGATTGATTAGGTTGGAAGACGAGGCAGAGAAATAAGAGGCGGGAGGAGGCGGGTGCGGAGTGATAAAGCTAGTTTCACTGTCTTGACCTCTGCAAATGAAAAGTTATCCAGGTTTCTTCAAGACCCTGCTAAATCCCAACTTAGGTTTGTACTTAAATAAAAGTAGCACAAAGAAAGAGCAGTAAGTCAAGAAAAGTATTTCAGGCTCCATCCAATGAAGGAACATGAAAGGCACCAGTTGAGTCATTTAGCAAATCTGTACTCGTTAGATATGCAGCTTGCAGAACATCATCAACATCGTGGATTGACATGTCCGATCTTAACAAAAACCAGGTAAAACAAATATATTCAAAAAACAACTTATTGTTAATATATTTATAATTTTTTTTTGTTCTTTAAGCAATACTGTAAGAGGAGAACCTGTGAACATGACTAGACTCAGCAGTCTCAGTGATATTAAAAGACGTAGACGCACTCCTCCAAACGTCCATACTGTAACAACAGGTATATTAATCATTTAATATGTAATTTAAAAAAAAGTAAGTTGTAAATTAATAAAATAAAATTGTTTCTTAGATGTAGAAATGGGAGAAAGCGGAGATTCAATGGTTACAAGCCTCTTTGGGTCGGGTTCAATCAGTCCCATCATATGTAAAGAAAGACATCATGATCAAAATTCAAGGCTAGGTAAGTAGGCATCAGTTTCCTGATTTTATTGTACTTATTAGTGAGTAAAAAATAATGAAATTAAAATAACAAAAAAAAATACATACATAATAAATAATTGGAATTTTTTTGAAAATTATAGTCGGAGCGTAAAATTTTATTTTCCCCCTCATAGATTTTTCAATTAAAAAGCAAGCAAAAAAAAAAATATATATATATACACACACATGCACTGACTATAAAAAAATAAATAAATTAAATAAATAAAAAATAAAAAACCTGACCACCTAGTTTTTGCACAAAAAAATGGCCAACTTTGGAAATGCATATTTTCTCAGCCATGCCTTTTAAATCGCAGACATGTACTAGGTCTCATTTTTTTAGAAAATTTTACAATTAACAAGTTGGCTTATTTTAGATGTTTTCCTAGCTGTCATTCATCTGTAAATTCAAAAATTCTGGAATAAGTTAATTTTTGCACTTTTTATGAAAACATCAAATTGAGCTGTGGAGCCAGGAAATCGCCCTATAGCAGTTGATAGGAAATTGTAATAAGATTTGAATTGGTCGCCTTCCACTTTGCCCTATTTCTCAAACGTTTTTGAGATATTCGCGATTTTTGGGAAAAAATGTGGTTTTTTAGGTCACTCTCCCCCGATTTTACCATACATAAACCTACTGTTTCAGTACATTTTTCGAATTAAATATAAATTTGTTTAAAAGTACCTCAAATTTTCATATTTGGGAACTATGATAGCAGAGAGTTAGCGTGATAGACTCTCAGCTCGTAGACCTCGTGATCGTGGGTTCGATTCCCACCATTGCTCCTGTCGTTTTTGTTCATAAGGCCATTAAAAATAAATAATAATGATTGAATTTAGCATCAAAAAATTGCTACAGATTGATGTTATGACCTGATATTAGTTAGTAGTGTTAAACTGTAATAAAAATACTATTAAAATTAATTTTTGATTTTTTAAAGATCACAAATGATGCAGTCGAATGTTAATAAGGCCACTGGTAGAACTGCCCACCGCAGAGATTTTCCTACGACTCTCAACACCGAAGAAAGATGGCAAAAGGCAGGGGATTAAGTATCACAGGGTAACAAATTGGCATAGCTACTAGGAGGATGTATGTATTTTTTCCTTTAAATACAGTCACGCTGAACTCGTTGAAAAATTGTGCAACGAAAATTTCATTGTATACGGTCGAGGACTTTTGCAAAACAATTTCATTGTTGCAGAGTTGAGAAAATCTTCAATTAGAAAGAGAGTTCGTACATTCAAATGTACAAGTCAAAGGAAATAAATGGAAAATAGGTATCTAAGTAGGTACTACTTAGTAAAATGATAGTTGGCAAAGTTTATTTACAACTTTTCAAAAAATATATTTATTTACTTTATAAACAAATAAGAATTTACTGTAGTGATTATAAACAAATAAGAATTTACTGTAGTGATTATAAACAAATAAGAATTTAAATTGTCCTGAGACATATTTTTTATATAATTCAGCTATGTTGAAAATGGAAATTATTTATTATTCTATTATATTTTAAAAAACAAAACAGAAAGAAAAAAAATCATGAAGAAAATCCAAAATCAATATAAATTGGTTCACCCAGGTCATTGTAGAAAATTGCAATCTGTTAACATTAGGCTTTCTGTTGCAGGTTATTTGAAGATTAAAGTGAATAGGAAATAATTTAGTACATATATAAACTGCTGATTAGATCTTATGGATTTTCTAATATACAATAAAGCGCTGTCTCAATTCCGTCATTATGTACTAAAATAATTTAATTAACTTTTAATAAAATTGAAAAGTTATACGGTAAAAACCAAAAATTGGACTCACTCCCAACCTTCCAAACAAACCTTGCTAAACAAAAGAGAAAACTACTACTTGATTTTATTTAATACTTTCTCTAATTTAGATCATTGATAATTAAGATGAAAAATAATTTACTATTTCAAATGTGGACAGTTTTCTACAGCAGTTTATAATGGTTAAAATTGTATATTTCCATAGTAAAAAAAAAAAAAAAAGTATGATTACTTCAAAATAATTTTTTTTTTTGTAAGTTAGCTCCCAAATGGTAAGAGCTTTTATTATTATTTTTAAAACAATATAACATGATAATTGATTGAATTTATTCTTGTAGGATTAAGAAACCAATTCTTTGGTTTAAATCAAATTTTGAAGTGTATATGTTGTAAATACGAGTATTTGAGTAAAAAGCACTAAACAAATTTTTTAAAAATTGTGTTTAAAATTGGTTGCGATTATATGATACACTGTCATTTTGAAAAAGTCATACTACGGATTTTTTTTTACACCACACCAATAATATTTGAAATTTACTCAAATGCACTTGTATTATATATATATAAAAATAGAAAAAAAATCCAAGGATTTTAAAATATTATTATTATTATTATTATTATTAATTTTTAAGGGCGTTTTAACGGCTAAGGTCATTTCACGCCCTAACATCCAAACCTTCTGTAATTGGATTTGATATTAATTGAAGCTTTATTATTATGTACATCTCAGAATTTTTTTACAATTATTTTTTATTTATTTATTGGGGTGATTAAATAAAAATGTTTGTAATTATGCATTTTCTTATTTGTAGTAAAATTCCTTTTATTACAATTTCTTCCGCTGCTATTCATATTAAGGTGGCTCCAAGCATGGGGGATTCAATCCCTTGGGGCGGGTGCTTGGTTATTTGCCGAGCAACAATATTCAGTGTTCACCTTGCTCCCTTGGTTTCCTTGTTCAAAGTCATCAATATTTGTGAAGCAGCAAACACAAAGCATTCACACATTCTGGATCAACTGTACGTACGGATATCAACTTTAATCATCAACCAACCCTGCTATTTATTTTTCAATAATAAATGATCCTAAACAGTATAGATGTATTAATAATGAAAGAACAATTCAGCATTGTTTCTGTCGGTTAGGAATGGATCCTCACCGGACCGTCGGCAATTTACCCGGTCGCCGGGTACCTGGGGCTCATTAGAGATTTTTTTCCCGTGGCTGCTTCGTCTCCAAAAGGGGAATAATCGAGTGCCACACTGTTTTTATTTTATTTTCTTACTTTAGGAAAACAGTGAAACCCTCGGGGTGAAATAACAACATAACAAATAAAAAAAATTAAAAAAAAATAAATAAATAAAAAAAACAAGAAAATAAAATATTAATGTCCTCTGTATTAAGAATAAGATGTAAAAAAAATAAAACAAGTCTTCAGAATTAAAACAAAAACAAAAAAAAAACTGTCCAGAAACCAATCTTATAACTTAAAAGCTCGAACCTCGTGTACGTCCTTTTTCTCGTCGTTCCAGAACGGTTTTCCCCTCGCACACGCGAACCCTTCACTCCCCGACGATGAGAAAAGTCCCAAAAATAATACACTTTCACGTTTTACTTTTTCACCTCGCTCGTCCACACCGACCAGTCCCAGCTCGAGGCCTCCTTGTTCACTCCCGTCGGACCCCACTCCTCACCAGCGTCATCGCTGAGCCCTGGCTGGGCTTCCTTCGTCTTCCAAATGCCACCCGCGTGTCTTCGGCCTCTTCCAGACCTCGCTTAATCTTGCCGAGGGCACCCTCGCCTCTGCCCAAGTCTGGTCACCCCAGTGCAAAAAAAAAAATATTTTTCTCGTGTTCACTTCTAACAAACTAATAATTTGGAACATTTCTCTTCCGAATCACAAAAATCGGAACGATGCGTGAAAACGGATCTAAAGTAAGACAAGGCAATAGTACTATGTGACCAAGTTTGTAGCCACTACAGAAAACAATACCAACAGCTGCAGCAATGACAGTTTCACTATTGGTACTAAGTACTCGCACAGCACGTGGCAAATATGTTTTTGCTGATTCTGCTCAAAATAGGTGGTTGTACAAACCCCTATACATAGGAACGATATTTGGCAAATGCCAAGACGAGCATTTTGAGACTTGGCAAATGTTCGATGGCATTCGGCGAATACCGCATGTCTGGAGCCACCTTAATATGTGATAGGTCCAGAACTTCTTGGCATGGAAAAGTGCGGAATTCACTCATTGGACAGAGACCATCCAAGAACCTCTTAGTAAGTTTTGTAAGTAAAGAAACAACAGAATGCATCTAAGGAAGCAGGAAAAATGTAGAATCAGAACAGATTCTTAATGAGATGTGAAATAAACAGGGATTTTAGAAAAATAGGTATAATCCAACATAGTATGTGCATTTTCTACAAGAAAGCGGAGAAGACATCAACACACCTACTATCTATCGGTGGTGCTACTTATCCACAGCAGGAATGCTTAGGGATGTACAGAATAGTCATATAAGAAAATAAATCATTGAAACCATGCTTACTAATCAAATTTCTTAATGTACTCACCGTTGTACTCTTAAGTACAGTATGGGGATCTAATAGCTCTCAAAGGATGCAGTTTATATATTTTTAATTTTTTTTTGCAACCACCATTTGGGTTATTTTCCACCTTGATAGAGTGTAGGTTAAGATGGTAAGTGGGTGCAGGGAGGGAACCCACCAGATGGATGAAAAAAGGGCCTGAGGTAGCGCACACCCCGGGGTCACCTTTTCTTGTCAATTATTGTACCTATACAGAATGTTCAGAAGGATGAGATGCAGTGCAATCAGTTTTTTTTACACACACCTCAAATATTACATGTACTATACTATTGTAGTAATTGTTATGTTGAGCCCCATCCTACCAAAAATATTAGTAGGACATGTCATAGAAAAACCTCAGTTGTCTTTTCACCTCTGGAATGACTTTATTCTTTCCTCTAGAGCTTTGTTTCTTTTCTTTTTTACCCTCAACTCTTATCGATTATACCTCACTCAGGGAGCACCATTAGGTGACCTTTCATCTCTAGTTACTCAAGTTATCTTTCCTTATAGTGTCACTATATGTATTTTTTAAAATGTTAAATGTAAGGTAAGAAGAAGAAAAATAACTTTATTCTGGGACTGGTGTCCCCTAAGAATAATTTACATGAAATAAATAAAGGAAGTTCCTTCTATGAAGTTAAAAGTAAAAAAAGATAGAAATCTTGGCACAATGTAAGGCAGGCCAGAAGAGAAAATTATGAGAATATTAAACAAAAATAACAAATGTTAACGTGAGGTCTCTGCTTGGAGGGAGAGGAGGTGATTATACAGGTGGGATCTAAAGGAGGCAGCGTGACGAATAGAAAGGGGAAGGGAGTATCAGAGTTTAGGGGCTAGGATCAGAAAGGATCTTTTGAAGGTATGGGTTGAATGTTGCGGAAGGATAAGGTTGATTGGGGATGAGTGGGTCTTACGAGTGAGATGTGAGGAGTTGAATCGGAAGGATTGGATGATGTAAGGAGGACGACGAGTGTGGATGGACTGGAAAAGAAAGCAACCTAGGGAATACTGTACACGGAAGGAGGGGAATAGCCAGGAAAGTTGGGAATACTACCCCGACACCCGGGATCCCCGTGGGGTGCCACACACAAATCTTACGCAACAATTCATAATGCGCTTCAATCGCGCGTTCTCCCCCTCCGAGAGACCACCGTATGCCAAACAGCTATAATCGAAGAAGGGAAGTATAAAGGAAGATACAAGGAGTTTGTGGGTGGAGAAAGGTAAGAGAAGCCAGGACCGACGAAACTGGCTGAGAGAGGCAATGGAATGGCGAGAAATTTGGGAAATGTGAGAATGCCAGGAAAGGTTTTGGTCAAAGACTACTCCTAGGTTTTTAACCGAAGAGCAGAAGGGCATAGGATGGTTATTTAGCATGAGAGGTGGGATGCTGGGGAGGGAATTGAGGAGTTGCCTGGACCCGATAATTATGGCGGTGGATTTGGACGGATTGAGAACTAGGGAATTTTTATGGGCCCATTCGTTGATGGAATTTAGGTCTTTTTGGACCTTGAGTGGCCGAGTGAAGATCGTTAGGATATGTATATTTGGGAGTCATCGGCATATAGGTGATAGTTGCAGGACTGGATGGAGTCGAGCAGATCATTGATATAAATGGAAAAAAGGATAGGAGAGATGCTAGAGCCTTGGGGCACCCCAGATTTTAGAGGGAGGAAGGAGGAGGTAAGGCCATTTGGGAAGGGAGACAACTTGGTGGCGTAAGCCAGGTAAGCCTGAGATATCAATCCCTCAGAACTGGATGATCAAAGGGGTTGGGATGATATGATGGTATTTGCTCTGTGTGGATAGTAATTTTTGTGTACAAAGTAGGAAGCTGTCCCAAATAGCGGATGACATTGGTTGATAGGAAAGGAACAGAGTTGTAGATTGAAGGAGAGGTGATAACGGCGAAAGGTTAAGGTTTTTTACTGAGATTTGGTTTTGTTATTATGATCATTTCTTTAACCATTCTTCTAAATAGGAAAGAGAGACTTGAGATTTCTGAAGATCAGTTTTGCCGTTTAAGTTTGCTGAAAAGATGGCAGTGTATACTCAATAGAGATGGGACCAAGGATGCTGCCTTGTGAAACACTGCTCAGCAAAGTGAATGGGAAAGGATGTTCTGATTCGTACTTGAAAGTACCTATTGGACAGATAGGATTTTAGGATGAAATGAAAGGATGGCCTTGAGATTACTGCGTATGCCTAGGTGCCACACTCAAAGGCCTGACATCTAAGAAAGCACCCAATTTGCTCAAGCCAAGAAAAGAACCATAACAAGAAATGTTGAGGCAAGTTTAGAAAGAGTTTGTTTAGTTGGTAAATGAACAATAGCCAAAATTGTTATGCAAAGATAGTTGAGAATAAAGTGTCACAAGCAGGACTCAAACCCTCGACCTTTGGCTAATATGCTGGTCCTCTAACCACTTGAGCTATCGTGACCTCAATCCCTCAACACCAACTTGTCTTCTCAATCAGCTATTATTTAGATTTCTCCTTTACTGCCAATATTCAGCCTAAGGTTGTAGGTTCGAGTCCCACCCGTGACACTATTTTTCTTCTCAACCGTCTTTGCATAAAAATTGGAAATAATAATTAATAATAAACAGATAACTAACTAAATAACAGACAAAATCGCATATCGATTATTTGTTTATTTTGTACATTATATATATTCAAAAACCTTTAATTGTAAATTGAAAAAAAAAAAAAAAAAAAAAAAAGTTCACTGTAAAAACAAAACTATATATTAACTATCAATATAAATACATAGTAAATTCGATATAAAAATCAGACAAATTTAGTCGCTATAGCCAACAATTTGGTATAATCTGCTTTCTTTGCGATGGTCTTTTCTTTCAAAATTGTTCTCAAGATATGTGGTATTGGGACATGGATCCGTGTCCCAAGAGGAGTGCCGTTGTCATCAATCAAGACGACGTTGTTTGTATCAAATTTCGGTATGTTCGGTGGTTGATATTTCTTGACACCGACTAAAATCCCTTTTTTCTTTTCTCCTTTAATAGCCACAAGAACTTTATCACCTGAAACAACGTTAACTTTTTTTTAAATAGAAATTAGATCCCTTGACAGAAGCCACTATAGCCTGAGACACTAGCGATATATTATTAGAGATAGATCTATAAAGAATAAGTAGTTGAGTTTAGAAATATTTCATGCTGAACTGGCATAGGGTAACTTTTTGATTCTGTATTCACTCGTGGGTTTGTTGAGTTTATTCAAACCCAAGAGTGAAGACAGATACTATACTATGATATAGGGATTCTAGAGTTAGAATCATACACAAGATTATGGAGGTTTTGTGTTTTGGTCCAATCGGGAATCCCCTGACAAAACAGGCTCAATCAAATTTATTATGACTCAAAGAGCAATAGAAAAAGTCAACATGAGACCCAACAACATTTTGCCACGAGATAAAAATAGAGCTGGGCATGGAAACAAGATGAATGAGCAAAAATCCTCGGTTTTCTGACCGTCTCGCTGTTTTAGACTATCAGACACATTTCTGCTTAAATTCTGAGATTTCTTCTATGCCTAGTGATGAATCTGCAATTTGATCCTTACCAATCATCTTAGTTTGTTTATCCTTGCCGGGTTGTTTTTTCAGACGCGTTTTAGTATGTTTATGTGATATCTATGAAATAAATACATAGATTCCCTTCTGAAGATGACGAAATGCCAAAACTCAAATTCATTCATTCAGCTCAAATTACATCTCTGCATTTTGCCATCTTCAGTCGTGTTTCTTCATGTATACTCAGACAACGAAACTACAGGCTCATCTTATCGCTTATATCATCTTTTTAAACAGATTTAAGGAAAAAAGAAACACGAGCTCATAGTCAATGGTTTTGATCTAATCTCAGATCTTGGATATGTGAAACTGTACTACTTTGAACTCTAGTTCACAGTTAAATTACATGTTAATTAGCTGTGTACTTTGAACGTGAGTGTACACTGAATGAACCTATTTTCTTACACTAAATACAAAATAAATTTACCAACTGTTCCGACACTTGTTTTGGTGTAGACGTGTATCACTTTAGGTGGTTTACCCTCAACCATGGCCTTTTTTCCGATTTCGCTGTTGTCCACCACCCTGAGTCTCGACATTTTAATTATGTGCCTGGCTGGGGCACTAACGTGAAATTGCCGATTTTGAACCAGGGACCCGACATAACTCAAAAGTCTGCCGGGAGGCATTTTCTCATTTTTTCAGTTCCACTCGGCGTGATAACGACCGGAGAGGTTATTCGATGGTTATTTTGGGAAAGAATAATCGATAAATCGAAACTATCGATTATTTATGTAAAAATGAGTTTTTGTGCGGAAATTTTGAAAAATTTTGTAGCTGGATTTTAAAAAAATTCCTTTTAATTAAAGAAAATAATTAATTTTTTATCATAAAATTTCTTCGATGTCAGAAGAATTCTGTACTTCATTAAAGAAACAAAAACCTTCGAGGAAAACCATTAGCAGAGATTTGACACAATGGACGAAAGTTGTCAATGTGAGAAATACCTAAGACTACAAATGAGGTAGAAAATTTTGATTTTATTTTATTTTACATACGGGCAGAGCCCATTTAATGCTTATAAGAAAAAGTAAAACAGAAAAAGTAGAGGGTAAAATTGTGCATATCTTTAATTTTTTTAGTTGTAATTGACAAAATTAATTTAATTTTCACATATTTTGATGAGCCGTTTTGAATAAATGAAAGAATAAATAAATGCTTTATTTACACAAGATTATATATGCTAACTTTACATTCTGTAAAAGATATTATTAACAATGGCCTTAGCCATATGTCTTGTGTACCTATTTTTATTCAGATACACTTATTGATTTTAGAAATTCAAGTGATCGATCAAATATTTTTAGTAATGTTTTATATATTATACACATATAAAAAATTACAAAACAAAAAACTAGTTTTTTTTTTCCAGCAGAAACATATTGTTATGGAAGAGGACAAGAGGAGGGAAAAGAGGCGCCCCTCCGAAACATTAGAAGAGAACCGGCGGCAACACTGGGACGGTTGGCAACGCTGAGGGGTTGGTGTTGACGAGAGGGAAGAACAAAGAAACGGGACTAACGGTAGTACGCACGGAGAACTGCGCAGTTGTGGTTGTTTGGGACAACGGCGTTTTGTATTCTAGAGACTTTAATTAAATTACTTTATATCAAATTCTATTTATTTTTAATAATCCTTACATTATATTAAGATAAAAACATCGATATTAGTAATTCAGAAAATGAATTAATCACAACTGACGTATTTCAAAAAATTGCATCAATTTTTCCTGATAATGCTCATACCAAATAAGTTTTAAAAAATTGTATAATTAGGTGCTATTGATCATCCGGATACAGGAACTCTCTCAGGAGCAAGGGTATTTTTCCTCAGTTCTGGAAAACGTCCTTTGTTATTCCGCTTTTCAAATTTGGCAATAAATCCAATGTAATTATAGTCCATACGTTTTTTCAAAAACATTTGAATCTTTGGTTTGCAAAAAATTAAAACATGATCTCAAAAACAACATGGCTTCTTTACTTGCAGATCAACAGCTACTAATTTGCTAATATATCAAAATTACATTTTGTACGCTATAGCCGATAGTTGTCAGGTGGGTTCTGTATATATAGATTTTTCCAAGGCCTTTGATAAAATTGACTGTAACGTACTTATTGAGAAGCTAGAAAGGAATGGAATATCTGGAAACCTACAACTTTGGCTGCACAGTATCTGAATGTGCTCAAGTAGTTAAAATCAACTAGAGCGCTTCCCTTTTCTATTTTATCTGGAGTGCCACAAGGCTCCCATCTTGGTCCTTTTCTCTTTCTCCTCTTCGTTAATGATATTCACCTTGCTCTATCTGGTACCGAGTTTCTTCTATTTGCTGACGACCTAAAAACATACAAAAATTTATTCTGCCTCTATTAATCTTTCAATAATCTTTCGACTGGAGACAAACTAACAAACTATTATTAAATAATTCTAAATGTTTTATTATCTCTTTTTCTTACAAAAAATCTTATATTTTTCTAATATATTTCAGATGCATGCTTAGAGTATGGCTATAAAGTGGCATGATAGAGCTATCAATATATAAGATGAACTCTGGGGTGCTAATTGGCAGATAGACAAGCTTCTTAATCAAGTATTTTTGAACTTTTTCTATGTCCTCTATGCACTTCTGCACTATTCTAATAACCACAGACTTGTGCACCGTAACTCAATACAGACCTCAGGGTGCTGTTGAATATTACCATCTTTTTCTCTAGCGAGATCTCCCTGTTTGTCATTACTTTACACCACAGACTAATAACGGTGTATTTAGTGCTGCTTGCTTTCTCTCTGAGGTGATGCTTCATCTTCAAGGATGAACAACACACAGTCCACTCTTTCGCCTTTGAAGAACCATCTTTCATTTTTGTTAAGTCTTCCTCCTTCCCACCCACAGACCGTAATTTAGGATTTTCGAAGATTCAAATTAAGGTTCCACTTAAAGCAATACTGCTGAGCCATTTTTATAAATCCAGTTTCATCTGTTTTACTCAGATTTTAACATTACACTATGCCTATCATTTTCCTATGAATAATTAATGCCTCTGGAACTGGAATATGCAAATAACTTTTAGATGTTAAACCAAGAGGCTTACCTTACCCTCTCCACAACCCTGGTAAATTTTTATACACTCTTAATCCAATACAAAATATAAATCTTAATCCTGTCTTTAACTAATTGCTTTAATTCAATTTATACCTAAAGATGAAATGATGAATGATAAGGTATTGGGAGTTTTCAATGAGCAAATAAAGTAAGTAAATTTTTCCAGGTACTTTAATATCGTAATAATATAATTGGTATATGTAAATTATTATACATATTTATATATAATATATATATTTTTTTAATATTTTCATGACAAAGGATTACTGTACAACTGCCGGTAACCATTTTAACTTTTGGTACATAAAAGAATATAATTTACAAAATATATTTATATAATAATTATTATCATTAATAATAATAAGGCTTGCCAAAAATTTACAATATAAATAATTACTATTACAGATTTAACTACAAAAAAATTAACAGTCTAAAAAATGTCATGCAAAACAAGAAAAATAATTAAAACAAAGTTCAAAACAAAATGCGTCGGATTGTTACATTTTAATTAATTATCCTGGTTTACAATTTTGCGTCTTTCTTTTTTAATTTCAATTATTAGAGTAAAAAACAAACAAAATCATTAACTTTTAGTCTAAAAGACAAGTTGCATCGAAAGAGGTCTAAATCTATCTAAAACATTGGCTGCCGCCAATATACAAAGTGCACTAAATTCATGTACATTTCAGCAGCCGAATTGCATAAATATCACAGATTTTATGTTGTGGTTCATCAATTTTTTTTTAATAACTAACTTTTTCTTGTAACTTGTAAAAATCGAGATGGAAAGAGGAGATGTTTAAAGCACTGAGGGATGGAGGGAGAGAGGGCGAGAAAATGAACTGGGTAAAATACTGAGGGTGAAATTATACTACAATAAATATGACAACGGTTCGTTGTTGGCGAAAAACTTAGTTTGTTGTTAATTATAAAAAAAAATGTTTGGAAGAATTTCTTTTCTAGTGGAGCAAAGAGTCAAATTCCACACAAAAAGCGTACATCTGCTAACCATCTAACAACAAGATTGTAAATTTTTTAAAAAAGTTATTAAAACAATTTTATCTTTTTAAAGTGAAAAATTGCTTGGACCTCTATTAGGTACCTTTTTTTTGTTTTAATTTTCTTTATTTTAAAAAAAGCGATACAAGTTGTTTAGAGACATCAAATCAGTATGTATATCCTCGGCAAATAAAATGATGATGCGTTTGGAGGAGTCGGTAGACCAGGTTTTTTTCTAATTTAATAATCCATTTCATATAAAATTGTGTTTTAATTAAGTTCAATTTTAATTTGTATTATGATGGTTTAAAAATTCAGGGCTGTTCACGCAATGCGACATTTTCACTTTGATCCCAGTCTTATTTCCTCCCCTCCACGAAATAATCTAAATATCACAAAATAAGGAGTCAGAAGTGATATTACGCAAGCGTGAACAAGGCATACTCTCAACTCCTCCAAACTATTTAATTTTTTAGGACAGCTTTCCCTCCGTCATTTTAAAAAGATTTTAAAATATTAATTAGTTTTTACATAAAAATTCTTGGACTCTACTTATTGGGAAGAAAGTGTCCTCGATTTTGGAGTTTGTATAAAATATATCTGTATTGAATTATTAAAATAATAATACCTATCATCTAAAACACTCACACCCTGGGCACTTTACTCTTTTTACAAAGAATCTTTATTTTTGTATTTATCCTAAATAACCATTTATTCGTCTGCGGAGGGGTTGCCTAAAGGGGTGGGGGTACACACTTCCGCTACGAATTAAGTCCTGAATTCTGACGGATTGCACATATATATTAAGTCACTTTAGACAAATCACAGCAAAATTATTCTATACAACAGTTTATGCTGTGGTCGTGAAATCACTCCTTTTAGCGTATCACTCAGAATTCAAATGCTTTACAAGGTTTTTTTTTTAATTTATATATTTACATTTTTTTGTTTTAAAGAACTAATGACTCTGTTTTTGGATCGATAATGGGGAATGCTACGTTTCCAACGATGCGATAAGGCTGTGATAGACGACTGACTGTAGTTCGTTGAACATAGACGAATGACCGCAGGAAAACGAGGACTCGGTCCTGATCCTCGGCGGTTCTTCCCTGTTGGACAGGTCTTTCAGCCTTTCTGCGGCTGACTGCTCTTCCAACCTGGGCCGTTTTGGATCTGACGACGAATCCAAATCGACGACGTTGATCTCATCGTCATCGTCATCTATGGATGTAAGCATCCTTGGTGTCAGGGGCATGTAAAATTGGGAAAGAACGGCATGAACGTCGCTCTCGTCCACTTCTTCTATTGACCTCTTCCTCGCCTCCCTCCTCGCAGGTTCATCTTCCTTCTTCGCCGGAAGATTCGTTATGTCTGCCAACTGTTCAGACGACCTCAGAGGTTCAACATCATCCTTGAGGAAATCTGAGGCGAAGCACCTGAACCCGACCGACTGCTGCTTCTGCAGCTTTTCCTCCCGGGCCTCCTTCTGCAACCTCTTCATAGTGTTATTTATGAGCACGGACCGCCTCAAAGAGCTCTCCGGATCCTCGATCTTCTTCAGTTTGTTGATCGATATTTTCAAGACTTTTCTCCTCTCCTCCTTTTGCCTGTATTTGGCTGAGATCATAGATGGCCGGTTCGGACGGCAGAAGCTCGAACCGTAATTCTTGCCGAACATATCATCGTCATCTTCTTCGACCAGCTTGTTCTGATCGGCGAGGTGGTTGTTGTTCGCCGTCAAAGGGTTGTTGTTATTTTGGTTATTCGATTTCATGCCGGCGGTTCACCAGCACCCGCTCGGCCTCTCGTGCTCGTCACCTACTCCTCCTACAACAAAAAAAAAACAACAAACATTAATTCAAGACCTCAAGCTGATTCAAACAATAAAAAACTTAAGAAAAAATCAAATTAATGAATTCCATAAAACCACTTATACCACATTTTGAATGAAAAACCAAGAATTCTATGAAACCAACATAAAATTTTGTATGAAAAAAATTGTACTTCCATAAAACTACGTATATTAAATTTTGTATAAAAAAAAGAGAAAAAAGAAGGAATTCATGAAACCACATATATCACATTTTTCAAGGAAAAAACCTGGAATTCCATAAAACTACGTATATTAAATTTTGGGAAAAAACCGGAATTTCATAAAACCGCATATATCACATTTTACATGAAAAACCAGGAATTTCATAAAACCACGTATAAAATTTTGTATGAAAAAAAATCGTAATTTCACATAACCATACCACATTTTACATGTAAAAAACCGGACATTCCATAAAACTACATGTATTAAATTTTGTTTGGGGGGGGGGGAGAAAGGAATTTCATAAAACTAGGTATACTAAATTTTGTATAAAAAAGAGAGAAAAAAGAAGGAATTCACAAAACCACATATATCACATTTTTCAAGGATAAAGCCTGGAATTCCATAAAACTATATTAAATTTTGGGAAAAAAACGGAATTTCATAAAACCGCATATATCACATTTTACATGAAAAACCAGTAATTTCATAAAACCACGTATAAAATGTGTACGAAAAAAATCGTAATTTCACATAACCATTCATATCACATTTTACATGTAAAAACCGGGAATTCCATAAAACTGTATTAAATTTTGTTTGGGAAAAAAAAGTAATTCCATAAAACCATATATATCACATTTTTCAGGGAAAAACCTGGAATTATAAAACTACGTATATAAAAATTTTATGAAAGAAAGAAGGAAGGAAGGGGAAAAAAACAAAAACAGGAATTCCATAAAAACACATATACCACATTTTGCATGAAAAAAAACAGGAATTCCATAAAACCACACATTTTGCATGAAAAACCAAAAATTCCTTAAAACCTCATATATCACATTTGGTATGCAAAACCAAGAATCCATCTCAATCTATAATAACGGGTTATTTATTATAATAATATAATATAATAATAAAATAAAAAGATTTTTTTGAAGAACAATATAAATCCAAGGAATCAGAATCGAAGTTCCCCCGTCCATCGAAGGCATATCAACAGGGGAAAAAACAGGAAAGTTTAAAAGAAAGAAAAAAAAAGGCAATATCTTACAAAAAAATTCACGTCATTGCAAATTACATGCATATTTATAAAAGTGTGCTCATCGCGCTTTCACCCCTTTTCCCTTTCCACGGTGGGGCGGCTTCGTCAAGGCACCGCTAGATCTCGACGCCGATCCTCTTATTACAACAGTCTATTACTCCACCCCCCCGCCTTTACAGAGGCAAAACCACTCCACCCCCCGCCTTTACAGAGGCAGACCCCTCCACCCCCCCGCAACGCCCGATGCCCGACTTCACGCAGCCCGTTTAAATGGAACGGACCGCTCGCTCTTTCTTCCTCCTTCACACAGTCGACACATTTAATCGACATTCCAATCGGAACAATTTAATTACAATTAAATTATTAAACATACCAAAATCTATGTTTAATCAATTTTCAATTTTTTTACCCACTATTGTTTAATTTAATAATTGACAGTTTTTATTAGGGTTGGAAGAAAAAAGACGATACGGGCACGTCTTCAATTTTTTTTTAAATTTTAAAGCCCACGATAAAGGCTTCTTAAAAAAAATCTTAAGATATTAATTTTACACTTAATTTTCTAGGATCAATTTAAAAAAAATTAAATCCTACCGTGGCATGTGTAATACTAGAAAGTAATCCAGGCCCTTTCTAGCTTCCCCGTATTGGAAGATGCCGAGATACGGGGGAAAATGCGTTAATCCCACTATGACACAGGACACCGTGACGGGACGGGGAAGACCACTTCACGCCGAGACGGAGGTGACTAACTGAATGAGGAATTGGAGGAGAAAAGGTGGAGCGGGGGTCGAAGGGGCCGTGGTGGGGGCACGGAAAAGCTGCGGTGGGGATGGCGGAGTCGATTAGCCTCCCCCTCCGCTTCCCCTCCCGCCTACGAGCCCGTGTCGTCCGAGGTGTAAACACAGGACCGGAGAAGTCAAGGGTGGTCAACGGAACCCGTCTGCCTCTGGCACAAGTCTGCAGGGTGCAGATACGGCTGTGATGCAGCGGTGCCTCTCCAATTGCCGTTATCCGGCGGCTAAGCCGTTCCACACTTTATTATCTCGATTATCCATAACGTCTTCACCTTGCTAATAAGCTCTAGGATTCCGCTGAACATATGATACGGAATCCTGGCGGAAACGAGCATGTTAAAAGGTTCAATGGAGTACCATTCAACCAATTAGCCAATACCATTAACCAATTAGCTTAATAGTTTATTGAGAATGAGGAAATCTCAGGAGGACTGTGAAGTGGTAAACTTGATGAGAAAACCATGATCAGAAATGGCCATTATGGCCCTTTTACGAAATATTTACACCCAGTTTCTAATTATTTTTTTTCAAGTTCTGCCAGTTTTTCTTGCTGATGTGAAAAGTGTGAAGCATGGGGTGACAAAATTAAATTTCCCCTCTTGGGGATCTACTGGTTGATATACCTGTCAGTTTGGTCTTCTAGGTCCAAATACTTTATTAGGCTGAACGTATTTATTTGCGAAAACGATGTTATGAGAAGTCAAATAATGGAGGTGGGTCTGCTGGTTGATGTACCTGTCAGTTTGGTCGTCTAGGTCAAATACGTTGTTAGGCTGAATGTATTTATTTGCGTGCATGGTGTTATGAGTAGTCAAATAATGCAGGTGGGTTTGCTGGTTGATGTTACCTGTCAGTTTGGTCCTCTAGGTCCAAATACTTTGTTAGGCTGAATGTATTTATTTGCGAAAATGATGTTATGAGAAGTCAAATAATGGAGGTGGGTCTACTGGTTGATGTACCTGTCAGTTTGGTCCTCTAGGTCCAAATACTTTGTTAGGCTGAATGTATTTATTTGCGTGAATGGTGTTATGAGTAGTCAAATAATGCAGGTGGGTTTGCTGGTTGATGTTACCTGTCAGTTTGGTCCTCTAGGTCCAAATACTTTGTTAGGCTGAATGTATTTATTTTCGTGAATGGTGTTATGAGAAGTCAAATAATTCCATAGCCGTATTTGAGTGAGCTCTGTGTACGAAAAAATATCAAATTTCGTCACGTTTAAGACTGAATATTTTTCATAGTTTAAAAAATGCATGATTTAGGATAAGCCATACAACCGACGCATATTGGGCCATTGCCCACGCAAAGGAAGAGAAAGGCTCTGAGCCACGTTATTTGATGAGTCATTCCTTGGCTCTTTATAGAGAGCGTGTATTATGCTTGTTGCGAGACTTGTTAGAATCAAGTGTCATCGTGATCACACTGTCGTAGCGATCGTTTTGGCACCACAGCTGGAATGACACCGCCAGCGAGAAAAACAAACGAACCGAGAGAACGGAAAACTGATCATTCTGACTCGATGCTTCATCGCGAACAGGCCACATACCTTCTGTTGATTTTCATCGCTTCAATATACTTTTTCCTTTGTCACATTTATTATTAGATAATTATTGTATATAATCTTTATAGTCAGTATTAGTGAACTTAACGAAGTCTGTGGAGTGATGAATCTGAAGTTTGGACTAAGATTTTGGTCGACCAGTTTCTACCGTTTCCCATAACAGTGTCACTTTTTCCCATGGTGCTATGAAAAGTACGAAGGGGTCGTTTCTGTCAAATTTATTAGATTGGTTGTATTTATTTTCGTGAATGTAGTGAGGGCCCAATTATACTATTTGAATTAACTGTCCACAAAAAAGACTGTTTACTGAGTGGATTTTTATAGTTTAACAACTGCAGGCCTTTATCATTATGATAAGCCATACATGGTTTACACATAAGCAGTTACTATAGGGCCATGGCCAGTGGCAAGAAAGCAGAGAAAAGCTTTGTCCCACGTACTTTGATGAGTAGTTCCTTGAATCCATGTAGAGAGCGTACAGGAATTTTTTCTTGTAGTAAGTTTTTGTTTGACTTTTTATACAGAAAAAAAATCAAGTCGTAGTCAACATAATTAAATTTACCACTGGATAAAATCTGAGATGTTGGGAGAAATCATTGAGGTCAATTGATTTTTTTAAATAGTCAAACATGGAAAATTTCGTAAATGGAGGAGTTTCATTATCATACGGATCATTAAGGCAGTTAATTGCTCTTTGTATAAACGGTGAGAAAATCTTCCTTAGCCTCATTTTTTTGGCAAGTGGAGTAATATTACCCAAGGCCTGAATTACATTAAACTGAAGAAATTTTTTTAAATTATTTAATTAATTCGTTATTTAATATTAAAAAATAGATACTTGAATTATTACAAAATGTATTTTTGAAAAATATTCATAAAATGGATGCCCACCATTGTTGGTCGTTCGCCTATTTGATAGAATAGAAAAATCCAATAATTTTTGTTGTTTTGTTTGTGTTGTTTTCTCAAGTTTTTTTTTCAAACATGCAATATTCTGACAAGCTAAGGTAAAAAGGAAACTCAAAGGAAAGATATGATGTGGAGTAATATAGTTTACCACCCCAGTTCCAATCGACTTTCATCCCCGACCTAGTTTTGTTTAATTATTATTTTTTAAGGGCTCGCAAGCCGAACAACGTAATAAACAATAAAGTAATATTGCATAACACACAAGCAGACAAATGATGCCCAATCGGTTGAAAGTAAATTATCCCCGTCGAGCGTATCCACACGAAACCTCGCTACGTCATTTTCTCCAACAGGCCTTGTACGGAGAGAGGATCGGCCTTCCACTTTTTTTCTTTTTCGACAAGGTTGAATTATACAAATTTCGCCCCGGAAATACCTATAGGCATACTATGCAGCGTTAGGTATGAGTTGAAAACTCCTCAG